TTTTTCACCTTTAATCAAGATTAAACTTTGATTAACATTTGAGTTACAACTTTATTAGTATTATCACAGAAGCCATTGTTATTGTTATTAGTTTTTTTTCACCAGGTAAATGCGATTATTGGTTGATGTATTGATAGACAACTTTCAAAGGTCTTCATCTTTACTCTCATCTTCTTCCTCCTCCTTGTTCATCATCTTTTACACTCTGTATTGTCGCTTCAAAGTTGATCATCATGATCATCATGAGTTTTCATTGAATGAATTTTATGTTGAAAAGTTGATTCACTTTTAAGTTTGCTTTTGTTGAACAAGAAAAGGTGACGATTGATGGATTGATCTATCACGTTTTACTTCTCGCCTTCTTAATCAAAGGTGATTAATGATCGTAGCTTATCCATCAAAGCTTAACTTTTTTTCCCGTTTGCCTATTCTTATTTGTCTTCACCTTTAATAACAAAGAGAAGAGCCAAATGTATTTCACCAAAACTAACCATTAATGGACCAGAGAAGGTAATGTTTAATTGTAAGCAACAACTGAACAAATTGAGTGTTTGCTCAATCAATCAGTACTTTAATCAATGAATCTGTGATACTTTAAGGGTAAATCATTGTGCTATTTGATTGACTCTGGTTAAAAGCCGAGCGAGTAAACTAGTAAAAAGTTCAATCTATTCAGTTGGCGAATGAATAAAATATTTGAAACATTAAAAGTTTAAAATTGCAATTCTATTGCAATCAACTTAAATCATTGAAGACATGTTCATTGTAAATAGTAAATAAGGAAATCTCAAGTGTATCAATTTTCCTTGAAATATTTTTTAATATCAAGAAACTCTTAAAGGTAAGTAACGGACTTAGTCTGGTTGTCATCGGTTAAAAAACTGCTTTTTTGTCACAGTAATGATGCAAAATAAGCCGATTGCTTAAAGTGATTAAGAGCTTATTTGAAAGACTGAATCACTTCATCAAATCTTTATCAAGTTTTTACAGTTTTAGAACTCTGAGAGTTGAAACTCGATTGCAATCAAATGATTGATACAATAGATGCTGGAGTAAGGAACTGAATGAAGCCAAAAAATTTGCAATTTCTCTCTTTTCTAAAGCTGATTGATTACTTGATTCGTCTGATTTGATGATACTCATTATGATACTTGATAACATGTCTAGCGAGTTCATAAAACTAACATTCTCTCGAGCTTATCATACGGTAGTTTTCAGATATAACATGAAACTATATTCAACTATAATCTTGAGATCTCCAGACTCGTTCAGTTTTATGCCAAAATTTTCATCTTTTCACATTTCTGTATTCACAATGATTCAATTTTGTCCGGTCATCAAATCTGATCATTCCAACCTCCGTAAATATGGAATGAACATAAACTTGATGATTTATGTTGCAAATATTCATGTGAAATGAACTGAAGTAAGTTTTTGCTCAATCAACTTTTCTCAACTAAACGCAAATATTTTATAAAAGTAACCAAATTGAGTGAAATTGTTAGGGTTTACCAAAATATCAATTGAAAATATCCTTGACTTTGAATGGTTGGTTCAACTTGCATTGAAATATTGATTAGGATAAAATCAAGTTCACTTTAATGTGCGATTAAAAGAGATGTTTAGAGTCGAGTCAGTTGCTTGTCTTGTAATATCAAATTGATGTTGATTTACAGAGTTGGGATGAGCTGCCAGTGATTTTGATACGTTTTCATACAGAGAAGTGAAGTTGCAAAAGATGTTGATAAATATTTTGATATTATAATTTAATATTAGTAGAGTGAAGGTGAAAAATGAAGGGAACATGAAAAGCATGAGCAATAAATACATTTTTATATAAATTTTACTCTTGATGGGCCAATGTTGTGGGAAAGCCAATTGAAGTTACTCTTTTCATCATCTCTGTCTGTATTTCATTGTTTTTGTTGCCAACTTCATCAATCATCAATCCCACGTTCATTATCATCATTATTTGCTACTCTATTCCTATTAACGTGTAAGCAAAAAGTTAATATGAATCAATTGACTGATCACCGTTGAAAAGCTACTTTATGATTGGCTTCTTAATTTCTTGCCTTATTTTGTTTGTACCCAAAAATAACACCAAAAAGGCCAACAATGGTTGCACTTGAAGAAATTTAAAGGATAAAAAAATCTCAATTGTCGGCTCAAGTTAAGATCAAGATCAGGTTATAACACATTTTATACACATATTTACTGTTGATGGTGATTATTATTGATCTGTTGTTGATTAAGAGATGAGCAACAATTCACTTCTCATCCAATTAGCTTCCCTGTTAACACTTCTTTATTCACTTCATCCAATATAATCTATAGACTACAATGGATTAAAGTCAATGTAAAAGGTGAATTTGGCAAATCTCAATCCAAATATTTCTTCACTCATTGAAAGCAATGAAACAGTCGATGGAAATGCTTTTAATGCTATCATCAATACCAAAGCAAAACTCATTTCCAATGTTGGATCGAGTCTATACATGGCTTTTTATTCAGGAATTCTGGGAATTGAGCAGAAACGAGAGAAAATTTTATTCTGAAATATGAATATCAAAGTCTGAAATGATCTTGCAAATTTAAATTGTGACAATTAAACCGATTGAACGCACTTGGCTTCATTTGGTTAATCAAGGTTAATTAGGATCCTAATTCAGTCACTTGTGTCTATTGACAAGGTATAAGCTTTTTCAACCTGAAACCTGATGATAAATCAGAGGAAACCTAAAGTCATTTCAATGTAGCAAGTGCGGCAAGACCTGCGAAAGGGTCAAGCTTTTGTTAAATTCTGTGTTCCATTTGTAAATATCATCTAATAAGGATAAAATGTAGACAAACAGCGACCTGATTTTTCGGGTTCAATCAATTTATTGTTTTAATAATGCAAAATGACTTGATGACATTCAATTGAAACCTTGTCTGGTGTGATGCTTTTCAACCAGAAACTGTTTGTGACTTTCATCAAACTGAGTTGCTGCAAATTCATCATTCAAAAACTGTTTCACCTTTTCCCGAGTTTCGATTGAATTTAATTGCAATATAGTAAGATGATTCAATAATAAAGATGAAAGCATGAAACATGCTCATTGAAAAGGTTACTTCCAACTGTTTCAACTGATCTTACACTTGAACCAATCACAATCCTGTTGAAACTGAGCATTATTAATTGAACAATTTGCAAGTAATTCAATATTTACAAATCAATCCATAAAAGTCAAACACGAAACTTTTGCAAAACTGTAACAAAACTGAGCAGACAAGCCGAACTGAATCTCATGTGACAAAGGTTAAAGATTTTACTTTTGAACTTCTTACTCTAACGATAGTTTTTTCATCAAAATTCGGGTCGTTTCGATGTCGATTGATTGTATCCTATTCGCTGAAAAGGACTTGAAGATCATGAGCGGAGGATCCACTTGTAGTTGAATAATGGAAATGACAAAGGAATGAAATGCTAAATTAAAATACAAAAAATACATTCACCAAACAACAAAAGCAACTCATCAGCATTAACTCATCAAGAACTCAATCAATCAAACAATCATTAACAACAACATATAATAACTTAATTGTCGTAAAAAAAGATGAAAATTGCATTAAATTTCCATAAATAACAATCGACAAAACAAGTTAATTGTATGGATACAACCTAAATGAGCCTTTTCATTGTTATTTTTTGTATAAGAAGAGAGAAAAAAGATTGAAATTTAAACAATTTAACAATTTGAATTGAATTAAAATTTAACCTTCAGTTGATCATTTGAATTGAACCGATTGTCCAACAAAACCAAATACAGTTAGAAACCCATTTTTGAATAGATTTAGGCATTGATGGTAAACAATTCTGGTTAAAATTGGGTTAACATTGACACATTTACATTACAAAACATTCAAGACTAATGTTAACCATTTTTGTTGTTGATGAACATTTTGATTGTTTAAATTGTTTCATGATATTTACTTGAATAACTTCAAAAGTGGAACCATTTTGAAAGGTTAATTTTGGACGGTCATTAAGGACGCCCATAATCATGATAAGGTTTACCTTTTTTTTGTTTGCGTCGGTAAAATGTTTAGCTTATTCAATTGATGGTGAATAAGAATAATTAAAAGGGAGAAAATGATAAACATCAATTGTTGTTGTTATCATCATCATTAAATAAATGTATTGTGCTTCCGTTGTTAACCTGTTTACTTTGATTGTTAAATTGCTTTCGTTTCTTTTCATCATCATCTTCATCTATTACAAGTGATGAGAGATAACATCAAACATGATGTTCACATTGATATTAGATGAGTTTTTTTGCTTCATTGGTATGAATGTTACACGAAAAACGAAATTTTCATTTTTTTTCCTATTCTTTTATCTTCTTTTTCACCATTCTTCACAATATGATCAAGTTGATGATGATGATCATCATGGTTTTTGATGTTGATGAAGAAGAAGCAAAATAAAAGCGGAAATAATTGTAAATAATTTAGTTGATTTTACTGTTGATACTTTATAATGAATACATAATTGTTACATTACAATGTTAATGTTTCGCCATTTTTACCTTTTTTTACCTTCTTCTTTTATTACAAAGGTACACAATGTGTTTTAAACTGTTAACAAAAGCTATTTAAATCACGATTTGTTTTCATTTTCTTGTTTCTCTTCAAATGATGTTATCATCAATGTAATTTAATTATTATTTATTAACGTTTTTTACCTTTAAATTGCTATTATCTTCCATCTTTTCATTACTCTAATAGCTAATCAAGATTATTGCTATTTTGGGCTTTACAACAGTTGGCAAAATTATAATCTAAAATCTGTTGGTTAATAATCTTTATTAGTTTCTAATTGATTTTGTTATTCAATTTTCATTTAAGTTGATCAATATTGGAGGGAAATTTTGTTGAAATTATTTGATAATAGAGGTCGCTTCTTTGATACGCAATGTTTCAAGTGGACAATTGGGTCTTGATATTGTCCTTTAATCAATTTGATTTCACTTTTAATTAAATTCAATGGATTAATTATTTAGACATTTTTTTTGATATTTATAGTGATTAAAGTAAAATGGTTACCACTCTGGGTGTCTTGAGACAAAAAAAGTAAGTAACATGTTTATTTTTTGTTTTATTTTTCTTTGAAAATATTACAAGAGAGGCTTATTTGATTAACTTGTTTTTTTGTGATTTTCTTTACATGTTGTTACAAATGACGTTGGCTATCCATCATCATCACAATTGGCTTTCATTATGTGGTATCATTAATTAAATTATTTGCATGATAAGGTGAAAAATAGTACCTGACAAGTGGGTGACAGAATTTTTCTAATGCATTGTTTTCATCCCAGTGAAACCTGTTGGTACTCGGCAATTTTATTATCTCACTTTTTTTCTGCGTACTTCTTTTTCCCCTTATCGCTGATGACACAAACATGGTTAAGATCCCGAAAGTACTCATTATAATCAAGATTAAAACCGACCACAAACTTGTTGGGTAATTCAAAACCGGCGTAATCAGGAATGAAAGTATTAACGGGATTACGTTTAACAAATAATGATGCAACTCGGAATTCAGCCACACCAGCTTCTTTGAGGAGTTTAACGAGATGGAACATGGACAACCCAGTATCTATTATATCTTCCACCACCAGGACTCGTTTACCCTTCAGTGCTCTCAATGTTTCCATTCCTACTATTGATATTTGGCCGGAGGAACCATCATTAACATAGCTTTTCAATCGAATGAATTCTATGTCTATACGCTGAGCGAAATTACCAGTATGGTGGTTGTGAGAACTTCCATTGGTAATGTTGGTTAAAGATGGCTTGATGGTCTCTGCAAACGATGTAAATCGATACAGTTGTCTTAACTTGTCCAATAGCTCACCAAAAAACTGATAACCTCCTTTAAGGACACATAGCACTGTGAATGGCTCATATTTAAGATCAGCAGCAATGTTACAGGCCAACATCTCGATTCTATCATGAATCATACCTCCAGGTATCAAAACACTTTCCAAATCTTCTTTGATACTGTTAGAAACACAAAAAAGTTCAATTGGATGGCCAGGAAAATCATCTGGAATCACAATCATGGGACACTTTTCTGCAATGCTGGACATGTTTTCACTTTGGTTGAAATACAAGAATAAAGCAAACAATGAAAAAATATTAACTTATTGGTAAGAAGAAAACAACTGAAACTGATGATTGGTCACAAGATATAAGCCTTTTGGCTGGTAATTTGGCTAATATTTTACTTCTCTCTCTTTCTCTCTTTTCTTGTTTTTCCTCTGGTTTTTTCCTAATACTTTTTCTATAATCTCTTCTCTTTCCAACTCTTTTTTTCGTTTACCTGTTCTTTTGTTTTAATACTAGTAATTTTCTCTTCCTTTCAGAAGCTCTCACAATTTGTTTGATTTGAAACATATAAGGTCTGACTAGACTCTCTTTGAAGCAATCAAAGCATGATTAGACTTAGGCAAGTGCCTCTCAAGGTAATTTTAATGTGGAGAAAATTAAAATGAATGGATCACATGGCAAGGAATCAAAGTCTAATTTTGAACAATGAGTTGAAATAATGATTGCTCAAAATTGATGAGAAGATGAGACGCTGGAAAATGATAACTTCTAATTATGATGGTTTCGAAATGGCCTGATTGAAGACTGATCTAAATGGGTGTATATCGTGCTAAATTGTTACATTTCTCTCTCTTACACTTGTTATCCGATAAAGCTATCAAAGTTGATTCCATTTAATATGAAAGATGACAATAAAACCAAGTCTTGCATCGTTACCAGAAAAAGAAATTTGATTCTCACATTGAATGGCTGATGAATAATCTCTTCCTTGGAAACCATTACATCTAATTAAGGTTTTTGCTGAGTTAAGTTAAATGTTCAACCTAACAAAATATCTTGCTGTTGACTATAGAGATCGTTTAGTTGATCATAAATAAATATTTGATCAATGTTTATGGTCAACCTGTCTATAAACTCAGCCATCATTATGATCACATGAAAGACTCTAAATCAATACAAAATTATCACAATTGCTTAGATTTACTTTTTAGATAATCATATTAATTATTTTCTCATTCTATTGCTCTCTTTCTCTCACCTTGTTTACCTGCTTTTATCGTTGGTTTGTTTTCATCTTATTAATGTCTTCGTGGTTGAAACAACGAATGCTGTAATCGTTTGAACCTAATCATCATCAACATGGAACCTGATAGCTGTGGTTGGAAGAGAACCAGCAATTACTTTAATGAACATTTAATTAGATGTCTATACCTCTTCTTTCATGCGATTTAATTGTATATAATATACTTTATCAGAATGAAGAGAGTAAAATTACGCTACATTGTAATTATGTTCAACTCAACTTCCAGTATAATTTGACATTCCGGTGACAATTGCATTACTTTAATTCATTCAATTCCCCACAATTCATTGGATTAATATTTATAAAATTTGGAGACATGGTGAACAAATAGTGTAACCTTATCATCAAAATGGTCAGTCAACCTACTCAAGTCTAAATATCTCACCAAAACTTGACCTCAACCCATTTGATATAGATAACATTTCAAGTCTTCCATCCATCAAATTGATTGAAACAATTGTCAATAATTGACAATTTTTCTCGATTAATTTTCACTTTTCGATTCATTTACTTCAATCAAAAAAATGAACTCATCTCTTTTAACAATCCAGTAATCAATCAACCAACCTCAATCCTTTCCGTTGTCCCAAACCTTTAATTGGTCTAATGATTAATTTAACCCAATAATTGTTTTTTCAACTTAATCACGATCTTTAATTTTCATCCAAATCACTGCAACTCGCAAGCTAACATTTTGTTTGCCAAAATAGATCAACCCATTTTATGATTGAAGCAATTCAATTTATACAAAAAAGTGTTGATTATACATTATCATTATCATTAAAAATAATAATAGTAATAATATCATTACTGTAAAACTATAAATTGACTTTGTTTTAAAAAATTGTTAACTTTTTTTCTCATTTCTATTTAATAGGTGATAATATATTGATTGTACGCTATAAATTGCTCAAGGTTTTGCTGACTGGTAACAATTAATTTCAACAATTCAAATGGGAAACAGAACACAACAAAAACAATGCGAAGGAAAACCTACAATTAGTGGACCAAATGTTTATTCAATATCAAGTATTGCTGATTTGCTATTGACTTATTCAAATGTCTTACCAGCCATTATCAATGAAATTTAAGACAATCAACAACATTCAACACAACAATCAAACTGTTGCTTTGTATTCAACATTAACATGTTTGTTATTGAACCGTTAACCAAGACTGAAACAAAAAAAACTGTAAAGTAACAAGAAGAACAAGTTGATTGGCTTTTCTTTTTGTTTAAGTGGTTTTGTTGAAGTTATAAATGATGGTAACAGCAATTAAGGTTGAGGGTTAACAGCTAATCAACAGTCATTGAACACACACATTTACACTCACTTGAGATGTAATTAAATCAATTAAGTTGATTCATTGAATCATTAATAACTTGAAAACAGTTTAGTTTTCAAAAAGTGTTGTATTTCAATTGACCAGAGGAAAGGTTTTCAAAAAAAAACAAGTTAATGTTGAAAACAAAGCAACAAAATCAAGATTTAAATTGAGGACAAGAATACATTGACAAGTCATAACAATCATCATAACCTTATTGTTATGCTTTCCTAATCAACTTGTGTCATTAATTTCCTATCATCATCATCGTGTTTACATGGGAAAAGAAAATGTTATTCATTAAATGATAAATCATGGTAAAAGAAAACAAAAAAATGAGATTTATCCATGAAAAGGGAAACATAATAAATGTATATAAATTGCAATGTATATACATTATGTATTATGACAAACAATTGAAGGTAACAAATGATAATATTAATAATTGTTATTATTATCATTAACTCTATTACCTTTTCACTTTACCTGTGAATAACTATATGTTTCTCATAATCATTAGGACAGGTAAAAAGTTTACCAAAACACAGGTTCTATTGGAATCCAGTAAACAACATTTCTTTTTGACAAAGAGATACTTTCATTTAGAATCTATTTTACGTTTCTTTTTTTAATGATAGGCTTACTTAAAACTAAATTATTACTACAATAATTTACTAAACATTATACATTTTGAGGTTTTCCTTTATTCACTCAACTCTTACATAGATGATGATGATGAGATGAAAAGACATGTTCATTTTGCTTCGGGTGTTGATGAGAATTTTTATCCACTTTCTTTTCTTTTCTTCTTTACAGGTTGGTTCTCATCACGTCAATACAACTCAACCAACAGACTCAAGCTTTTTGTTTCAACTTTGTCAACCATCATCAACATCATAATCATCATCACCCTCATGGCCATCATTATCATTATCATCTAACCTCATCGTTTCCTCCTTCATATTCAGCCTTCATCACCTCTTCAACTCTCACCTAACTTGTACATCAATTTGTGGTTACGGCAACAAAAGACATCGTCTCAACCCACCTTTTAGATATCAAACGTGACACCACCTTCAATCTCCGTAGGTAAACCTCAAAGTTGACTTTCATCTCATCTTTTTCTTGTCCATATTTAAATGAATTAACAAGCCATTCTTTGATTTAATTTAAAAATATTTCTTCTTTAACAGATCATCAAACCAATCAAGCCTTGATAACTTCCGCTCGATTGAAAATCATAAATGATCAAATGAAATTATGTAATTCAAAGTCCGAAAAGCAAGAGTAAAAATAATTCAACTTCTTGCAGAATCATCGTATTTATAACAGATTTGCGATGAAATCAAAAAGGCATCAACTGAATGTTAAAAATGCAAGCTTATTTCATGTCGAATGATTGTTGATGTTAACAATTAATGTTTAATCATTTCCATTTAATTTGCAATCTTTTTCAGTCTAAAAATTGTTGGAAATACACTAATGGAGCCTCCGAAGAATAACCAAATGCTTCTTCAGTTGAACAATCGTCACTCCATTCATGGCACTCTTCTCGCTCGACCAACATGGACGAATCACAGTAGCTGCCTGCCTCATGGTGGATGAAGTAATGAGAACGATTCCGTTGACCTCGAATGGGCTGAACTGTAAACATTGTCGGTAATACTCATTGGCAGTTTTTTTGACAATTATGGGTGAATCAACCTTATTGTCAGCCCAGATAGGTTCACCGGATGGGTCTATGTTCCAATCGACCCACCATAGACTTAAGATCATTTATTAATATTTTGTTTAAAGCATAGTTTTCTCTTCGATATAATCACCAAGTATAGTTTTATCACGAAGAGAACCAGGAGTGAAAGTGAGTCCATTGAATGATGAATGAATGTATGAAGTCACTGGTTCATTTCCAGAAGTTAAACCAAAATTCAATTCCTTTTTTCTTGTATTCGGTGAAAAATCTGTTTAATGTAAGAAAAAGAAAGAGTTGCAATCAATAACCGTTTATAATAATAATGGTTTCTTTAATTATTTAGAAGCATTGAGATGAACCATTACAGACCAAACATTTTCAATCCTTTTCAAGTTGACGAAAGAAACGACAAAGTTTACTTCAAACAAAAACTTGAAAAAGGAGGAGATTAACCTTAAGGGCTAATTTAGGAAACATTTACAAACTTACAGCGATACCTATTGTATTGTCATGTATAAGAGTATCGCAAGTAGGCTTAGGATGTGTCAAGAGGCTGTAACATTTTTTTCACTCGACTTTTACCCTTACCTTAAGCTGACACACAGTCATCAACATAGGTTAATATTAAGGTAACAACTTGAAGTGTACATAGAAGGAAGAAAAGGAGTGAAAAAAAGGAAAGGAAAAGAAAAGAAGGTCAAAATTACCGTTCACTTTCTTTTGCTTGTTATTCTTGGTTTCCCTTGCATCTACTGGTCAAGATGATATTTGGGCCTCAAAAGAGACTGTCTATTTGACCTACAAACAAGAATCATCTCGTACAACAAGGCGAACGTGAAAACAAGTACAAAGAAAAAGCAAGCAAGAACAACAATTTAACCTTCAATTTGACCAACAATTATGATAACAAGGAAAGATAAGCTAAATAACTAAATACACATTTGATACTGTAATTTGAATAGCTTTTGACGCTTCCAGAAGTTACAAAGTTGCAAAGCTAAAAAGATAAGCTGAAAAGCTAAATAACTCTGGATCCATTGGAAATGCTTTTTTTAACCAACATTCAACCAAGTGATCGCCTCAATACATTTGGATTACAAGTTAAATTTTCATTGAAAAAACAGCATTTACACACGGAAAAAGAAACTGACCATTGAACAATAATTAACAGGCCAGCTAATGATGAATACAACTATTATTATTGATAAATTTGAATATTATTGCCAATATTTGAATATGTTGACGTGAAAAGAGGAAAAGAAAGGAAAGAGGAAAAGAAAATTGTTTCCTCCAAAAAATGCGATAATGATCATTGCGAGAAATGTATCAACAAAATAACGATGATTAGGCCCAGGCTGATGGTGTATATGCAAATAAAGATCAAGATTGGAAGCCAAAGATGTCGATAGATAACAATTGGTGTTGTTGAGCTTGGATGGTAAATGATTTTAAATAATTAATACCTTTTTCTGATTGCTATGTTTGCTGATCACGACAAATTTCAATTGAGGTTCAACTTTCTCAAGGTAAGAACCTCTTGTATTACACCTTTAATTTTTAGTCTTTTTGTTTTCTTTTCATTCTTTACCTTTAATATAATGCATAAAATATGCTCATTTTGGTTACAATTTTGTCTTTCACTCAAAAATAGTTTGTTTATTTGACCGGAATCAGGGTTGTTATTAAATTAGTCAGGAAGACAAATTTTAATAACCGACTTCACTCTAGTCACCTTTTGTTTTCATTTGCAAAACAAAACGGTAAACAATCAACTCAACCTTGGCCCAAGTCTTTAGATTTTATTTCAAGCTTTTTGAGGCAAAAAAGGTCCAAAGGTAATTTTTACCTTTATTTCAAACGATACAGTCCATAATACTTTATAATAATATGTGTCTTGATTACAATAAACTAATATTACTTTTGTTTCATTTATTTTCAACAGATCAAATGATTTCTTTGCGCTTGTTGGTTACATCGGTTTTCACTGTTTTTTTTGTTTAAAACGCCAGAAGTTGGCCTCACAAGTGACCTTGGCTTATGAATTTAAAGAGGCCTACAATTGATTAGACAATAATTAGGAACAAAGCGTTTTACCAAACATTGAAACATTACGCTAATTAACAAATGGATGGTGACATTGAAAGGGAAAGTCAATGGAAGGCTGATTCCGTTTGGTACAAAAGACGTGAAGAGTCTTGTCTTTTCATAATTTAATTAGTGATAACATTTAATTAACATTAATTGTTACAATAATTTTGCTTTTAATTATCATCTAAATAGTGTCACTTAATTAAAGGCTTGAGAACCTTGGTTCACTTGGAGGATTTTTTTCAATATTGCTTGTTTATAAAATCAAAGGCCACTTAAACGTTATTATCATGATAATCATACATGATGGAAACATTTCAATCTATGGGTTAATTCATGGAGTTGCATGAAGTAATAAAGATAAGAAATTGTGATAGATCAATATAAACATGATTACAGTAATGAAATTCAATTCAATTTGATACTCTGATAAGTTTAGCAAAAACCAAGATTGAAAAGGATAAGCTATAGAAAGCAGTTATAATTGTATTGATATGCCAAAGAATGAAGAATTAAAAAACTAAATTTCAAAAGCTTGCAAGGATTTGATATTTCTACAACATTAGTTAATAATCACCAACAATTAAGTTTGTTAAAATCTTTATTGAAGTATAATCTTGCATTCAAAACGGATGCTTTGCCTTTACTCTACTAATACCATCTACTGGTTGAAAAATTAGTTTACCAATAGATTCAACGTGAAGTATATAACTCCATCTATTGGCTACAATTTAAAGATTTTTAGGCAATTGTTCAATTTTTTGAACAAAAACCATTAACGGGACCGGCTTTCTTCCACAACATCCACCACATTTTGAAATTTTTTTACAAGATAGTCCACCAGCCAAATCCACCAAATTGTTATCCACTTTTCGGATATGATGACGTTTGATAGTGGATGAGTTAAATTTGGTGGTTAACTATCTTATAAAAAATTGCTTCAAAATGTGGTGAACAATTTTGTTGAGAAAAGTATCTTTAAAAAGTGATGTTTGATTTGGTTGATTTGGTGGATGTGGAGCCTAACTCAATCACGGAAATCATTTTTCGAACTTATGATTGAACGAATGATTAGCAAGTTATTGGACTTCACCGGTTAAATCAACAACAAAAAGTGTGAACATTGAAAGACGAAATTAATAAAGTCTGGGATTTATTGTATTTTTATTATCAAGATGAATTTACAACACCTTTTGAAACATTAACATCATACATTTCAATCATTCCCTCTACTGTATCTGGTATCTCCTTGCCTTTGGTTTCTGGTATTAGTCTTGTTATTGAGGCTCCAATTATGCCCATTACAGCAAATAATCCGAAAGTCAGTTTAAGGCTTGTTGCTGCCGTCTGTTTATAATGATTATTAATAATAGCAACAATGAGAAAAATGTTAATTGAATAACCCTTGAGTTATGCTTATTAAGGTTATTGGACAAACAAAGCCACAATGATATTTACTTTGATATTTTAAAATTATAACAAGCAACTGGTTTCATTGACAGATTATTATCTAACTTGCAATGAGATTAATCTCAATGTAACCTTGTTTGTCCATAACTGTGTGACTGCAAGTGCAATGAATTTGAAAACATTTATAAATACATACCAATTGAGCTATAAATGGAGCAGGAATTGAGGCCATTCTCGAGGCGACTGAGCAAGAACCCACTCCAATATGGCGTATATTAGTGGGAAAAACTTCCGAAGAGTATACATAGATTAAGCTATAAATAGAGGAGGAAAAGAATCTACCTGAAGTGATTAAAATCATTCTGGGAATAATGTATTCGTGTGATTCAACGAAGGCAATTGAGGCGAAAAGAAGGGCTGAGGTAGCAAAATACATTGTCATAAGCATTGATCGACGGCGAAAAGCGTCAACTTTCCAAATCATAAATAGATTCGAAGCCGTACTTGATGCTGAAAATATTGCATTATTAATGAAGACGTTGCCCGAAAGATCGAGTGTACTGTAGGCAAGGCCGAATGCGATGAAAGCCGTTAGAAACCAAAGCAAGTACAAGGCAAAACAAAACCTGGATATTCTCGGAGTGCGAAGTAAATCAACTATTCCCATTGAATTACGAGTCTCATTTTCAGCAATTAAATATTGCCTTAACTTTTCAAGTTTACGGCGAAACAATTCCTCTTGGCCATCATCTTCGGCATCCTCATCATCCACTCGTATTTCCTTTAATTTAGTTTTGACCGATTGTTTCCTTCGCTTTGCTGCATAAAAACGCAAGGTTCGCTCAGCATTTTCAACCTGACCAACGACTAATTGCCATCTTGCCGATTCAGGAACCATCAGTATAATGGGAATGCATGCGATTTGGAAAACTATTGTTCCCATGTAAATGTATCTAAAGTTGAGTACATTATATGTGATTATCATCATGATATATTCCCCAAAGCACCATACCCAATCAAAGGTGACTGCAATTCTGCCTCGATATTTGGGTCCAATACTTTCTAAAACTGAATCAAGCAAATATTAAATTTTTTACTGATGAGAATGTTCAAAGAGCAATTTGAATGACTTACGTAAAATGAGTGAAGCAAGGTAGCGACCATAACCACCGATACCATGAATGACTCTGACCACAATGAAACAATAGACATTGGGAGACAAGACAAGTCCGACAGCACAAACGATTTCTAATGACATGCTAAATAAAATTGCTGGTTTTCGACCGAATCGGTCAGAAATATAGCCAATAACAAGCCCAGACAATAAATAACCGAATTGATAAGACGAAAGGACAAGGGAGCGAAGCCAGTATCGTTCACAGACGAGATTCCACTAACGAGAATTGAAAAGTAATTGAAAGTCAAAGCAAAGCAAATAATCGAGCACAATTGTAATTTCTTCATGTAATAATCTAACTCTCTAAAAGTACTGGTTTTATACAAGCTCATAATTTTGACAAATTATTGGTGAAAAGGCTCTTGATGCAATCAAATGCATTAATAATTAGTAGACATTGACAGGGAGTGAAAGCAAATTAGTCAGATTTCAGGGAAAATGGCAAAGCAAATTGTATCTTTGGTACAAAAACAGCAACTTACCTCTTTAGTCACAGTCTTTCTTGTAATATTATGATACCAAGAGGAACATGAATTGAGTTGATCAAACGAACACTTATCTGAACTTATTGAGCTCTAATTAAAAATAAGCAAACAAATAAATTTAACGCACATTTAAAAGTCAATAGTTGACCAGATAATACCTTAGATCCGTCAGGCTGGACACAAACCAAGTCACTTTTAAGTGAATAGTAAAATAGACTTGCATTGGTATAAGGTGATACACAATAGATTATACTGAGCAACAGAAATAGCCGCTTTTGCAGTGGACCCCATGAACCAATTAAGTCGGAAACATGTTCAATCCTTTCTTGGCTGATGCTGTGTCGATATTTATTTTTGTCAACATTCAACCCTTTGTTGGTCATTGAGATTTAGAGTTAAGTATTTTTTCCAGTTTGAAAAATTAACCTTTTTAATCGTAGCAACTATGGACAAATTGAAAGTGAAGAGGATTTGGAAATTTTTGCTCGAAGTGCTGATTGTCTCTTGCAATTGTGTACAATTGGTGTTGATTTAATCAAGACAAATGATTAAATTTGCCTCGAAAAATGGGTAAAATATGAGAATAGCAACTTTAATGGTTATTAAATTTTACATCCCAGGAATTTATCTAATCTAATTCAACTCTATCATTTTGGTGGTAAATTAAAGACAAATGAGTTATAGTAATGAAAGAGTCTAACAAATAATCAATTTGCGTTGTTTCCAATGAAACTCAAGTAAAATGAATTTAAGTGAATCAAATATTAACTCTAATATTAACCAAATGATTCAATTTTCCCAAATGATAATTTCCACTATAACCGTAGCAGTTCAACCTGTCTTCATGAGTTTCTTATGTGATTATTTAGTATTTAGTAGGAAGGTTTAGATTGTTAAAGATGATTTAATGAGAAATTAATGATCAATTTGTTAATCTTTTGAAAAAGACGGGGAAATCAGGTAGTGATGATCCATCTCAATAGACGTCGCTCTAGCCTCAAAGTGTTATATTTTGGTTAAAATGTTAACTGTCAAAGTGATTTTTATTTTGATTGATTTAAATATATTAGTTGACTAAGAATTATCAATGTTAAGTGATAATTACATTATCCACTGCCTAGGAGGTGAAACTTGGTATGCATCAAATTACATGATTAACCATTCGTTTACAATCGGTGTTTCTTGCTCGTAAGGTAACATTATTAACTTATCCTTTCAATCATTTTGTTTTTGTTTAAAATTAGAAAAACTTGTCATTGATTGATATTCAATTGAAATCATTACATATTCATCTGATGATTTATAATCTTTTAAAAGTCAATTTCAATTTCAAGTGTTACTCATTGTTTCATCATAATTTCACTTTCTTGTTGAGTTGTTTAGTCAGTTGACAATTGAATAGAGTAACAGTGAGGAAAAAAAGCTAACGCTTTCTAGTTCAGTATTACATGAAATGCAATTGCCTATTGATACCATTCAACCTGAAAGTAAACCCCTTTTCTGTTAGACAATAACAAACTCATAGACTTAAGATGATACACTGATTAACCTCCATTTGGAGCGTTTCAATCAGTGGTATATAAATACAACAATTAAAGTAAATTAAAAATAAAAGTAGAATAACAAGTTTTGTTTGATTTACAGAAAAAAAGTGATCTTGAAAAACGGGATTTTCCAACTCTCTTGTTATTATCATTTTGTAAATACATATTGAATAGCAAAGAGAAACCTTGCATTTTTATCTAACTTATAATACATATCTGTTGAAATAAGCCCAGTGTGAGAAGCTATCATCTGACCAAGCAAATAATGAGTGAAATGGCAAAATATTGTTAAATTAACTCTTTATGTAGCTTAAAATAAGATGTCTGTTGTTACATTTTTAGTGAGAGGGTTAAAGCAATACAAATGTTTGACTAGAGTAATGAAGTGAAAGAGGAAAAAGCAACAAGAAAAGTCGAGTAACATAGTGAATTAATTGCTATTATCTTGAAAATATAACAATGAATTACCATAATTAGTTGCCAGAGATACAATGAAATGATCCTGTTTGTGTAAGAAACTGGAAAAGGCTGAGAGAAGAATAAAAAAAAGGAAATTATCTTAAACTTATCTCAATGTGATAATAATATGCTTTTCTCTCTTTTTCACCCAATCTTCATTAGGAAATCAAGCCAAGTAAGAAAAATCAAGGAATCAAGAAGGCAAACAACAGCAAAAAACAAAAGCTAGATCATAAAGGTAAGCGAAAGTAAAAAAGGTGTAACCCGCTATTTTGTGAGTCTTTTTATTAATGTTTGTGTTTACCATTTTTTTTACAGATTTACCTTTGCTCAGGTTTACATGAAGTAAAAAAAAGTGCGATTAAAGTATCAAGCTCGTCTCTTTTGAAACTCAAGTCTCGACAAGACCAACCTTAAGGCCATTTTTACATTTGAAAGCAAAACTATCCTCTCTCACTGCTCAAATACCAAGCAACAAGCAAGCTTACTGGAAAGCTCAAGATTCAATTTTTTATCAAGCAAAAAGGGAAAGGAATAATGATTACGAACTTCAAGTTGGTCAATTGAACAAGAATCAAACAGACAGGCCAAATTGATGACCCATACCTCGGGAGGTGACCCAGCTAAATGTAGTTTTAAAATTTATTTCAAGGATGGCATTTATTTGAAGAATCACCAGTTTACCAATCAATGGTTATTAAGCAAATTTAATTTACTTGAAACCCAAATGGTTGGATTTTCATTTCTATTCAAGTTTCTTTTTAATTTCTCTTGCAATCGTTAATCATTCCAGTTGTTGTGTTAATGCAGTTCAACATAGTCAACACAATGAATATATTAGACGGCCAAGTGAAGCTTTATTGTTAACGTAACAGTCAACACACAAAATGGCACGAAACAACTCAAAATTCATATTAGATTATAATCAACGCTCAATTTTCACCATCTTTACCATCTTCCTCATCTTGCCTCACTTTCATCTTGCTGAATATGTTAAACGTGATGATTAGTGCAAGATATGTATTATCATTATTTAAAATAACAATCAAGGTTTACATTTGGTCATCTTTTTTTTCCTTCTCATTACAATTATATTGAATTTACCAAGGTGAACTCCAATCACGATTAGGCAAAAAATATACATCAAAATTGATAATCAAGTTTGACTTTGAACAAAGTGTAATTGATGTTTAAGCTCAATCACTGAATTTGAAAAGGCAAAGCTTTATCAATTGTTTGAATGTTCAAGTTGATCAAAATTTACTCAATTAGTGATGGGTTTGGTGAAAATTCAATGGACAAGGAAGGAAGAAGAAGGCGAAGGCAAAGAAGGAAGAAGATTAAGAGTTGGACCGAAATCTAATTAACTGATTAATTGAGGAAGCTAAACAAATGGTCAGTCCTGCTAATATTTATTGGATAAAAGAGTCTAATAAGTTACCTGTAACCAAGCAAACCGGCTTTCTTACCTTTCTTAAAACATCTTTTGTTGGCTCCATTCATCTTCATCATCATTCTTGGACCTGTTGTCGTTCAAGTTGAATGTAAACAAGTTTATCATGGAAACGATCAACGTTCAAATTGTTCCACCTTTATCACGTTTCAACGATTTGGTTGATGGTGAAAGTGCAACGGAAAGTAAAAGCGAGTCAAGAAAAGTGAAAGTAAAATGAAAATAAAAAAGGTTCACTTTGTTTGTATTTTGAAATGTGAGAAGCGCAAAAACTCATCATCAAAAGGTAACATTAATTTGTGATTATATCTGATTAGAAAGCAATTTGTGATCAAAATCACGTCTTATTAAATTTTTAAATTAACCCAGCAAAGTAAACTAACACAACCTATTGATTTTGTAAAGTTAATCATCTTTTCCAGTTCAAGGTAAACAAATTTAAACAACAACAGCAACAAGAAAAAATGCATTTTCAGACTTTTTTTACTGTTGAATTGAAAGTAAAAAATTATAAAAATTTGTTAAATAATTTTAATGTTGCTTTTTTGTCTCACAAAAAAGGCTTTTATAGCAATTTTCATTTCAAAAACTTGACTTAAACTTGAAAATTAATGACACAAATTAGTGATGAAAATAATTGCAAATGAAATTGTTTTTTATTAACTCAATTCCCCTGTTAATTGTTGACATCAACTGGTTTCCAGTAAGCATTGAATATCCACCAGATTTTAACCCAAATCACATTGAGTTTTTAAATTAATAAACAAGTGAAATGAAAATTTAAATAATCTTTTGATTTCATCATGAAATTTATTCAAATCCAGTTTAATGGTTTGATTGTGCAATTAATTGTAATGATTATTGCATTTAATGTATTGACCTAACCTAGAAATTGATGTTCAGCAAAAAAAAGTGAACTTAATCAGATTGATTATGAATCTGGTTAAACTCAAGAATAGAGTCGCCCACGAAAGCACACAATAACCGTTAATTATGATTACAATGATTATGATCATGATCCATGATGATCTTTGAATCATCACTTGAAAGGGTAAAGTTGAGATAAGGTCAAGGTTAGATAATTGTGTTGAATTGAGCTGAAGATTTAATCACTGGAATGAAGCTAATTAATTTAAGCAGCAATAAAATAGCTTCTCTTTGTTTCTCATTATGAACCAAAATGAAGCTCAAAATGATTACAATAATTTTGTTTGAACAGTAAAAAAGGAAATATTGAACCATTTTTTGTTCGTTACACATTCTGTTTCCTATTGAATAAGAATAATCAGTTTCCACCAGATTTTCACCCTGTAAACTGTGTAACAATGTTACGTCAGTGTTGCTCCAAATTGTCTTGAGTAAAGTGTGTTAAAGATGATGATGAAGATGATGAGGATGATGAACAAGTGGAAAAATGGTTTACTGGTGAACTTTGAACCTGAATGGAATCCAGTGAATCGTTGAACAGTTGAAATTAACTGAGCAGCTTCCGGTTAATTCCATTGCGCAGGTAACGTATTTCATTATTTCTTTTGGACAGATAATTCTTCTACTTTCGCTTTTATCATGATAATGATGATGATGATGGAGAAAAGGTTGGATCGAAAAGATGACGTCAACAAGTGGTAAACGTTACGTTGGATTATTGATCCAAACGAAATGGCAGAACAAAACTTGATACGTAATAGTGAATGGTAGACAGGGAACGATGCTGAGAGAAAGGCGAGACAAAAATAGATAAAAAAGAACTGAATTGGAATGTTGATCATGCTGCTCATTTCAAGTCTCATTAGAATGAAGAGCAATTCTGGTTCCCAAAAAAATGCGAAAACAAAAAGTCCATTGGATAACACAGACTCTCTTTAAATACGTTTTACATTGACTTTTGCTCTAATTTTCAACCCAACAGCTTATTTTCAAATGCTATTCAAAGTCTTTGGATGTAACCAAAACCAAATGATCAAAGTTGATTATAAAACGCATCAAGTCTATTCCAATGTTAGTCAACAATTTACTAATCACTAACACTTCGTCTTACAAACATCATTAGACTTACAACTCAATAAAATGATAGACTTGGTTTAATGACACACTTTGGTAAACGTTAATCAATTTGATTTTGAAAATTTTGTGTAAAGGCTAATACAATGAGAAATAGCTTTACTGGCGTAAATTGTACATATTAATGACTCAATTCAATTGTTTGTTTACCAGTTTCAGACTAAAGCTGACTCTGATTTTTTGGAAACTACTTTGTACTTTTGATGTACAGCTGACTAGGGTTGCCAGTCCTAAGCATGAAATTCAACTCTAAGACTGTACATTGAAAGATGTCTTAGTTGCTCTATTATTAGCTTCAAGTTGTGACCCATTGTGGTGGGTAAAATGATTTATGCAGCTTTCATTTGAATTCACAGAATTGTCCTGACTTGTGATTTTGCTGGTTGGCAACATTATCAACAGTTATGTGAGTAAAGATTGCCTTTCCGATTAAAGGTTGATTTGATCCTAATGAGAGTCATCAAAAATGCCATTAAAAATGAAATTTTTGATAACACTTTTCAAATGATTGATCATTACTTGATTTACTTGTGTGTTTCATTTGTTGATGGTTTTACCATCACTGGTCCATTGACAAGCAAAACACACAACCAACTGGTAAATATTTAACCAACTGTTTTTATTAAACAAATTGTTCCATTGTTAAACTTGTAACTAATACAAAAACAAACCTCTGATTAGTATCAATAATTTATTGAAATTAAACGAGAAGAATCAGCGAGAGAAAATTATTAATCTTCTTTTCGGTTCAACGTCACAAATTGTTGACTCTCATCTGTTCAAACAAAAACAATAACAAAGTGAACAGCAAAAAAAAGCAAAACATGAAAAAAATCAATAGAACGCTATTTTTCAAGAATGCTCATGATCGATAAGAATCACTCCCACAATTAATACGTAAAAAGGTGCAATAAGTGTCAAACTAATCAGCTTGTCCATGTAAATCAGTTGGTCTAATTGGCAAGCAAATGGATCACTTGTTCAACAAGAATCCCTATTGAGATGGACAATCTTAGTCAATGAACATTGTCCAGTGAATGTTCAACTATCACAATCACATCTAAATGATATCATAAAAGTGTATTTATGTTGAACCTTGAAACGCGCAAATATAATTTAATGTTAAATGATAAAAAAAGAGGTAAACTTGCAATTGAACATTAAAGACATTTTGTTGCTTCTAATTGTTTCATATCAATATTGATACTCTTTACCGATAACAATTGGACGTCAAGTTATTAAAATTGTTGCACCAATCACCTGTAATCAGTTAACCATTAGTTAATAGTTGAATCTAACCGTTTCTTACCTAAAGGCGCAAGTTTAACAGCTTTTCCTTTTTTTCACCATTTTTTGCTTCAATCTTTTTCTTTTTGTTTTTACCTTTACAGGTAAAAAAACTTCCGCTTCTCTATTATTGTTTAATTGGAAGAGAGAGTGAAACTTGATTGATACTAATCAGCCGTTTATTGATGTTACAATTAATAAATGATGTCGGGAGAAAAGGTGAGTTTCCAGCGAAAAAAAAGGTTAACTTGAAAATCCGAGTTTCTTTAGTGAAAAAAAAGGTTTCATGACTTGAGGAAGACTGAATTGTATCAATTGAAATGAGGATAAACATGATCAATATTAATGTAAATTAATCAAACTAAAATCACAGATTTCGGGCAAAATTTTCTTCTTCAGTCAAAAGCGAAACATTTTTCATTTAGAATTGATTTTGCAAATTGTTCTAAATGTTTAAATAGATTTTGAATTTTGATTTGAATTGATCGGAATTGGTTGGTTTGGTTTAGTCAATTAGTTGACAGATGAAGGGTTCAATTGGTCAAGTTGAATATTTACTGGTTTCATGTGAATACAAATATTTGGGTCAAAAGCGCAGAACCAGGCATTTCTTTAGATTTGCAATGTAAACCCAATTACCAGATTTATTATCTTTAAATTGTTTCCTTTGATTGACGCTTTGGCTATGAAATGGTCATTCAATATTTGGTCATTAAAAGGGGAAAACCTTCAACTTTGGTCAAAATTGCAATTCAACTATTAAATATTGATCAGCTTTAATTACAGTAAAAAGGTAAACACCAATAATGTTCATATTAGGTTAATCCAGATCATTAAATGATTTGGTGTAAAAATAATCAACAGGTTTTCATATCAAAAAAAGGATTTCCAATTGAAATCAAATTTACGCTTTCATTTCAATTTTCAGGTCAAGGTTAATGTTGATTAACTTTCATCTTTACCATCAATTTCATTCATTTTTTTACTCAACAACGAAACTTTCATCGAATTTTTTATTCTCTTTTCTCGAGATCAATTCAATTCCAATTCAACTGGAATCCATTTGGAATTGCAATTTTTAGCTCATTTTTCCTCAAAAATTTTTACATTCAAATTTAAAAGTGAAATTTTCGCTCAACTTTTAGTCCAACTTTTTGCTCGAATTTTTTGCCAATTTTTATCCAAATTAACGAATTGTTTTTTCGACAATTTTGTCTGTTCCAATTTGGGTTTTGCAATTGATCCAGTTGAACGTTTTCACCCAATATTTGTATTGATTTTGTTCATTTCAACATTTTCTTTTGTTCTGATCATCATTTAGTTGATCCAAAAACCTTGAGATTTGTGTTTAATATGATTGATAATATTATCATTTTCAAGTTTCTCATTGATATACATGATAATATGATAATTTCATCCCTTTCCAAGGTTATTCCGAATCTTCCAGTTTTCCCCTGATTCATGTTTACCTTTTAAATCCAACTCTTACATAACTAGAAACACACATTTGTAACTTACCTTTTACCAAGCAAACAAACCTGAAACTGTATTGTTTGAACAACATCAATTTAGCCAACAATTAATCAACCCAGTTGACAATCGAGTGATTACTTTCATTACTTTTGCCTCTTTTTTTCATGTCCATTTGAATATCACCAGAGCCCCAGAGCGGGCCGACAGCTGAGATTCTTTTTCTTCCCATTTTCCTTTTAATTGTTAATTTGAATTCTGGTTGTTTCATTAAATAACCCATTGAACCAGAAAAATGGGAAACAATTTGATTGAAAAATTTGGGAAAACATTAAATCATTTGATCTTCATTTTAACCTTGTTGGAATCACAATTGGCTTTCAGTCAACAAGCAAAAGTGTATTTTTGGTGTTCACCTTTCAAACATTTATTGTCACAATTAACAAGTTAACAATCAATTTTGATCATTGATCAGTTTTGATGAAAACAAATTGATAATTGTAAGTGAAAAGGGTAATAAATAATGAAAACAAAGTCAATAAAAAGAGTAAATTAATCAATCAACATCCAATTGTCAGTTGGTCAGAATAAGGTTGATCAGCTTCAATGATTTAGATTGACCAAAGTCAATGAGACGAATAAAATGACATAAAAATGGTTCATTTTAATAGCAATTAATTGATTAAAACAACTGAATAATGAATAGAAAAACATTTTTCTTCGATTTACAATGAAAATTGAGAAAAAGGTTCAATTGAATGTTAACTGATTGACCCTCAATATTCAATTGCTATTTTGAATCATCATTTATCCTCATAACCATCAATAATAACAGCTTATGTAACTGCATCTTATAACATTTTAGTAAAGCCTATTTTTAACTCGAAAAGTTACACAAAATTTTCATTCTCCACATTCCAAGGAGAAGGCCAATTCATTCACATTCAAGGTGTTCATTCAGGGGTAATCAAAGATTCGGAAATGATTGATAAAAATATCTTTCTCTGATGTAAAATGCTGTTCACACTTTAACTTGTTTTCAGGGCATTTTTCAATCTTGTTCAATTCTGTTCATTGAATTTCTTTTTTTCTCATCAATTAATTGTAATTAAGCCTTTGGCTAGCAATCAATGGAATCAAATCACAACTGAATTGAGACTAAATTTAGAAAGTTTCATCTAAATTTGTCGACAATCTTTAAATCTCATTATTAATGTAATACAATAAGATTGAGTGACTTTCACTTAGTCAAACCCATTAAGACATGAAAACAACTTTCAATTGGATCAGTTGATTACATTGTTGATGTATCGATGGTTATGAACAGGGCTTTTCAAAAGGCATTAAATCATTTTTTAATCAAAAAGGCATAAATTTTATGCCTTTCGTCTATCTTTTCCCTTTCTTTTCTCTTTCTTTTTTCAATTTTATCAACCTTAATCTGTCCTAAATAAAAGATAGTCGCCTTTTTTTTGACCAATCTTGTTGATAATTTTTCCCATTGAAAATCAATGGACTTTTCTTAGGTTTATCTTTTATGCCTAAAAGCATATGCATAAGATAGACGAAAGGCATAAAATGTGAAAAGCCCTGGTTATGAATGAAATTTTAATCAAGTTCAATATTTGATTGGATTTTATAATTTTAAATATGGAAAGCCTTTGAGTTAGAAAAGATATTTTTAGGTTTTTCTGGTTACAGCAAATTTTTTTTGGGAAAAACCTTTTGAGGTTACCAAAGATACCATAATAAAGTTATCAGTGAAGCGTAAGCGTAGGTTGAATCCATTGAACAATTAAATGAATAACTCAGTTGAATTAAGGATTTCCTTCAACTTTTTTTTTCTTCTCGTTTCAATATTGAACTCGAAAAGTTGATCCACTCAGACAAACTGATTTAACAAGAGCAACAATTTACATGGGAAAATTGGGTTAAACTTGTAACCAGATTAAATTGTTTGATTTGACCATAAAAAAGGTATCAAATTGATTAATTGAATGGTTTTAGCCTTGAAGTTGTTTTCGTTGTTTGTTTTTCATCATTTATGATAATTGTAATGATAATTGAACAATTGAAAGTCGCTGATTATTTGACAAAATTTACAATTGTGTCAATTGTTAGACATCTTTGCTAGGCGTTCAAATGACATTGTCACAACAATGGAAACTGTCATTTCAAATTTACTTTTATAGTCACTTGAATAAATTGTGATTCAACCTTTTAACTTTTACCTTCATCAACTGGAAAAGGTCACTTTTCTGGATTGGTCAATCAATCATCAACAGATTTTAACCTTCAAATTTTAACCCATTAAGAAATGAGCGAAATGAGTAAACAAGAAAAAGGTGTTTCAAGTTGTTTGATGGTTCAATTTTCGTTCTTCGTATTCAATGTTCAAAACATGTTATCCTCGGATCAATTGGGAAGGGCGATTAACTAAGAATGTTCAATTAACATGTTGGGTGGTTCACATGGAAACTCTGGTTTAACTTGATTAACATCAACATTGAGCTTTACAACTGTCAAAATGCTTTCATAAAAGTCTATTACTGAGCTTTTCATGGTTACAATCAAAAGTGATTAAGAACGAGATTGAAATGAATGTTGATCTGCAACTTTAATGTAACAAACTAATCGGTTAAAATCAGGTTCGAATTCTGGTTATTTTGAGAAACCGAAAACCGAGAAAGATCAGATTTCGAAGGCAAAAACAAAACAAAAATTAATTTCTTGAAATCAATCTCAAAATACGAGAAAATTTTCTCGAGTTTAAGTCGCGAAAGAAATGACCGAAAATTTTATGTTCATTTAAATCTTTTTTAATGTTTAATCGATTCAAAAGACAATCAGAATTTATCATTTTCTTGGAAATTCTGTTTACGCTTTTCCTTCCAAAACAGGACACTTTAATTGACCCTAAACGTTAAAGCTTTGATTGCTTGTTGGTTAGTAATTGATTTGATGTTCAACTTTGTCTCCATTTGTGTGTCACTTTTCATTTGACCATTTAAAGGATTCCATCGTTTATTGGTTAACTTTCAATTGCAACAATTTACTGTTGCTTATTGCTCATTATTCAAATGACCTCAGGTCACAGGTAACCTTGAATATAGCAATTTGCTTTCTGTAGCGACTAGGATCGACTAATGTATTTCAATGATCCTTACCTTAAGTTGTTTTTTTTCTTGTGTTTCATTGAAAGTGCAAACAAATTAAACTTATCTTTTCTCGCTTTTACAATTTAAACTGGTTTTCGCGAAATCACAATTTAAATTATTAAACATTTAAACTCATTCATCAATTATCCTTGATTTGATTGGTTCTCATTTTCACCAAAAAATTGAGATTCATCAGCAAAAAGCTGTTAGCTTTTGTTACAAATTGAAAAGGTAAACGTTTAAAGCTCAAATTAATGTCTTTTTCTTGTTATAATTTGACAAATTATTTTACATTCAGTCTATTAATAGGTCAATGAAGGATTGAAATTCAATTGAAATTACAATCAATTTTAAACCACAGAATTGTAATTATTTTCAATTTGCTTTAAAGATTTGGTAAAGTAAAATTTACATGAAAAAACAAACAAACAAACTGGAAAAATAATTGAACAATTTAAAGCTGAAAATCTGTTGGAAATCAAGTTTTGCCTGCAATTTAGATTAACCTAAATTTACATGAAAAAATGTTTCCAGTTTATTCAAACACTTTCACTGTCTTTTACATCATGTTAATCATGTTGTTATTGCCTTTAACTTGACTTACCTTACATGTTGAGTCTTATATTGATCATCACCATCATCAATACTTGGCTTGGGATAATCAAATTAAAGGTTTGCAGAGTTAAAATATGGAAACACTAATTAACTTGATTAGCACACATTTCGCTTTACCTTTGATAATCACGAGTTAATAAATTATCCTCAATTAGCTTTCAAATTCCGTGTAATTACAGGTTCAATAGGTTTAATTTATTTTGTCTTTTGTTTGCAAGTTGAACTTGATTTGCTTTGTTTTTTTCAGTGAGTTTAATCAAATTAATAATATATCACTTAAAGTAGCATTTTATGTAATTTTTTGGGACTTTTGGGGAAATTTTTGCATTCATTTTGGTTAAATTTTTTAAAAACATCAAATAGAGTTATAAAGTTTGTGTTTTATTCTGATTGGAAATGTTTTGTGATTGATTTTTGTATTTTGAATTATTTTTTTTGTTTGTTTTTTTGTGTTTGTGTTTGAGTTTTGTGTTTGAAATATCATTAATTATAACATAATTGACAAATTAAATCTAAAGATGAGAAAGGCTGAACAATTTTCCATGCTGAGGTTGACGATGATGATGATGATGATGAGGATGAGGATGAAGTTGAGGTTGAGGTTGAGGATAAAGCAAGAGCAGCAGCCGCGGCAGCAGCAGCAGCATCAAATTGTTGTTTAACCATCAACTTTTGCTGGTCTTGGTAATAGTAATGGTAGGCAAGCTCTTGTATTAAATAGAGAGTTTGACGTCTCTCGTGTCCCATTAAGCAAACTGTTGATTCATCAACAACGTTAAACAATGTCATCAGGTATTCACATTTCATTTGATCATCACCGACAAAATGGTTGGCAATGTAGCTTTCAAGTTTTCTCCTTTGTTGGCACAAATCAGAGAAATCGATGAAAAATCGTGAGCACATATACCTTTCCAGATTTTTAATCTCATCTGGACGTGCTGGTCGATAGTTTCTCACTAATAGGTTACAATATTTAAGAAGTCCACCGCCGCGAATCTCTTCCGGATTACGGGTTGCGATGAGTTTTTTGTTGAGGTGGAACAGAGCTTCGCGGAAATCACCGTACACTGATTCACCGACCACTGTGGGATAAAAATTTTCACTCATCCTCATTGGTGGATCAACTTCATAAAAGGAGAGCAAGGAATCAAGAATTATCTGGAAAGAGTCAACACTGAATTCAAATTGGCGTCTCATTGAGTCTACAAATTTAAGTTCCACATTCCGACCTCGATTATTTGATAATGAAATAAGGGACCAACGGTCACCACCTTCGTTAACCTTTACCATTTTATGAACATATGCTTCTTTTAGGGAACAACTGGAAATTCTTGTTTTGTTTACTCCTTCTGGTAAAAAGTCTAACAAGGAATCCAATACTGCTGAGCGAACTTTATCAAAATTACGAGACGTTGAAAGGTCAACCACAAATATCAGGTCCAGATCATTGTAAGTTAAATTGTTAGGGCACAAAACGTAGGAAGCAGCACCGCCGTTTAACCTGATATCACGAAGAGTAACATTTTCTTCCTCCAATTTACCTCGTACCACACTGACCAAATCTTTTAATTTCATTTCTAAAGTTGGGAAATTACCTCGACCATGGATTGGCACAACTTCATCCATCACAGTATCCAAACGAGTAACCTGTTCATAGCTGAGGACAGCGTATCGGTCACTTGAGAGGTCCATTGATTTACCGTTTAAAGTCACTTTTTTTGAAAATTGAGAAAAAGGAAAATCACAAATTTAAAGCAAAATAAGAGAGAGCGAAAAAAAAACAAAATAGATTCAATAAAAGATGAAGATGAAAGGATTGGTCGATGGAAAAAACAGATTGCAATGTAATTGTATGAGGAGGAAAGAGAGAGACACAATGAGACGTTATATGTATGTTTGTGTATATGAAGAGAGGAAGAAAGTGAGAGATAGAGAGAGAGAGATCAAGCAGGTTACAATCAGTTAATCAACAAACAACAATCACCTCAATCCATTAAGTGCCTACGATCAACTGCAACTGTTTCCCTTCACCTAACCACCAACAATCTTCACGTAACTTTAACCACGCCTATCAAATTCACCACTAGCGGCCTCTATTGCCATCTATTGACATTTATTTAACACTGTCTTTTTTGCTTCGTTTTTGCTTCGGTTAATAAATTTTTTGCTTCGGTTAATAAATTTTTGTTTACTTTCTCAAAATCTCTTTCTTCATCTTTCTTCATCTTTCTCTTCCTTTTAGTGTACAGATAACTATTTTCCTTGTGATCATCATCATCAACAACAACATAATCAACATCAACTTCATCATTTAGCTTCAACATCTTCCAATGATATATCAAAATCACAGATTTCTTCTCCTCAATTGATTTTCTTCCCTTTCATCCAACAGAAAAAGCTATTGAGTTCCCCCTCTACTCTCTCTCTCTCTCTCTACTGCTTTCATCTTCTCTTTCTTTCTCACTTTCTATTTCTTTCTAAATCCTTCTTTCTTCTCTGTCTTCAGCTTTTTTTAACTAATCTTTGATTGATTGGAGCAGTATGTTAAGCATGTAACCATATTGCCTTCTCATCCTCTTTCGCCATTACTATTATCATTTTCACGTTTCTCTCTCCCTCCCCCACTCTTTGGTAATATATTTATATTTTTTGCATCTTTATTGAAAGACAATTAGGTAAACAGAAATTTTATTTGATAATATTTCAGTTATATTTTGGTATTTTTTTTGGTATTTTTACAAGCAAGCGTAACAACACTCTGATGACCGAAAGATCTCGAAAGATCACGAAAGATCGCTTTGATCATTATGGCAACTTTAGATGATACTGTAAAAAAGCTACAAAAGAAAGGAAAACATAATATGACTTGATACTCAATTTTTTGGTTTCCACCCTGAAGCAACTTTTGTCCTAAGAAGACCACTGATTTGTTTCTTGCTAAACAACTTTCCTCCAAATAAAAAAAGGACTTTTGTAATCACCATCAACATCATGCTCATCATCATTTAAATTAACCAGAACCTGATTTCAGGTCGATGTTCAAGGTCACCTTGATACTGTCAACCTACAAAAAGCAAGTGAAAAATGAAAAACAAAAACAAAAATACAAGCAACAACCCAAAGCAGTATAAAGCTAAAGACCAACTCTACCAGTAAAAAAGACACCAAATAACACACATTCAACGACACATACACCGGTAACAATTAATGAAATAGGTAACAGTAAATAAGTGCTTTCAATAATTTATAATCACAAGTAGATTGTAATTAAAAAGCGACTGTAACCATAAATTAGCATAAACCAGATTTTAGCCTTTTCTTGCAAAGTATAACTCTTATTTTTGTTTACTTTTGTGAATGCATGTTGGGTGCAAAAAAAACAAGACATGGCTTTAAATTGTTCAAGTTACCTTGAAAATTTTGGTTATAAACTGTCAGATTCAATTGAATGTCTCTGTGAAAGGCAGATATCTTTCTCTGTCTTTCACTTTCGACACACTCAAATATTTCCTTTCTTCTTTTTGGGTCTTTCCTTCTCACACTTTCTCTTGTTTCTTTTTACAACCAACATGGAATCTGGTTCAGTTTCAAATCATATGAATCTCGCAATAGATAGATAACAATAATCTTACTTTCTTTCTTTCTCTCTTTTCTCTTAATTATTTAGTGTTTACCAGAATACTTACTGTTAATCAGTAACAAGTCACTTGTCAATGGTTTTATAATAGCTCAATTCACACATCTCATGTCATTGTTGAAAATGTGATCAACATTCATTCCCAGGTAGTAACTAAATTAATTTTCACTGGCTTTAACCACTAAAATTTGTCTAATTAATCTGTAACCATCAATGATTTAACAATTAATCACAATGGTATTGAATAATAATTAATAGCAAAAGCTTATCATTTTCCAGCTAATTCTGGTTGCGACTGTGATCAATGCTCATCATCCGATCCCCTTCTCATTGCCAATTTTTTCAATTCAATCTGCCCAGGTATTTGGGCAACAATAGTAGATAATTAATTTAGCAATTCAGAGTAGTTTTTCTCAGCTCAGATTAAATTACAAATTTGAAACTTTTGGTTACCTTGTTTTTTTAAACAAAATGAACAAAAGACTCTGCCGTTGAAACTTCCTATCTCTACAAGACAATGACTTTTTATCAAATACAGACACCAATTGATCTTTAATCAAGTCGGCTTCCAGCATTAATGATGGAATTATGATGATCAAATTGAAGGACTGAGGGAGGATAAAGCGTTATCAGAACAAGCGTTAATCGTAATTAGGAAATTTATATATTTCAATCCAAGTTGAATCAATTTTATTAACGATTTAGCTTCATTGTAAACCAACACCTAAAAAGCAAAGATATACTTTTTTCTAGCAACAGCGTTCTTCTCACCATTATGGTACCGTTAATTTTACTGATCAATGTCCTGACTTGGTCATTGGCCATTGGTCAAGATACTTGTGATGGTACCAATAGCGTGTTTCCCTGTGACGCTGGTCAAGACACTTGTATGAGACGTAAATATGGTAAAGATCAATATGTTTGTGTCTGTGATTCAAGCTACTGTGACGACTTGGGTCCATTGCCCGACACCTCAGATGGTAAAGTTACTATTTACGAAACTACCAGAGATGGACTCAGATTTCGAAAAAATTACGTCTACAAAGGTCAATCATCTTTAACTGAACCCACAGTTAAAACCAAGAAAAAGTTTACCATTAAAGTGAAGCGAGATGAGAAGCATCAATCCATTTGGGGCTTTGGTGGTGCCTTTACCGATTCAACTGGTATTAACCTTCGCTATCTCAATGACACTCTGGCTGCTCATGTTATCAACGATTATTACAGTCCTCAAGGAATTGGCTATTCAGTTGGTCGAGTTCCAGTGGGTGGAACTGATTTTTCGGATAGACCTTACACTTACAACGATGATCATGTTGACGACTTGGAACAAACCAATTTCACTTTAGCTCAAGATGATGACCTTTACAAGGTAAGGTTTACAATTTAATCTTTTACTTTCCATTGTTGACCAAATTGTCCATTATCATGTTACAGATTCCTTACATTAAACAAGCGCAAAAATTGAATGGTAATCTTAAGTTACTTGCTTCGGCTTGGTCGCCACCAGCTTGGATGAAATCATCAAACAGTATTAGCAAAAGAGGAACCTTGAAGTCATCTGATGTATATTACAAATCATGGGCCAAATATTATGCTAAGTAAGCTTTCATTTTTACCCTTTTTTCCCATTATTACTGCCTTTCAGTTTATCTTATCCCCATGATTCTCCTTAATTTCATTTTATTATTATGATAAAAAGCATAATCTGATTAATCTCATTACAAATGATATGAAAATGCGATAAAGTTAATCAGTTTCAATGGAGAGCTTTATACACTTATAGGCTTGAAAGATTGTCCAAAGCGATTCATTGATTAATAATTGAAATACTTTTCATTTCAAGTGCTGACTATCAACATTATCATTTATATTTTACATTAATTGTTTGCTTCAAAAAATGGCTTTTCAAAAATATTAGTTGAGAGCAAAATTTTCATACTTTTGGGTTTTCTGGTTAAACCATTTTTACGGTTCAATGTTCAACACATATGTTTGCCTGTGCATAATTAAAGCAACCATTATGATAATAAAGGGTTATTGATTGCAACTGTTTTCTTACATTAAACAGATTTTTCACCGAATACAAGAAAAAAGGAATTGAATTTTGGGGTTTAACTTCTGGAAATGAGCCAGTGGCTTCATACATTCATTCATCATTCAATGGACTCACTTTCACTCCTGGTTCACTTCGTGATTTCATTCGTGATAGTTTAGCCCCTGAATTAGCTAAAGCTGGTTTCCCGTTGCAAGAAAAACTCAAACTTCTCGTTCTCGATGACCAGTTAGCTGTCGTCCTTGCCTGGCTAGGTAAAGTATACGGTGATGAAGCAACTCACTCACTGGTCAGTGGAATTGCTTTCCATTGGTACCTCAACTTCATGACCCCTAACTTTGTATACAGTTTGATCCATAAATGGTATCCCGATCAGTTGCTCATCTCAACTGAAGCCTGTGAAGGTTACCGGATGATTCTTGATCCACGTAAGTTAAATTTATCCTCTAATTAATTATCCAACCAATTAATTTACAACTTTACTTTCTCTTCCTATTTTGGGTTTAAATAGATAAAGTTATACTTGGTGATTGGGGTCGAGGTGAAAACTATGCGTCAGACATAATTAATGATCTTAACCACGGAGTCCATGGTTGGATCGATTGGAACATGGCTTTAGACCCATCCGGTGGACCTAACTGGGCTGACAATAAGGTTGATTCACCCATAATTGTCAACAAAACTGCCAACGAGTATTACCGACAACCTATGTTTTACAGTATGGCTCATATTGCCAAATTTTTACCTCCAAATTCAGTTAGATTAGGAAGTAAAGGGTCTCATGGAGGTGTTGATTATACCGTGTTTCAGACTCCTGATAACAATATTGCTGTCATCATTTTAAACAAAAGCAAAGACACAATCAATTTGACTGTTGCTGCAGCTTATGGTAAAGATGTTACCTGGCAAATTAAACCCAAATCATTGACAACAATTTACGGAAAAGCATCTTGAAGAGACTTTACAAAGCAAATTGTAACCAAATATAAAAATAAAGCAAAAAATTGATCAGTTAACATTACTGCATCTTTTTACATGCTACTTCATTCCAGTTTCTGTCTAACTTCTCTTTCTTTCCTTTCAAATTACATTTATAACTTTATCATCATCATCATCATCCTCAACATCATTATTGTTGTTGCTGTTTTTTTGTTGCTTCAACAAAAATAAGCTAAACTGGATAAACTTATTCAAGTCTCATCACATTCATCCAGAATTATCTAGAAAGTTATGGAAACAATTGCTCGGTAAGAGACAGGCTCAAACTGATGGGAGTTACCATGAAGTAGAAACAAGATAATGATGCAAGGAAAATGAAGACTTTTTGATAGACAGAGAAGAAAGAAAGACAAGTTAAAAAGGAAAAAGAGAAAGAAAGAGAAAATTATTTCATTGAATGGCCTTAGGTTATTAAGTTGAACTTCTTACTGGTTTCAGGTACAAAAAGAGTTTCTGTTTACTTTCTCTTCTTCATCTTGCCTCCTGATCATCATCTTTTTATCATTACTTTCATCATCTTCTTCCTCTCACTCAACCTTATAATAATGTGTAAAATTACATTTTACTGCTGTTAGGTTTGATGGCAATTCAGATGAAAACAATCAACACCGACTAATCAAGCCTCCATTTTCATACATTTTCACAATCAACACTTTATTTACTTGGTTACCATTTAATTGATCAATCCAATTAACAAGGAAAGGGCAATTACAATCATCTAAATTATTTTACAAATCAACTTTCACCTTTTAAACAACTGTTGAACCAACCTGAAAATGTCAGACCAAATTGATAAACAGACAAAAATTGTTTATCATTGTTTACTGATCAATCAGTCATAATTAGTTAATTAACTCTTTACTTGAAACACAATGTAACCTGGTTTTAACTAACATAGACTTCACTAATAGGTTGGGAACACGAAACGAACCAGAAAAAAACCAGAAAATGGAAAGATAACCGTTTTATTGCCATTGGATTGCATTAAAATGGTTAACAATTTAAATCACACATAACCAAGTAAATTGTTATTAACAGTTGTTTTACTCAATTCACCAAACTGACTATCATTATTGATTCAACAATATTTTGCTTTGTTTTTTCATTCATTTCATTTTCATCAGTTCAGATGAAAGAAACGCATCTCTTTGATCAACAATTAGGAATCAAATTTTCTCAAAATTTTGCATTAAATTGAAAGCTAATCACTATGGATTCCTATGTTATTTGCAACTTTGACCCAATGTTACACATTTTGAACTCTTTCCTTTTTCTGGTTCTGGTTAGACTTTTTTTCTGGTTCCTACGACTATTCTTATTCTGGGATATTTTTAGAGTTAATAATTCAACTGAGTTGATTTGAGGCAACAAGTGACAAGGCTTTCTATTTATATGTTTCTCAGTCTAATTGTACTTTATCCGTTTATTCAGTCTTTTAAATCTCTTTTCATTTTAAAATTGTTCCCAGTGTTGTGACAAAATGTAACAATTTAAGACAATTAAATGGAAGATGTGAGTTACTTCAAATCAATATTTTATTATTTATTCCAGTGGAAGTAAATTTCAACTGAATTTATTCATTTTTCGGATAACCTTTCTTTAAACTGTGATCTGTGATGACTTCAATATTCCAACTGTTAATTGATTTACTAATCATCGGAATCTTGATAAATGTGCACCAAACAAAAGCAAATGTTTTTCCAAGTCAAACCCGATCTCGATATGGTTCAACATCTAAATGTCGTGGAGGAACACACACAAGACTTGGATATAATCCAGATATTCCCAGAATGGTTCCGGTTACTAAAGGCGATACAATATTTCCAGGTAACTTATCATGTTTTTTGTCCAAAAAAGTAAACAAAAATTTCTAAATTTAATCTTTGCTTTTGGCATAAATGAATGAAAATTTTAGTTGCATTAGCTTTCAAAACAAAATATTAACAATCAACTTAATTTCCAACAGCTTCTGTTCGAATACCATGTAACCGTCGATTTCCTGGTTCTTACATGGATAAACTTCCTGGTGATGGAGGCTTCAAGATAACCATTGTTGATGCAGACCATTATTACACTCCGGGTAAATCATATGAAGGTAACTTGAGTCCAGTGTGATTATGTAAATGTGATCAACTTTAATCAGAAACATATTTTGATGGACAAAGAAATTTTTCCTTTTACTTTCCTTAGTTAAACTTGCTGGCTCTCAACAGTTTACCTTGTTTCAAATGGTTCTTGAAAATGGTGGCCCTCCAACTGACCCTGATGCTGATATAATTAATCCAACGTTAAGAGATGATGTTGGTCGATTCATGGTAACTCAAGGAATTTTATCCGCATCATTGCTTTTCTAATTTTTCTTTTTTTCTTTTACCTTTTCTCAAGTTATATCAAGATGCAACAACTCGCTATTCCGATGATTGTCCCAATTCAGTTATGCATTCAGCCAACATTACAAAATTAAATGTGCGGGTCAGTTGGCGAGCACCTCCATCAGGCTCAGGCTGCGTTTTAATCAAGTAGGCATTTGTAAAGAAACATTGATTTTAATCAATTAATCAATCTATTCTTATCAGAGCATCGATTGCTGTTACACCTGATATTTGGTTCATGGATGATGGTGAGTTGACTAGACGTTTGTGTCCCGACACATCGTTGTCGATTGATGAACAACCTGAAATATTGGGACAATGTGATGCTTGTGATGAAGCCAAATATCAATTGTTGTTTAAGATACTTTGGTCAAAATTTACTCACCCCAAGAATATTCCCGACAAATGGTTGTCTTATTTTTCAAGTTTGATTGGTGCTTCACATTCAAATGAATATCGCATGTGGGAATATGATGGTTATGCATCTAAAGGGTTGAAACAATTGGCCGAAGACGGCAACACTGAGTTATTGAAGGCCGAGATTCGTGAAAGTGCTTCAAAAATGAGGTTCGTTTCAATAATTTTTTACTTTTAAGTTCACTTTGAAATCTTTTTTTTCTTATTTTTTCTCTTGTTCCGATGGTCAATGTGTTTCTTCAGGACAATTATAAAAGGCCGTGCTCTTGGTCTAAATGATCATCGAGGTCAAACATTTGCCATTTTCAGAGTTGATCGAGAAAACCATTTATTGTCATTTATATCTAAACTTGGTCCAAGTCCTGATTGGTTTGTTGGCGTTTCAGCTTTTGAATTGTGTTTAAGGAACAGTTCATGGTTAACTGAACGAACTATGAACCTCTATCTATGGGATGCTGGTACTGCTTCAGGAGACTCTTATCAATCTAATCCTAGACCAACAATGCCACCAGAAAGGATTCATGCAATTACTTCTTCGTGGCCTGGAGAAGAGGGAAAATCACCTTTTTACGATCCAACCGGAGCTAAAATTAAACCATTTGCTCAAGTAACGGTTAAACGATTGCGAACTTATCCAAGAACTTGTGATGAAATTGTGAAAAATAACAACAAGTTCAGTCACAATTATTCAGGAGACACTGAGGAACCTTTGATAACCGATAACAGACGTAAGTTCAACCCAACTCATTTCCTTAAAATGACATTCAAAAATATTCTTCGTCTTTTACTCAATCATGTGATTTCAACTATTGAATGGAAACTGTTGAGTGAAAGTTGAGTTATTTTTGTTTGCTATTTTCTGAGTTAGAAAATGAAGTTTCATTGTATTAATATATTTGAATCAGATAATTAGCCTAGTTTTAATCTATGATTTCTATTCCATTAGCTGAATGTTCAGTTACTCCATGGGCACTGATGACTTGCATTGGTGAACCTTATGAATCTGGTGAGCAAATCCGGAACCGTTCATATATTAATCCAGTTTCTGCAGCTTCCATGGGATGTCAGAATGTATTGACAGATAAAATTCCTTGCATGCCTGGCTGTAATGGTGAAAATATCTGTGCTCTATCTGAATGGGGACCGTGGAGCAGGTGTGATACAACCTGTGGTCGAGGTAAACGGAATCGTCGTCGTTACTTCATCCATCATGAAGCAGGCAGCTACTGTGATTCGTCCATGTTGGTTGAATCAGAAGAGTGCCATGAATGGAGTGACGATTGTTCAACTAAAGAAGCACTTGGTTCTTCGCCCGAGGATCCAAGATGTATAACAACACCTTGGAGTGAATGGAGTCCATGTTCAGTCAACTGTGGTCTTGGTACAAAGTATCGTAAACGATTCTACGTGAGTGCTCGAGCAGCTGAATTTTGTTCAAAAGAGTTGCACCAAGAAACCAACTGTAATATGGGAGTTAAAGATTGCACTCCAACCAGTGAAGAGACAAGACCAAGACCAACAGGTAAGGCTAATTAATCAATTGTTTATCACTCAATCATCAATCCTTTTTGTCTTCATTTGATTGTCAGATATTTGCCTCGCTCCTCTTCGAAGTGAACCATGTTTAACAGGAATGCTTGCTGAGCCAATCAGACGCTGGTATTATGATAATCAGTCTCAACTTTGCTTGCCTTTCAACTTTACTGGATGTGAAGATATTTCCAACAACTTCAAGACTAAACAAGATTGTGAGATACTTTGCCGGCAAATGCTCAACTCTAAAGGTTCAGTCATTACTAACTGACTTCTCAGTTTCATTTAAATATTGTAAATTGGAAATGATTAAACATTCATTGTTAACATCAATCAATTGATTCAACATGAAATAAGCTTGCATTTGTAACATTTAGTTGAAGCTTTTTTGATTTCATCTGCTATGAATATGATGATTCTGCAAGAAGCTGAATTATTTTTGCTCTTGCTTTTTGGACTTTGAATTATATGCCATTAATTTGATCATTTATGCTCTTCAATTAACCCATCTTGACCGGAAGTTTTTTAAGGCTTGATTGTCCTTGTCCAATTACACTTGATTCATTATTAGATAATCAAATGATATTGTAGTTGCCTTTTAAACCAGTTTTGTTTTTGTCTCTTTTTGACAAAAACTCATTTCACTTTTTTTTCATTGCTAACTGAACTCATAATTTCAAACTTGAAATGGTTCCGTTTTACAATTTACCGTCTCATTTATTGCGGGTCAACAATTGATGAAACAATTGATCTTAAAAAATACGCTGTATTCAGCTAATTAACAGTTATTTGAGTCAATATTTTCTTTTGATAACCACTCAACATTCACAATTTTCTTGTATCATTTCTAGATAATCATTTTCATGAACTGATTAAATTTGAATAACAATAATAACCTTGATTGAAACCCTTTTTCATGTTTATTGACAACATTACAGGAGAAAGTAAGCAGAAAAAAAATTGTTGGCTTAGCCTTGAAAAGATGAAAGTAAATGAAAAAATTCAGAAGATGAATAACAGAAAAAAACCCTTTTCCGTTGCTAAGTTCAGGTGAAACATTGAACCTACCAAAAGGAAAAGGATGAAAAAATAATGATGTTGATGAAGAATGATGATGGAAAATGCTGCAGAAAAATAGCGATAAGAATAAATTCATTTTTGACAAGCCTCATCATAAGCTAATTCTGATCGGACAAGGTTAACTTGTTAGGTTGCAATTGTCAAGTCTAATACCCTAACCAGACTGACTTTTGTTCAAAGATTGATCAAGAGTGAAAGTCCGTAAAAAACCTTGACTTTATGTTCAACTTGATGGGACAGATAAGATGCTGTTAGGTTGAAAGTATCAAGTCTAATAGCCTAACCAGATTGACTTTTTTGGTTTAAAGGTTAGCCAAAAGTAAATGAATATTTGCTCGTAAAAAGGCTTGACTTTATGTTAGACTTGATGGGACAAGTGGCACTCTGTCAGGTTGAAAGGTTGGCGTATGAGCCTTTGCTGTTACTTTTCTTTGGTAAAATGTTTCATATGTTTTCATGTTTATGATTGAAAATGTCTTCCAAAATAGCAGCTACTTGTTTAATTGAACCAGGATTGCTGGCTATTTTCCTGTTTTACCTTTACCTGGATACAAACCTGACCGGTCACTAGGTAAAATGCCTGCAGATAAATAAAAGACCGGCTTTAACCGGTCATAGCAACTACCATTTGAAAATAATTTGTGATTACAGGGTATTTACCAGTGATGATGATGATGATGATGAGAGTGAGAGTTACAAGGTGAAACTTGATTTCATTTTTTTGTGATATTTTTTTATCTTTTTTTGTTTCATTAAATCAAATAAAGCAAGTACCAAGAGTGACCTATTGACCTGAAATGCAAAGAGATTTTTTTCTCTCTGTTTTTTCCTATTATTACAATAACATGATGGTTGATGATATTATTTAGCTGATTGTTGGCTGTTGTTTATTTGTAACTTGCGGCTAAATTGGATTGTTTCCTTGTTTAAATGATTTTTAATGCAAGTTTGTTTCTCATTTCAACTTTTGCTTGCTTTTTCTTTTGCTCATTATTAATCAAAGGTATGAAAGTGAAGTGCAAAATGATGATTATTGGATGTTAATTTTAATTGAGGAAGTAAATTACCGGTGAAAAAATTGTGACAATTGTTTTGCCTTTTCACAATCCAAGTTGCAAACAAACAATGTTTTACTTTTTTTCAACGCTCCAATGTTTTCCAAAGATATCAATGGAAGCAATAAATCAATCATCAATTACATTGTTCAAAAGCCTAAATTGTTGATTTTTATTGTTCAAATTTGATTAACCAGTTAACCAGTTAAGGTCACAACCTGTAAAGGTTAAGGTAAAAAAGTTGTTTGATGTAAAAAAACATTTCAAAGTATCTAAAGTATCTATTATTATGTTGATCATTTCAACTCTTAAAGTGAATTTTGATTGTAATATTAGTTGCATTAAAGCCATGTAATTGAGATTCAGTTAATACAACTCAGGATCAAATATTAATTGTAAGATAATCTTTTAATTGTTAACATTTACCTTGGACTAGATTGGCACAGAGAACTGGTCAGATTGAGTTCAAATAATGACCATGAAGGTAATGAGAGTCAAGAAAAGGTCTTGCAAACCCAATTCTAGACTAAACCCAAAACCAAAAGCCAATGTTTTCCCTTCAATCGCACCTTTTCCAACCTGAATTGTTTCACTTTTTTTTCATTGATCAAGATGATAATCAATTGCAGCTAAAATGATAATTTAATGTTGCCACTAAGCTGTATAAACTTGAGATTTGTTTGTATTTTTAAATTGTTAAATTGATACATTTCTCGAGTAATTACTTTGATTTGATTCGTTTGCAAGTTGCTTTTGTTGCCAATTTTTTCATTGCAATTGTTGATATTGATTTATTGGTTGAGATTGAAAAGTTTGAAAGATTAACCTTGAAAATGTTGAAATGATTAACCCAAACTTGAAATTAAATTACTGGGCTGGTCAACCAATTCAGATAATTTCAAGTTTCAATTCAATCCTCTTTTTCCTTCTCTTTTCTTCTTATTAATACACCGATAATTACAGGATGATCAGGTTGATGGCGAGAAAAAAAAAGATGAAGACGAAGAAAAAAAATTGGAAACCTTTTCATTCCGAGGTCTTGTTAAATAGTATATTTAAAGTGAAATTTAACATTGATTAGTTAAATAATGAATTAACCAAGTTCATGTTTATTAAGGTCATTTACAATTTACTAATTGTGCTTTCAATTGAACAAAATGAGCAAAAATGCCAATCAAAACGACTCTCTCTTTTAACCCAAACATTGAAAGAAACCAGAAAATTAGTAAAAAAAAAAACGGTTGACACCAAAATTTTACCAGAAAAATTGATCAACTTTTCTTAATTTGTCTAAATTAATTTACAGTTTAAAGGTCCACCAAAATAGCAATTACAAGTGATTAGGAAAAGCGGTGAAGAGTTTTTTACCGTTGATCAACTGATTGTTGTAAACTACGCACTTCTCAATGAGAATCAACTAATTCAGTTTATTTTGCTTTTTCTGCTTCTCCTGATTATTGGCAACTTTGTCGTCTAATTGTCCAATCAGTTTTTTTTCTGATGATTAGGTTTGTAACTTCATCTGTTTGTAAAATGTCAAATAACAGAGGGAAAAAAAGATGATTCAAAACAAATGTATTAATGGAAGGAAAGATTTTCCCTTTTCTCTCTTCTTTTTTTGCTGCTCTTCATATCATCAAATCAATTGATCTTGATGATAATGGTGATGATGAGAAGCACGTGATTATTTAATCATGATTCGGTATGTTTCCATATGAAAAAAGCTGAAATGCAGCAGAAAATGAGATGAAAAATGAAGGAAATGATTGATTGGGAGAAGAATCTTGTTGCCTAATTTATGTTGCTGCTTCGCAATTTACACAATTAGCTGATCAATGCTAATCAACTATTAATATGGATAATTGCTGATGTCGAGTTAATATTTTACTTTTTGTCTTATTTATCAAAAACATGATAATTCATTGAATCTCATCCGCCTCTTAAAACTCCTAAACCCAAGCAACACAAATCTTGTTGCCATTCAATTCCAGTTCAAAGTTTACCCAAATCCAATGGCAATTCAAGCAAACAATTAACTTCTCTGTTGATCAAGTTTCAAGCTTCATCCCCAAATCACATGCAAAATGAAAGTGAAACTTGTTTCAAAATGGTTCAATTATTTGCGCCTTGAGCGTTTTTCTTGTTCTTGTTTTTTGTGTAACTTTTTTTGCTATACAAAAGCCTGAAAAGCTTGAAACAGTTTCAATTAGAAAATTTTTCTTTTTCTCTTTTCATTTTTTTCTTGTTTCCTGGTTTTCTGGTTAAATATGAATAAGTTTTCTTCTTTTCTCACAGAATTACATTTCCAGCTTATCCTAGATTCTGTTCTGTTTTTCTTTCTATTTTACATTCTCTGAGTGTTCAAGAATATTTAGATTGCAAAAGAGCTCAAGTTTTCATCATGTTACATGTAAATTCCCTGTGGTTGGATTAAAATTTGCAATTGATTCAAAAATATTGACAACTGTTTAACAAGCTTTTCTTATTGTAACAACATTTGGTTTCTTTGAACATTTTGCTCTTTTAATTGTTGATTGTTTGCTGATAATAATTTATTTGAGTGTAATAAGATTAGATTAAAATGAATGAGAAGAAGAAAAAGTTTCATCTGACAAATTTGAGTGGAATTGTTGTTGAGCCAAGAATCAAGGATAATCATTGAGTAAAAATGAAACACCAATTGAGAGTAAGATGAAGATGGAAATGATTAGGAAGAAGAAAAGTGCAATTGTTGTTAAAGGTTGTTAACTGACATTTGAATCTCCATCGAGAGTGGCCTCATCGAAAGGCCTCAACTAATTAAACGGCCAACCTCATCACAATCAGGTTAAATGATGAATTATTAAGTGTTACAAAACATGAACAATTTTAATTAAAATGATAATACAATTGGTCAAATATGGTTTAAAGATTTTCAAAATGGCTAAACTTACCCAAAGTTAACCAGAAAATTGAATCTCTTTAAAGACCTGCAAATGGCCAGAATAAAAGAAACATTTGAATCTTTTTCTGCTTGAAATGAATTTAAATTGAATCTTAATTTTGATCAACTGATTAGTTTACAGTTTGTCGTTAATGTTAACTTTCCTTTTTAAACTGTTAATTGTAAAACTGAAAAGTACAGTTTTGGTGAAAAGTTGACTTATGGCTTTTGATTTGTTGATTAGCCAGTCTTAATCTTTCCATTAAGCCGGTGATTTGAAACGTGTTTTAATTTAGTTTGACATTAATTGTGACACACAATTGAGACTAGTCAATAAGGATTTAAGTTGACCAATCCAAGTGGGTGGTCAAATGTGTTAGTAGAGGCCTGGTTAGACGTCAACCCACGTACCATGTGAATTAAATGTGATCCAAACCTGGTGTGACCCGAATTGGTTCAATGAAGAAATGTTTCAACCGAAAATGTTGAAATTTTTTCTCCTAACTTTATTGTCCTCTGGTTGAGATTATCTGAGTTTTTTTTCAACCAGATTCTGGTCTTAAATGATAGACAATCATTTTTGGATGAAAGCTGAAATGCAGGTCAATAAGGCAAATGCTAAACGCTTTTAAAATATTTACATTTAAACTTTCAATTTTCAAGGTTTCACCGTTTCAATTTTATTCAACTTACCTTTTCCTGCTTTTTTTGCCTTCTGATACTTTATCATGTTATTTACATGAAATTTACGATTCATTGAGCCAACTAAATGTTCAGCAGATGATTATGAGCAACTTTTCTCTTCTATCTTCATCAACTAATCAATTGATAACCGTTTATCACAATCATCCACTAAACCCGTTTACTGAACCATTTTGTACAATCATTTGCGAAAATCAGTTTAGCTAATTGCTGTTGATAGTTTAATGCGAGATTTAACTTGATTAAACACTGATTTAACTGTAAAAAAGTATTGATTAGTATTAATCATTTTTGGTTGACTTTTCAACTTCCATTGTTTCCAGCAATCAATATCACTTGTTTAATTACGAATCTGATTATTGTCTCTATTAGGTGTTGATCAGTTTTCGAGTTTTCATTATAGATTCGTCTTAATTTTCATTTAATCGACCAATCTTTTTATTGATTAGCAGACATTAACAAGATTATTAAATGATGAATACAAATAGTAAACAATTTTTAAAATTTTAATCAATCAGTTAAACTGGGAAATGCTTTTTGCTATAATTATTGGTTTTAATGATTTAAGGCTGAGTTAACAAATGGTTATATTGTCTGGTAATGATGACAGTTTTAGTTAACCTTTTAATTGGGTCAATCAGGTTGTTTTATACAATTGTAACCGGAATCTCGACACAAACCAACAACTGTCCAGGATGAAGTAGCCAATTGCACTTGCTTTTCTTACATGGTTTAGCCTCACGAATCAAATAGCGAGCCCACAAGGTTGTCTAATAAAATCAACATTTAGATTAGTTTAGGCCTTAATCAATAGAGACACAAATTTGAAGTGAAAATCAAGTTACCTTTGGCGATGAGCTAAGAATATTGAAAATGTTATTGAAAAAATACTGTTTTCCCGACACTAAACCTTTGCCTTCAACTGACTCAAATGTACCATCTTCACCAACCAAGAAGGTCCTATCGTCTGCATTGACTCCACCACCATAAGGCACCTCAACGTACTTGTTTTTCAGCTTCTTGGCAAACTTGGCCATAATTACTCTTTCGATTGGAGTTGATACATTTACTTGTGGAGCTGGAAGAAGACAATTAACGTTTAATCTATGGTTAATCATGGTAAAGAGCTCGGGTTACTTACTGAAGTAGATGGTGAAGTTTGTATTGTCACCTCGTGAAAACAAGCATGAAGTGTTGGTGGATGAAAGTTCACAGGGAGTCACATCGACTGAAATATTGGTTGATAATGGGGATCGACCTTCACCTGTACAATAATCAAGAATGGGATTAACGCGAGTTTCAATGTTTGTACATTTAATCACTTACACAATGAGAATGGAGCTGTGAAACAGTTTACGGCCAAAACAGAGGCCAAAATGGCGAAAATTTGAATCAACATTTTAAACGGGAAACAATGGTTAAGATGGTTGGATTGGGTGAAAAATGCTGTTTTAGCCAAATTTGGTTGAATGAAATGAGAATCGGAAAGAAACAAAATGTCTTTTTCTTTGAATGATTCTTGATGAATATGATGCTCAAGACGATGATCAGGATGACGATTATCTGATGTTTAAATTGATCTACTTAGGCTTTGATATTGTTGACTGAATCCGCCCGTTATCTTGATAATAATAAGAGCATCTTAAGACTCTCAAGTACAATTTGAAAATTGGTAAAGCTCACAATGTGATTATAATGGATGATAACAATTGATTGAAACGATGATTGATTTATCCTTGGATTTTCTGAGTTTACTATTAAATTTTAATTACATTGATTCCAAGTTGGATCAACTCAAATTAAAGCTCATCATCATGTGAACTGTGTGACTTGAAATTGATCTCAATTGATTCATTTAATGGGCTTAATCAATCAATGATCAACGGAACTTGGACTAATGATTATGCTAATGATGATCATCAGCTAATAGAAGGGACAGAATCCGGAAGATTTACAGGTCATTTTGAGCATCGATTTAATCGATATCAACCGTTAACAAGCACGATTGAACAGCATTTGTATTGCTCATAATAATCATCTTATTACAATCAAACTTGAAATTGAAAGTTAAAACGAAACGGAATGAGATAAGGCTTGAAGGCAAAAACGGCTTTTCTACACTTTAAATGTTGATTGTTACTTAATTGTGATTAACCCTTGAGCGCAAATGTTAACTTTCATCCTTTTATGAATCAACAGTTACCAAGCAAAGTTACAGAACGGTTAAGTTAGATAATATATTTTATAAGACAACAAGGTCGATTTCAAATTGCTTTTGATTCATATTTGACTCTTTTTTGTTGACCATTATTATGTCCATCTATTGGTCTTGTAATTGTTGGGTGAAAATTATTTAAATGAAGGTTTCATCCTTTTCAGGTTTATTTTGACAGTTTTGCTGGTAAAGCTGGTTTTACCTTTTGATCAACTGCTATTCTGGTTTACACGGTAATCGTTTGTTAATCTTGATTGTTTATCTGTTTGTAGTCGCTTTTTTGGCTCCTATTAACCGGAAGAATGTTGATGTTTGATGTTGATGATCAACAGGAAAAATAATGTTGACAGAGATGTTAACAGAAGAAACAACAAAAAGGCAAAATCAAATGGAGGAAAAGAGTTGTGAAGGTTGGCGTTTGTTTAAGATTACTGTTGATGGTTTGTTTAAGTGTTTAGGCCTGGAGAGTATCAATTTAATTATACTGATTCTCATCTTGTCCGGAAACAATTTTTAACTTTCATTCAATTTATCAACAACAATTATGCTAATTATAATCAAATCTTTAATCATTCAATTTACATTCAAATTTGCCTTTCATTAATTTTCACTATTTTGACCGGTATCTGTAACTGGTTATCAAACCGGTAACTCATTTTTAACCGGTATCTGGTGCTTTTTTTGTACGCTTTGACCAGAGCTTCTTTTCAGGTTCGACTTTGTTATTTAATTATCATCTACTTAATAGTTGATTCTCTAATCTTGTGTGTGTCAAATAATTAATGTACAACAATAAATCAACTTCCTGATTGTTGATAGTTTACCAAATAAAAGATGGTTTCTCTATTTTCTGCTGCTATACAAAGCCAGCCGATCTGTTGGTGTGTTTGTCATATTGAAAGAAACACTTGTAACTCTCATTTTTTCTGGTTATCCAAATATTCTGATATAATTATTCACCTTTAAACTGATCATCAGATTAATATTGATGAACTTTTAAATTAATACATCATTTGTGGCATTTGTAAATTGATGCAAATGTAAACCATATGTTCCTTTGGTATAAAATTTCAACCTTTTCTTCTGGTCTCGGAGGTTTACAGCTTTTTTGTTACATTGTTACCCAGTTATGGATCCTGATTATTAAATAATTGTGATTAGATGTAGAACACAGATTGATAACCATTGATTACGATTAGAATTAAGTTGATAATTGTTTATGGAAAATACATCTTGATATGATTTATAATGTATAATATACTATAAATTATTACATGTAATGTTTAAAAGCCATTTTTCTTATAATGACTACAACAGGCAAATAACGACAGCAACAGACACACACATATAACCACAAAAAAGGTTAAGTCTTTGATTAAATTTACGTCATTGGAACCAAATCAGTGGAGATTTATCTAGCAGATTGATGAATGAACCAAGATAAATCAGACGAAAAGTAAATCATTTCTTGATAATGCGTCAATACAATCAAGTAAATCATTAGTTTAGTGGCATAAAATATACTGACTTCAATAGACGCTGAGAGACAATATTGCAAGACCAACAATTAAATCGCATTAATAATAACGGTTATTATTTATACTTTTGTAATATTTAATTGTTATATTAGACTGAAAAAGTACAATTTACAAATTCCAAGCAATATAATGTAAATCAAATTGAAAGCGACTTCCATGATCGTCAAACATTACAGCCATTAACCAGGCAAAATCAATTGACAAAAGTATATGAAGGTGTGAATTATTTAACCATTTAGCTTTCAAATGATGATGATTGCAATACAAATGATGGTGACAAAACTGCCCTTGAACCTTGTTGTTAAGCTCAATTGTATTATTAATATTGTCATTACAATATTGTCACAGAACTGGCAAATAGACCGATAGAAGCTATCATTTATTATCATTTATTATCATTAAAATAATCATCATCATCATGATCCTCATCATGAGTTGTTTACCTCACTTTCCTTACCTAACAATCAAGGTTAACTTTGCTTTTGTTGATCAACATTGACAGCTTCAAACTGATCAACACTTAACCAAGTAAAGTATTTATGAGAAACTATCCAATGTTAACAATTAACAGAGTTGACCGCAGGACTGTTGCTAATCAACTCTTGATGTGATACCAGAATCACCTGATGTTACATGATGGTTAACGGTGGAAACTCATGATAGGGGAAAATAGCTATTAATAACAATAGAATCAACTGTTGGAAAATAGTTAATTGTATTGAATTGATTGAAATTTGATAGGAAAATTGAAGAAACTTGTTACAATTGTTTAACCTGAAATGAAGATGTTTCAGAGTTAATCAGATGCGAAACGATTAACACAAAATAAGTTAATAGTAAACCTTGAAAAATGAAACGATGAACAGACTAAATTGATGAGCAATTTGAATCAAGTTTATGTTGACAATTAGGTGCACTTTAATTGACTCTGTTTTTACCATTAACTTGATAACCTTTAATGACCTTGCATTTAATTGTGTAAACCTTAACAGAAACAAAAAGTGAATTAAAAAGTTTAAGTTAATTGTGTGTTCAAGAAAAGCCAAATACGAGTCAAGATAAATGTAAATCAACAGGTAAAAAGCGCTTTCCAAATAACAATATGTAAATGAACATGAACAAGATACATTAATTGTTCAATTTAACATGATATTAACACTTGTTAACAGATTGCATGTAACACTTGTCCATTGCTGTGAACCCCTTAATTAAAAATCAGTTGATTGTTTGGTAAAAATGTCAACCTTTTTTGCCAATTTTTTGTGTCTCTTTTAAAGAATCGCTAACAACTGTTGTTATTAGCTGTTGAACACTTTTTGATTGTGATCAGTTAATTGTGATTAACACTGTGATTGTGTCTCTCTTTTTTCAAATGTTAACATTGTAATAATTTTGTTTCCATTTTGCTGTTTATCACCATTAACCATCATTAAAGCAGCTTTCATTTAATTGTGCATAATTGATGGTTGTTAAAGTGTTCATCACACTTTAATTGTGCCAAAAATGAAGCAAAAAACGTTTCATTGTTAATGAAGGTCAATTGAAAATTGATCAAATCAACAATCAATTGATTTACCATTCAAAATGAAACATTTGATTAAAGGTTTCACTTTTGGCTTTCATTTCATTTTCATCTTTTTTTGTATCTTTTAACCCAACCAATGGCTTTAAATTTCAACTATTTATATCCTTGATTGTGATCAAATTGATTTACAATTAAATCCACAATCAAGTCCTTGTAAACTCTTTGTATTTAAACAAGGTTTAACTGATTCATCTAACCCAAGATCACTTTTGTCTCATTTCAATGAACCGTTTTTTTGGGTTAACCTTTTCAAGCTACACAGAGTTGACCTTTTGATGAACAAGAATTGAAAAATAATTTAAATTGTTATGATTCAAATGTTATCAATTTTAATTGCAGACTTTTCAAGGTGTAAATAACTGATTGACTTTTTGTTGTTAAACCCAAAATTCAAGCTGAGATTTGTAAATGAGATTCAAAAAATGAATTGCATCTTTGATTGTTTCAGTTTGCTTTAATTGTTAAGAATCAAACATTTATTACGCATCTAATTCACACACAAAGCTTTAATCAGTAAATTACAATCAGTGATTTAATAGCAAAATCTGGTCTTTTATTTTTCGGTTAAACCAGGTTCAATGTTTCTGGTTAAGTCCATTTTTACCTGTTTTGGGTTTTGATTGAACCCGCAATCAGTTTATTGTTTATTCATTAAAAAAGGTTAACGTCGTTGATGATTATAAATACAGATTGATGAGGGTTTTCAAAGGATTGTTAATTGTTCAACCATTGAATTAATAAGTCAACTGCAACATGATAACATATGATTGTGAAAAGGTAAAAGTGACAATTAAAAGCATTTAAAATAGTTTATTTGTAAATGGGCAACAATTTACATAAAAAGGTATCAAACCAATATTTACATATCACCTTGATTATGGTATAATAATGAAGGAATCACCTCACATTTGATTGTCCTCTTTTCCTAATCAACTGTTTCAAATGTTTTGGTTAAAACAAGTTTGTAATTAGAAGCAAATAATTGTCAAATTGTTTCCGGACCAATTTATTTAAATCAACAATCTTTAGTGACAATAATCAACCGATTGTTAAACTTGATTGACAAAGATTCATCGATTTGAGTTGATCAAAGTTGATCAATAAAGAAACTATTTTTTACCATCTTATATGCCTTTTGAATTACATTTTTTGTTCATTTTTTTCAATATAATTTTCACCTTTTTTTTCGTTTCCTGATTTTTTCTTCAATTTCAATGTATAATTGCCATTCAATTTATGCAATTACAATGAGATTTACCTTTGAAAACATTTAACTCGTTCTGGTTGATAGGAATGTTTAAGCTGGTTATCATTATAACAGCAATTAACTGTCTACAAGTTGACAATGATTAACCAATTGTGACACTTTTAGATGATTTAACCCTTGGAGTTAAGATTAATGACCTGGGTCACTTGATTAGTGGTTTAATTAAGAAACAACTTTTACTTTTTCAAAGTTAACCTTTGAAATGACAGAAAAGCTGAAAATTGTTGCTTTTTTGCCATTTTCTGGTTTCTTTTTCCATGAGACTCAGAATTTTGACAATTTCAAGTTTCTTTTTCCCTTTTTTATCTACAATCAAGTGAAAGGTTAATTTGAACCATTTTTAGCTTGATTTGAAGAGATTTTGTGTTTTCATTTTTCAACATTTGTTGAGTAAAATTGATGGAATGGCAAGTTTTTGAATCGCTGATGAACCAGAGTTAATTTGATTAACAAATCAATTGGAATTGGGTCAATTCCAAGTCAAGGTTTAACTCATGTTTTATGAAAATATTGTAAACAATCAAGAACAATATGTTTTTGCAATTGTTGATGGAAGTCAATTGTTTAGACTTTTTGGGTTTTTAGTTTTGTTCATCTTTTCCAGGTTTGATTGTTACAACAATTACCATAGACTGTTTAAATTGATTTATCTGATTAAATGTTACCTCCATGAATTGGCAAAAGGTTCAACATGGAAAGATGAAATGTTCAGTTGTTGATTCAATTTGACATGAGTATTTTGGGTTCAGGTCATTGCAATCCTTTTATGGTTCCTTGAATCAAAAACACACACAATTTAACTTAATATCAATTTAGTGATAAACATTTTTGCATTTAAAATGTCAAATGTTACAATTGTAGTTACAAAGACAATGGTGTTAACCATATATTATTAATAATGTGTGGTAGATTGAACATTGACTAGATTATATTTCAGGTAATCAACCTTTTAACCAGAGATAATTGTATTATTTCTGTATGTTTTATCATGAAATTATTTCATTTTTTTCTAGATCTTTGTTTTTATGTTTTCCATTCTCTATAATAATGGGTCGCTGATGAGAGACAGTTGACAATGATTCAGAATCAGTGATGAGCAAATGTCTAGGATTGAGGGAATTTTCAGATAAAATCATGTAACTCAATGGAACATATTTTTAACCTATTTTTGTCTTAATATCAAATGCGACTAATTGTTACCTTTCAAGACATTAACTGTAAATATCAACTGTAAATATTAGCTGTAAAAATTCATTGTAAACATGACTGGTAATTGTGTACCAGATATAAACAAAGGTTGGTAAAGATTCCTGAATTTTCTGGTAAAAATGGCAAATTCTGGTTACATTTTTTATCAAAGTAAATATTTCCTTTGAAAATGTCAACTGACCATAAAATAAAAAAATGAAAGTCAATGTCCACTTTGAATAACCTTAAGTGGACAATTACAGTAAATGTTGAACACAGAGAAAGATGTTTGTTATTTTTACAAGTTTGTTTTTTCTGGTTCACCTCAAAATGATTTCATGATTGATGGATGATAAAATGAAAGCTTCAAGGTTAAGATGATGATAAGAAGGAGGAGGAAGAAGAGAGGAAAAGGATTGTAAGTGAGAGTAAAGGTGGAAGATGGGAAAGGAAGGTGAAAAGATGAGTTTGATTGGTGAAGATGAAATGAAATATTACAAAAAAGAAACATGAAACAACAGGTTATTTGTTGATGTTTTTTTCCCATTCATCTCATTGTTTGCTGACAATGATTTTTCATGTTGATGTTGATGGTAATAATGATAGTGAAATGATGAAAATGATTATAACTCTTTGTTCTCATGACGATTAGCAAAGATGAGGATGAGTTTTGCCTCAAAATAAAGATTGGTTGATTGAACAAGCTAAAAGGTGATAAACATTAGGAACCATTTTGTCTTCCAAGGGCAATCAAATGATTATGATTTAGTGTTAATTCAATTCATGCACTGTATTAAACTTCCAATTATGTGACCATGAAAATCGTTGGGATTAGGCCAAGAATTCAATCAATGAAAAGACGTGTTTTCCAGTTACAATGTGTTATCATTTTAAAATGATGATATTTCAGTTCAATTGATTAGCTGATAATTTTTCAGTATTCTCGTTCATTTTTTCTTCCCTCTAAAATCATCACTTTCAGGATGTTTGATCATGTTGTTTACTCGGTGTTATGAATACTTGGTTTGCTCTTTTTTTCATCTGCGGTAAAACCCTGATGATTGAAATTCAAGAAAAATATTCATGTTCATGTGTCATCGAGATGTCAAATTATTTCTTTAAAGATGGTTAAATTGATGAGAGCAATTTGGTTACATTGTTAAGTCGGTTTAAGAGAGTTTAAATTCAACTTGTATGCATTTCGGGTTTGATTGATTGATTTTATGAATTCCAAGCAGCATAATGTAAATCAAATTGAAAGCGAATTGATCGTCAAACATTATAGCCATTAATCAGGCAAAATCAATTGGCAAAAGTATATGAAGGTGTCAATTATTTAACCACAAATGAGCTTTCAGATGATGATGACAAAACTGCCCTTGAACCTTGTTGTTAAACTCAATTGTATTATTAATATTTTATTACGATATCAGATTATATTTTGATCAAATTGATCTACAATTAAATCTACAATCAAGTCCTTGTAAACTCTTTGTATTTAAACAAGTTTAACTGATTCATCTAACCCAAGATCACTTTTGTCTCATTTCAATGAACCGTTTATCATTTTTTTGGGTTAACCTTTTCAAGGTACACAGAGTTGACTTTTTGATGAACAACAAGAGTTGAAAAATAATTTATACTTCAAATGTTTTCATTTCTGTACATTACTTTGCTAAAAAACGCTCAAACGACTGGTGTAAATCAAAAGCCAGAAGTGTTTAATTATTTTTCATTCTCGAAAATTTAAGCCCGAAAAGAATTGTCACATTAGGCGTCTTACCTTGTCAAAATTTCCTCAATTTTAAGTTTCTTTTTTCTCGTTTTTCTTTAACAATCATTCAAGTTAATTTAAATTTAGCTCGTATAAGGTTTATAAGAACAACATTACAACAAGAATTTGCTCAACAATAGACTTGCCAAAATTAAAATTAGCCCTAAATCTAAGATCCAAGCTCTAGATCTTAGTGATACGGAAGAAAAATTCAGGATGAAAAAGTGAGCCAGTGAATGAGAATGATGATGAGAGTGAGAGTGAGGTCTAATTAGAATAAGATTAAGATTAAAAGATAAACCATATAAGTACTCTTTATGGTGTTGGAGCGATTCCCTGATAGTAGGAGGATCTTTGGTTCGATATGAACAACTTTAAAGGTTTTCACAGAACTCCTCCGCATCCCTGACTTTTTATGTAACCTCCAGGTTCGGTCTCAATTGATTTCCCCAACTGAGCAGCTTTCTTAACTCTCTGTCATCATTTCTTTTCGAGCCTCCTTCTTTCACAATCGTCGATTCTCGCTATCCCAGTCTTTTACTGTGCTGCCCCGGAAATTATCAAACTTTCAAGATTAGGAATCTTCACCTAAGAATTGTTCAATCTTTTTAATTAGTTTTAATTCGTGTTAAAAAGTTAAAATTTATATCAAATAATCAAAATGACTCGAAGTGATTCATCAAAAAAACGAGCAACACGATCAACATCCAATGTGTTCGCTATGTTTACCCAAAACCAGATAGCTGAGTTTAAGGAGGTAAGTTGTTTACAAAATTTACCTTTGAATAAATATTAGCTTTCAATTTTGCAGCAAAAAATTGTTTTTGATACCAGAAAAGATCTAATTTGGTTATTATAAAGTGAATTTAAGTGAATTTAACAAATTGTGATTCCCAAGTCTCTCGATTAACTCTAATATTACAATTTAAGATGTTCATTATGATTTTTACTTGCAAAAATTCTTAGGAAGTCGATTGGGTTTCAGTAATAATCAGCTGTTTGTTATTTATCCAAATCAAGTTGATCTGTTGTGGTAATCACCGATAAAGATTAGCTGATAATCTTGCCAATGTTATCTGAGTATTATTGACAGAAAAAGGTCAATTATTCGTCCTTTTTCAATCATTTGTCCAAAAATTGAGTGAAAAACTTCATTTTTAATCAACACACTGAGTGTAAATTATTTGGATGAAGTGCAAGTGAAGAGCTGACTGCAAGTGTAAATATTACAACTACTCAGATAACAGAATATTGAATAAACTTTAAACACTCGTCTGATTGACTCAATTTAAAGTTGATTTAATCGAAAGATTGTACATGATATAATTAGCATGAAGCCTGATTGAAGTTAACTAATTTCACTTTCTCTTCTCTCAGGCATTCCAATTTATCGACTCTAATAAGGATGGGATTATTGACAAAAATGATCTGAGAGCGACTTTCGATTCACTTGGTAATTATTCACATTAAATGAAGAAGATGATTTTACTTACAAATTATTTTTATTAAAGGTCGCATGTATCCCGATGATGAGTTACAGTCAATGTTGTCCGAGGCTCCTGGTCCATTGAACTTTACCATGTTCTTGAGTATCTTTGGTGAACGAGTTGCTGGTTTGTGCTGAAAAATTCTGTAATCATATTCAATATTATTTCAATCTTCTTTTTCTATTTTTTTCCCAGGAACTGATCGCGAAGATGTTATTCAAGCTGCTTTCAGGACATTTGATGCTGACCAGACGGGTAAAGTTCATGAATCTGTTTTGAAAAAAGCCTTAACAACTTGGGGTGAAAAACTTACCGACGATGAGATTGAAACAGCATTCAAAGAGGCCCCAATCGACAAACAAAGTTTTATTGATATCAATGATTTTGTCAAAACAATCAGTGGCTCTGCGGAAGAGGAATAATTTTTTGACGATTGTTCACAATAAATATAAACTATTCAACAGTTATCAAAAATCTAATGTGAAAGACATTTTAAAATCAAATTGTTACCATCAACAATGTTACTATGAGAAAATGAATTGATTTGCATGAGAATCAAGTGTTAAGGGAACTTAGGTACGAAAAAATTTTTGAATTCGAGCTAAGGACGAAAAAGGACTGTAAAACACGCCATGCTACAGCACAAAATACACCATGTATATCGATACTTAAACTTATTTTCACCATTTTTTACACAAAAAATCACTTTAAAAGACAATCTTAATAGCATATTACCACTGCTCACCGTTTATTTTGTTAAATACCCAGCAATGAATTTTCGTGATTTTCAATCTTTGTAAATAGTAAATACTTCAGATACCGAAGCCAGTGAAAATTAAGCTAGCTAGCCAGCCAGATGCTCGCATGATTGGCTATGGCCAGTAGATAAGTTGGCTGAAGTAGCTTGAAGCTAGCTAGGTTTGGTCAAAAATTTAAGTGTTTATAACGATTTTTTTCAAAACTAAACAAGCCTTGTTTTTGTAGGTGGATGCTTCTAGTTGTCGATATTGGTCACATAGCTAGCTAGCGAGCCAACTTCGCTCCAAGCTAGCTAAGCTTACAGTAGTAGCAGCTAGCTTTCAGTGAATTGCAAGCCAATTTTTACAGTTTTCAGCCAGCCCAGCATTACCTGGCTGGTTACGGTACCTAGTTAATAGATGGGAATCAGCAAGAGATATCATTTTTAAAGATACTCTTCAACTCGAGAGTTTTTATCTTAGGAAATTAAGTTTTGGTCATTTGAACGCTGGTTTTGTAGTGAAAACTGTCTGACAGTCAGTTGGATTTACTCTTTGAAATGCTGGTTTTGGTTTATTTGAGAGTTGGTTCTATGCAAACGAGATTGATTGTAACTTAAAATGAGCTGAAATGTTCAATGAAAACCAAAACCAAACAAAAGGGAAATACTCGATGATGATGATGAAGATTGGAGGTTGGAGGCTGGAAAAAGTAACACATGATTTTGCCAAAAAGTATCTTCCTGCAGGAAATAGTGTCTTAAGAATTCATTTTGGTCTCTCAACTTCAACAGACGGCAGAATAAGAATCTATTTCTTTCATTCTAATTCATTCTAATCTTTATCTTTTTTTCTCCTTTTCTATTCTCTGCATCCTTGTCCTCATCTTTTGAACATCCAGGCTCAGGGATAAATTGTTTGACACATTCTGAACAGTCTGATTATATTGTAGTAACTAAAATATCTTATAAGCTAATAAGCATTCTTTTAGATTTGTCTCTTCAACAATCTTCATAAAACATTTTTCAAGTGATTTTTCAAGAGAATGACAAGAATCAGAGATGAAAGGAACGATAGTTCAAATCATCTTTCAATTCAGCTGGAAAGGATGACAATATTATTGTTAATTTCGTATCTTTAATTGTTTGTATCTATTCAAGAATAGTTGTCCATAAGCGTTATGGAATAAATCATTAGCTCATTGCGTGTCTTTAACTTTCAGCTCGACTTTGATTGTGGAAGTAGAAATTTAACGATTTAATAGTCACTCATTTGTTGCTATGAGTAGATAAGTAAAATTGGAAATCATTTATTTACTGGAAAATATATTTGTATATACTTTATTCAATCTTTTGTTCTAGAAAATGAATTGATAAAAATTGATGATGTTGATTATTGAATTGATATATTTGTTAGGCAGGTAATCGTTGCTTTTGATTTAATCATTGAAATTAGCTGCTTATTGATTGAATAAAGGTTTGGGAAGAGACAGGAAAATATTTTGAGCAGCATTAACATTTGCTGTAAATTATGTATCAACTCAATTGTCAAAAGGAAAAATGTAAAGAAAAGAAACAGAACAATTTAAGTTTCATTGATTCTCCCATGTAAACGAAAAGCTCTTGATTGAAGATTATCACAGAGAGGAAGATAGAGAGAGAGGCAAATGAGAGATTATGATAAAGACGAGTATTGAATTGTTGGATATTTGAGGAAATTGTCGTTGTTAGTGAGGTAAGATTGCTAAAAGCATATTGACTGAACCTCCAATATACTGGTTAGAATAATAATGAGCCGTATTTAAAAAAGCAGTGTCTTTGCTCTTTTGGTTATATTGGACAACTAGGAAGGGAAAAAGTAAACATTGGTTTACAGGATAATTTGGCTTAGTTAACTTGGCATCCAACCGAGGATGCAACTTATCAAGATGAAAAATAGAAAAGGAAAGAAAGAGAAGAGAGACAAGTTTTAGCTGCATCCTGACCAAAGGAAAGCTTTTCATCCAAATATTCATTGGTCTCATCAAATGGCGATATTAAACATATTTAGCTTTGGATCCTCCATCTTTATGTGGTTAGGGTAAAGCTTCATGAGCTGTAAAACTGTATCCATAAACCTGGTAAGAAAAGGAAAGAGATTTTTAGATTAATTGACTTTTATAAGAAAGTTGTGAGCTTTTGCTTTCATTGGCATGAAATGAGTTTTGAATTTTATCGATGTAATAATTTATGACATGCTGACTTTTTGCTCAGGTTATATAATGTGAAACTGAGGAAAGTTAATTTGGCTGAGTTGGGCGATTACTTTGCCATGCTAAATGGATCATATAATACAAATTACAAGTAGAAAGTTTGATAATCTGATTAAATTGGAAGCTAATCTTGAAATGTTTACTTTAAAAGAATCTCAGGGTTTTCATACTTTCCATTGAAATTGTATAAGTTCAAATTTAACTATTTTAGTGAATAATTTTTAATGTCTGGACTTTTTTGGCTCTAAAGGAAGATAAATTTTGATACACTTAGCCAATTAACTTTTCCTGTCAAAATTTAAAATTGATATTAATAAAAAAAGGAAAAAACAAAGTTCTTTTTTTTCCTGTTCTATATACAAGAAGGAAAATGATATTTCAATAGGAAGCAAAGCTCGAATTATGGATCAAGATCTAAATGAACCTCTTTTGATACAAGCTTTGACAATGTTTATACAATGATGCTAAGCTTAGTGCCATAATTGATAGTAACTTCAGAAGTAAATAAGATTATAATGATAATTTCTGGTTTCAGGTAAATGAAAAATACTGAATAATAGTAGCAAATGAATATGAAGGCGTTGAAAAAGTCAACAGGAAAAGAAAAGGTGAAGATATTGCTGATGATAGATATGGTGGTGGTGATGAGCATAAAATAATGGGGATGTTACCTTGCAATCATAAATCATGATAAAGGACGGTAATTGAAGTTGGCTAATTGAGACAACATTCCGAAGGAACTCTACTCCTTTTATACAAAAGACTTTATTCTTAATGGATGAAGCGGTGAATGTTGTGAACCACCAAGTCGTCAAACGATTCCATAAGGTTGGATGTATGATGTAGAAGGCTTTTAGATTTTTTTTATATCGATGGTCAAGAGTTTCATAAACGTATCGGATGAAATTTGGAGGTGGATGGTTATCTCGAGTAGTCAGTGTGTGGAAATACATGACAACAAAGTCTCGTGAAACGAGTCGGTCAAGGGTAAAAATAAGATATAAAAGAGCTTTGTCTAAATCAATCTGATTGGCTTTGAATCTTTTGCCAATAAAGACAACAATGAGTCGGCCAAATTTGTCCTCACCAGCGGTATAAAGACAGCGAAGTGATGCGATTTCTGAAAGATCTTCAAACTTGGAACGGCGTAATAATCTTTCATAGAGATTTGATCGACGAATTTCATTTGACACGGCATCATTAGGACGAAGTTTAGAATTACAATTGTTTCGTGGTTTATCGATATCATCGTGCATCTCCGCAAACGCAGATCTACCAACTATCACGGAAGAATCGAGACCACTGTGTAGATCAACACTATCTTCAAGATCATCTAGACTGGCTTTTTGTGGTTTATCTGTGATACGAATTTGACGTTCAGGTAATAAAGGTTCACCATTTTCCCCTCCGATATCTTTAGGTAATAGATGACAGGCTTGTTCTTCCTCAGATGCAGATCTTGGGAAATAAAGCGGCATCAAAGATTCATAGATAGCAACCTCATTTGTCATTTGGGACTGATCATTAAAAACAACTAATACAATTAAGTCAATGCCATCGCCATATTTTTCAAGAAACCTCCTTACAACTCGCAAGGCAATATGGGCAGCTTCTCGAGGAGGATATTTCCGCCGAGCTAAACAAAGAAAAGAAGAAATTTTAGATTAGATTCAAAACTATGAAAAAGGCCATCAATAAAAGCAATTCAAAATCGATACTATTTAAGAAAGCACACATGTTGCAATGTGAGTTCAACTTGGAGCGATAAATATTCCTAGAAATTAAAACACTAATCAGAATTTACTAATCAGTTCAGAAAAAGAATCTTGAAAAGTAAAGCTCCCTGAACGCAAACGTTGTCTCTGAAAATCTAGACATTCAAATAGCTCAAATCTTTGAAAAATTGGTTACTTTCAACTGGTGACCTTATGATTTACTGTAATTGAAAGTTTACCAGTATTCAGTGGTGGTAAAGCAACTGTCCTGATCTTATTCTCTCTGACCATTGATAAAACCTTATTGTAACATGAATAAAGTATGTTTTCTCCAGCTGTATGAAATTTTGGTTTGTACCAGGGTCCAACTGTATGAATGATGTATCTGGCATTTAAATTATACCCTTTGGTTAAACGTGCTTCACCAGATCGGCATCCTCTTAATTCACGGATCAAACAATGCCTTAAATGAGGTCCTCCTTCGGCGAGTATTCTACTTGAAACAGGATTATCATCCAAAAAATTTTCATTTGTCGTATTTACAATGGCTTCCACATTTAAAAGTGAAATATCACCAACCCAGAGGGCAATTTTTCGATTGATCTTCTCGTCGTAAGGAAAAGGTGTTGTTTCAAAATCTCGACCCACTTCCACTGTTAAATCGTTCTTGGTATCTCTAGGACTGGTGTCCTGCCATATCTTTAAATCATTTATCTCAGTAATGGCTGGACGTTGTTGGCCTGATGTGAAGGTATCTGACAGAGGTTCAGTCATCGCAGGCGATGAATCCTCTAATCGCATATCACTATAGTTGGACCACTTGGAAATTAACGAAAAGCCAATTTAAAAATATTAATAACAATTATAATGTTAAACAATCTATTATCAAATGAAAGAAATCACTAATTATACAATTTAAAACTTAAACAAGTTGCAGTAAAATACAAAAACATTTTGCTGTGAAAATAACATTATAACGCTATTCTAAGGGCGTTTAAAATTATTGTAAAAAATGATATTTTTTATGAAAATCAAATTAATTGTTATAGTTAGGCAAAAACATCTACAATAAAATTGCTGAAAAAATATTCATTGTTCTATCCATTCAGTAGTCAAATAAAATCACAAAATTTTAGTTCAGTGAGTAATGATTCAATTATTGAATAAGCAAGAAATGCTATCAAGCATAAAGTTTATTTACTTAATTGTAAAGGATTGAAAAATGAATAAACTTGTAATATTGTAAAAAAATAGGTAGAAAAATCTGAAATGTGGGTTCGTTTTTATGAACACTCGATCAACAACAGATTCGTTTTTTAATACAATCAAATTTAAAGGTTAAACAATTTAGATGCCTATTATTTTGAACTTCACTTTGAACTTGACTTTTTTGTTCAATTCTCATTGTTTTTGCATTCACATGTTGGACCCAGCAAGAAATCAATTCAACTCTTTGCTCACTTTTACAGTTTCTCTCTTGACCTTTGAGTATATAAACTGATGGATTGTTTGTTTCCGAAATCAGAATTCATCGAACAAACAACAATTCAGTGTAACAATCGACTTGGTTATTTACTTCTCTCCAGCTTTACTAAACTCAACAATCAAAATGAAAGTTGCCGTTTTATTCGTTGCCGTTTTCTTGGCCTTCCAATGTTCTTTGGTTCTGTCAGCAATGCTTGAGTCGACTTCCAGCAAACAGCTACCATTTAGCTTTGAAATGAAACCTCTTCATCATCATCGGTGCAAATGTGAAGGTAAGTGCAAACTTTATTGAACTAAGTTCTTTTTCGGTTCTTTTTCGGTTCTTTTCCTATGTTTAGAAGAGCATCATTATCATCACCACAAATACAAGGATCATCACCACAAACACGACCATGGTCACGATCACGGTCACGATCATGGACATGATCACCATCATGGTCATCATCACCACCACGAAGGCGGTTGGTGGTAAACGCGCTGATTGAAACTCGTCTTGGTCTATATAATCTGAACTGGCTTCGTAATTGAAAAAATAATTTATTATTGTAAATAATTTTGTAAATTTTGTGAATTTTCCGGAAATTAAACAAATGGTTAATATTTGAATGGAATGATGTTTTTTTCGGTTATCTTAATCCTAAATGTATTCCTCCTTGTCTCTCTTGAGCTTGATCCCTTAAAAATATTTGAAATTGTTATTGATGGTGTTAATTAACAAAAAATTGGCCTTATCTTTACATGAAAAAGTGCATCACTAGCTTGGTTGTAAATAACCATTGATTGTTTAGCTGAGCTCTTGATATTGAATTGATAAATTTCAAAGTTGAAGAACTGTTTAAACAAAATGACAAATGGTAAAAAATTAAAATACAGATTATTAATGATGTCATTGGTTAAATTTGTATATCTTATTTGAACATCGACGATGTACACATTGATACTGTCCTGTGGCTCTTTAATCGTTTTTTGATTGCGAGTGACTGTTTAAGAGTGTGAATGATCTTGTACGATGCCATGTCCAACACCAACCAATGTTTGCCAGACGACGAAATAATTCTGTTCTCACTGAAACGGTGAATTTATCAGTAAGAGAAAGTGCCGTTGTTAAGGCAAATACGGTATTATAAAAGAGGACCACATAAAAGTTTCCGAGCCACTTGATTCTACCAAAATTACCAAGTAGATCGAAATTGGTGATACCAACCGTACGAGCTAATACTGGTAAGGCTGAGCTAAGGATGATTAGAAGAACACAGTTAGTTACACATTGGGTGAACGACGTTCCCCCGAGCCTTGGTCTCAATCTTTCGATTCCCGGTAAACTGTAAAGTCCAACAATGGACGCACACCATAAATAAAGAATAAGTATTATTTCAAGAAGAGCACCAAATGGACCCATTTTGGATAATGAAGTTAGACCAACAACAAAAGTCTGTGCTGATGTTATAGGCAGTGCTTTAACTCCAACTAATAATTGCAGTGTATTTTGCATAACCAAGAAAGCTGCAAATGTTGTTAATACAAGTAGAACTAGCATGGCTAATGGATAGCCTAAACTTCTTCGGAATGCTGAAGCTCGCTTTTGACTTTCAAGTTCTTTCAGCCTGGTTTCCAGGATTTCAAGAGTCTTTTCCATTTCTTTAAGCTGAGTAAGATTACCACATTTAATCGGTGTTTTTTCACCTCTATTGGGACTTGTCCATGGCATTTGAAGATTATATTTATTGAAAATATCATTTTTGGTTTCTTCTTTATCAATCAATTGTGGAATTGAAGGCACAGATTTAGATCTATTAACTGGTGACCAGGGGCTTGTTGGCATAGAACTAGAATTGCCATCCTTTAAATTTTTAATCTTTCGATTTAAATGCATTTCCTCTAATTTAACCATTTCGTATTCTTCCAGAATATTTCTGAGGAACTTTGGTTTCATTATTAGTTCTCCAAGAACAGTAAACAACCTTGCTATTCCAATCGGGGTACAAAGAAGTAGCAAGATTACGCCTAAAAATGAGACACATGAGTATAAAAGAGGTAAATAATTGTTCATATTGAGTAAAGTCGTGAAAGCTAAATCATTGTAACCGAGAAGAGAACAGGTTATGTAGGTTAGACCACAGACTAGAACAGAGAGTAATAACAACAGGACAAGAGTTTCATGAACCCGAGCTGTGAGTCCTCGACGAGAGTTTGTGAATCCTTCAGATTCAGGAAAGAAGTAAGCGAAGGGCAATAAGACAAAGAGCGATATGTTTGAAAATATAAACACATAATTCCATAGTCCTTTGATTAAGGAGTCATTAAGCCACTGTAGATAGTAGTTATACGGCGAGAGAAGTAAAACTTCATTAGCAATAATTGAAAAGGGAAGCAATAAAGTTGATCCGATGCTAGTTGCCAATGAGAATGTACACATCCAGAAGCTTATCCTGAAGACTAGTTCGTCCTCTTCATCCGTATAGAATTCATCTTGTCGCTTTAAATAAGATGATATAATCAAATATGACAGGCCATAGAGAGTGATTAAAATGATTAAGAAGATTACATTTTCCCGTATCATATCATTGAAAGCTTGTTCCCGAGGATCGGACACTGGCCCATAGGGCTGGTTCGGTGGATACATTGAGACCGGATAATCATACGGAGGGGAGCACAATACACGTTGCACCACTGTTCATTTTGGTTTCGCATAAATTACATTTGATAATTAATTAAAATAGTTAACTAGTATATCATATTATTTTTCATGTTTACTATGATGTTCTAAACCCACCAATACATCATTCATGTAAGTCATCAAAGGTTACTATGGAGATTTTGTTACAATCAACATTGTTGAATCTTCTGAATTTGACATAAGATAACGTTAAAAAAAGAGCCAAATTCAAATGCCGTTTGATTTAAAATTCAATTAATCAATTTTTAAATAGATTTCAAAGTATTGAAAAATTAGACAATAATCTTCCTCAATTTATGAGCAATTTCTTTTTCAATTAATCATCATTTACAAATTTTTCACAATAAGCTTGTCTTTTAATCACATGTAATGCAATTATTATTATTACCTACCAAACTGTTACCATGGTATCAACCAGAAATCATTTCGGTAAATATTGGTTATCGACTTCAAACGCTTAAATGATTTAATTATTGATTTGAAACTTGGATAATTTATTGCTCATCTTATTGAATTGTCTAGAAATCAACTTAAACATATTCAGTGTAGTTACTTAAACCATTTTAAAAATTGATTTCAACCCATTGTGACCGTTTTCAACTTTACTCTTGTGTTAACTGTGTGTAAATGCTTATGTCAATGCCATGTTGAACCAATTGTTAAATATAGCTGTTACTTCACTAATGGATTATTGATTTACTATCTTAATCAGTAATAACGATTACTACATGAGTTTATATTGAAGGATCAATTATCATAATTTACAAGAAACTGGCTTATTGATCGTAACAGAGTTGAAGAAAAATGATTAGGAAAAGATTTAAGTGTACATCTTTTGGTCTCATGTAAGATTGTTAAAGTTTAATGACTTTTTTGCCCTTTTTTGCTATACAAAGGAACAGTAAAGATACAGTTATTGAAAAAAGGCAATTCAATTGCAACGAGATTCAATTAAATGTAATAAAAGAAGTGCAAGGAAACCCTAACCAGATAGAATTGACAAAAACTGTGAACACGACAGTTCAAAGATAGACACTTTACAAATCAAGATTCATTGATCAAGATTCTAAATCAACATTTAATCTCGGTTTATTGATTTACATCGCCAGTATCAAAATTATTTCATCATAAACACAATATTGACTTACCCAGCTTTATAAACTGGTAAGCTCAGCTGATATTAGCTTATTTGATTGTTTATCAATTGGAAAAATCGGTTAAATAATTATTAAACCAATAAAATTGATCATAAACGGTCACACATGATGAAAAGCCCGAAAATTGTGAGGTAAACATGATAAAAAATTCATTATCTGAAAGATGATAGCATACAAAATGGAAACTTTACGTGTAAAAACAAATCTCTTTTTTAATTGTTGAAATGAAAATGTTGATAGGAATCAGCATTTACAAACTTGATCACTTAGCAATTTAAGCATATGATTAATTAGCTTGGTAGATTATAAATAAGAAATAACATTCAAGATCTTCTTACAATAAAGCCAGACAATCACGATAAATGTGGGAAAAATAGATGCAGAGAGAGACTGTCTAAAAATCAGAGAGAAAAAAATCATGCTCTGTCTATTTTTTGATTCTATGGTTTTTCACTTACAGTTTTTGTATCAATTTGATTATCTAGCTAGGTTATTAATTGTCAGCCAATAATCTTAATGGTCTAGTCATTTCGCATCTTTTTTTATCCCTTCAAGTTATCTTGACAACATTTAGTGTCTATGATTTACTTACAAATTAATTTATACCATTCAACAGTGTTTTTTTGCTCCATGTACCATAAAATTCGATGTATAGTGTTGTTCACCTTCACGCTTTGAACTTAAGGTAAATGTATCTCCTGATGTTTTGATTTTTCCTTTCTTCTGTGCAAATTATTGAATCTATTTACTCTAGTGATTGTGTAAACGTTTCCAATTACGTCCTTAGGATATATCTTTGCATCTTCGTTAATCGCAGCCTATCTACCCATTGACCTGAACTTATTGTATAACATATTAATCCAACATGATTTAATGATGATAGGGCGGGAAGATCTATCACTGGATTGATTGGAATATTCCTTTACCGTGTGTGTGCTTTTAGTGCGGTTCTCAGTATATTCTCTTCTCCCTGCATTCACCTCTTTTCCCTCTCTTTCACCCTAATCTCAAATCTCAGAATAATGATTGAGTTTATTAATTCATTCTCAATCAATTTATCCATCTCTAAGAGTGTTGGCTTTGTTAACTCGTTATGTTTGCCTTTAGTTGATCCAACATAAAAATGATGGAGACTACCTTTTCTCGCAAACCTTCTAAATACATGACTTCTCTATTGCAGATGGTCAAGAAAAAAGATGGCAAATTACGATTTAAATCAAGTGAAACCCAAGCCGTTCTGGTCATATCCGGATATTTCAGTGATGCCCGAGAGCTGATTGAAAATGAAAGGAATGACGAACTCATCAGTTTACTTGACGAAGGTAGACTCGGTGTCAATGATGTTGGCGAGGTTAGTCTTTCGAATCGAAGACTCTGGTTTTATTTTTTTTAATTAACGCTGTTGTTTTATCAATGTGTATCAATTTCCAGGCTGGTGGCTCTAATCTCCTTATGGTCGCTGCAGAATGTGGTAATTTAAGGATTGTCCAGGAACTTATTAGGAGAGGAGCAGATCTCAACTATCAAGATTCGGTATGTTACATTTATTTTGATTTGACAATTTATAATTTGGCAACTAACTGTTTATTTTTTTCAGGATGACTGGAATGCACTCATAACTGCAACGAGGGAAGGCAATGTCGACATTGTTAGTGAATTATTGGAAGCTGGATCTGCTATAGACGCAACCGATATGGTGAGTTTTCAAGAATGCTTACTAATCAACATTGGGTCTATTTTCTGATTTATTTTTCTTCTTTATTAATATATCCTAGGGTGGCTGGACACCTCTGTTGTGGGCATCTTACAAAGGTTTTCTCGACATAGCCAAATTATTACTTAAGAAAGGAGCTTCTGCTAATGTTTTTGATAATAATAATATAACACCACTAATTTATGCTAGTGGAAGAGGTTTTCTTGAGATAACCATTATGCTACTTGCTCATGCAGCTAAACCTGATACTCCTGATAAGGTTTGTTTATTTTGTTAATGTGTATAATGAAGATTGTTTTAATCGATTCATCTCTTTACTTTTTTCTTTGCAGTATGGGACTACTCCTTTGATTTGGGCATGTAGAAAAGGTCATTTCGATATCGCTCAAAAACTTTTAAAGGCAGGGGCAACTGTTGATGCAACAGGAATGGTAAGATTATCGACAACTCTATTTCTCTACCAATTGCTCTTCCTTATATCACATAGAAGTTTTTTGAGTTTAATAAGAGCTCCAGACATTGAAATACTCTATTAGATGATACAAAATGTAAATTTATTCATTTGTTGGACTCATGTTTCTCTCGCTCGCAGCATCTCATTACTCTTTTGATTTTTCAACGTTATCAGGAAATTATTCCCATCTAGATATAATATTTTTACTCTCAGACTCATTTAATCTCTATTTATAAAAAAAATTTAGGCTCTCTTTTGAATGTCAACCGGAAAGTGCCGTTAAATATTCCTACCTGAAAAAGGATAGATTTGTTTACATTGATGCTCAAATTACGATTTTAATCTGATTTCAACAGGTAATTAATCAACTGATGATTATGCAACTCAAAGAATACTTCTACTAGCTCATTCTCTGAATTATCTATTTTTCACGTTTTTCTCTCACATGCCGTTGCATGATGATTTATAATGATATATGTAAATAGGTCAGAGTTTTGGAAGTAGCACATTTGCTAAGATATTGCTAAAATTATTCTCAGGTTTTAGTTACATTTCTTTATCACAAAATTCTGCAGAAGTTTCTTTTCATTAGTTTCTTTGGTCTGATTGCCATGTAATTAATCATCTCAAATGTCAATGAAAAACCTTAACAAGCAGCTATTTTCCTCGAATTTTATTTTGTTACTTTTTCTTGCCTTCTTTTTTGGTGACTACAATTTAACTCTTTTTTTCAATAGTATGGCTGGACTCCTTTGCTAGTCGCTGTCAGAGGCAATTATGAAAGTCTTGTAGATTTGTTGATAACTTACAAACCTAATGCAAACGCGTGTGATTCAGATGGTTTATCAGCTTTGATGATCGCTAGTAAAGGCGGTAATATCAATATTGTCAATGCACTTCTACGAATTAATTCTTACGTCAATCTTAGTGATCGTAACAATGATACTAGCCTAATCCATGCTTCTAAATCTGGATATGTTTTAATCGTTGAAGCTCTAATTAAAGCACACGCTGATGTTGATCACCATGGGGCTGTAAGTATTCAATCATGGATTTTGATTTTAGATTAGACTAAGCTTTATCTAATATCTTCTTTCCAATCTCTTTCGTTTCTAAAGGATAAAAAGACTGCTTTATATTGGTCCGTCGAAAAAGGACACGTTGAAGTTGTTCGTGCACTTCTCAAAGCAAACGCAAATTTGGAGCTTGCAAATGAGGTACATTGTTGTTATTTTCATTGAATTACCTTTTTATTAATCAATATTTTTTTCCAAATTTTTAGGACGGTGATACTCCATTATTAAAAGCAGTCCGTAGTCGTCGTTTACCGATTGTCAAAATGTTGATTGACAAGAAAGCAAAAGTCACAGCTTGTGACAAAGTGGGTATCAATTTAAATACCTTTTATTGGTTTTGCTATTTTTAGTGTTATACTTAACATTTTATGCATTTTTTATCCAGCACGGAGATACGGCGTTACACATTGCAATTAGAGCCCAGTCAAAGACAATTGTTGAGTTTTTGCTTCGAAATCCTCGTAATTCCCAATTACTTTATAAACCTAACAAACGAGGAGAAACTCCGTTCATGTTGGATAATACCCACCAAAAGCCAATTTTACCCACATTGTTTGGAGCAACTCCTTCTAGTCGTCGTGTTTTGGAAAAAGAAACACAGCTTGGATACGACCTTTATTCATCAGCGATAGCTAACTTACTTTCGGAGCCTACCCTTAAATTACCTGTATGTGTTGGTCTTTTCGCTAAATGGGGAAGTGGGAAATCATTTCTTATTGGCAAATTAAAAGATGATCTCATAACTTTTACACAAGATTGGAATATCAGTCCTACCTTTCGATTTTCTTGGCCTTTGTTTTGGGCTATCAGTATGCTTTCTGTCATTACCGGTGTAGGAACTCTTGTGGGAACTAATGGAAAACAGTATTTTTTCGGAATAATAACTGCAATTGGCATTTTCTTCCTGTGTTATTGTATATTTGGTAAGTCTATTCAAGAAGACTCAATTATTTTACGAAAGTTTTTAATAATTTAATTTTTCACCAGGAATTGTTTATTGTGGGCATTTACGCTATGACTGGTCAATAAGCTCAAACTTGAGAAGCCGTTTTGATAGAATTAAACTTATTATTCAAGTTTGCTTTGGTAATCCTCCAATAATCGATGCTGATCAAGTTTCGACTTTACCCGTCCACTTTCTTTTCACTGAGACTCCAATTAAAATATCTTCAGATTACAATGTTTCTCAATTAATTGGAGCTATTCTCAACTCTTTGTGGCAATCAATGGAAAATGAGCTTGGTCTATTACCTGTCCGTTTATTCAAAGTCTTTCATCCTAAACACGGTAAATTTGTCGTAAATGAGTAAACAATCAACATATGTTTCAACATTTTCTTTATTTTTTCTAATTTAGTATCTGGATTAACTTGGAGGTGGAGACGGATTTGTTTGGTGCCTACAATATTTTTGATTACCTTATCATTCTTTACTATAGCTGTTCTTTTAATTCTGTATTATGTAGATAAAACAGAGCCTTTCAAGTTACATCCCGTTCTCAGCTATATTCTGGTAGCTATTGCTAGTATCACTGGAGCTTGGATTGTAACAAATTTTATTGTGCCGTTTAAAATTGTTAAAGAACTTGTTTTCCATTCAAAAAAGAAAACTCGTGAAGAGCTTAAAAAAGATGTCCAACTAATGCAATCTTGTATAATGTGTTTGGATGCATTTATCGGAAAACGCCAAAGTCGCCTGGTCATAATTTTGGATGCATTGGAATCTATTTACGAATCAGAAAGATTAATATCATTTTTAGAAGGAATTAATGATTATTTCATCAACTTTCAAGTCATAAGTGCTAATCGTTCTGTGTCTCCTCCTTTTGTTGGTATCATGACGCTAGATCCACATCATCATGTTACAGCCAAATCGAAAGAATACTTAAAAACACTTGTCCATCTGCCATTTTATTTACAAAATTCTCAGCTTCGTAAAGTTAAAATTGCTCAACAAACTGTGCTCAGTAAACCTGATTACAGATCTTCTACGACATCTTTGGTTGAAGCAATTGCTGCAGCACCCATTCCTGCTCCAACCAAGGGATCTGGATCTGGTATCATTCGTTCCAAATCAAAAAAATTATCCAATTTAAAAGCAGCCGATTCCGTAATCAGCTTAAGTGGACATGGAGGAGAATCTCTAACGAAAGTCTTGCTTACAGATGATTACTTTAGCGATGTAAATCCTAAATCAATGAGACGAATAATGAACATTGTTTATATTCAAGGACGCCTCCTAAAGGCTTTCAATTTGGATTTTGACTGGCATAGACTTACTATTTGGGTCAACATAACTGAACAATGGCCTTTACGAGCATCAGCATTGATTGCTTACTGGGATATTACTGAAAATAAATACAATGATGATTCAATACCATTGAAATCTTTATATGATAAAGTTTCACCAATTTTACCCCAAGATCCAGCTCTTTTATCACGTGATAATGATGAGAAAAAGTTGAATATTTTTCTTTCTTATCGCCACAATTCTTTAACCCTTGGCGATCTCAAAACTTTTGCGCCTTTCACTATTAACTTGGATCCTTATCTCAGGAAAAATTTGACTGAAGCTTGGACTGACACAAATGCAATCCCCAATGAAGGACCTCGTATTGTAAGTACATCAAATGGTGAACGTAAAATATCAACTAGTACATTGATCCAACTAAGCTCGTCTGGAAATATATCTCCCCATAAACTTCAACTAATGTATCTTGGTGTTGATGGAGTGATTGCCATGTTGAAACAAATCGAATCCTTCGATCACTCACAAATTGAAAAGTATGGTAAAGCTATTCGCGACAATAATATAAATGGACGAGTGTTATCGAGTTGCTCTCCAGAAGATTTGAATGACCTTAAATTAATTTTAGGTTTTTCTTTTGGAGATTGGCTTTTATTTAAAAGTGTTCTTATCGATGGTCGTTTACCTGCACTGCCACCATCAGTTCAAGTATCTAGTGCCACTCCAACCTCTAATTTACCACAAAATTGTGACCATCAACTTCTTGAGGCACGTCATAAGACTAATTTAGAGAAACAGGTTACAATGGAAGAAGCAGCTCTTGCTAGTGCCGTTGTTATGGACTCGCCGATTGAAGAGGACAATGAAGATAATGATGAAGCATTGGCACAACAAGAAGTTGGCGTTCTTTACATTGGCAACGCCGGAATGAATAATCGAATCAGTCCTTCCATATCATTTGGCGATTCTGATTTATTAGGGAACAGCAGTAGAACAAGTAATTATCAAATTTTATTTCCATTGACTATTCATTATTTAAATATTTATTTTGTTTGTCATCTATCATTTAGTAATGTTTGATCTCTAACATTTGAATATTTTTTGTTTATTCACAGATCATACCATAGAAATCGAACCGGAACCTAATGATACTACTCCATTAGTATCACCATCGAAACACAGTATTTACTCATCCAGCTCATCATCTTCTTCATCAAAACGACATCCTCTCGAACGTCAAGGTATAATTGAACCATCTGAATCAATTGTGTGACGATCAATTTGAAAGTCTAATGTCCTTGATAATTTGTGTCGCTGATGCTAATTTGGTATTCCATGCAATGCTTTTACTTATTAATTCTCTTCCGCTTCTGAATCATCTCATTCAAATACTACGCCGTATTTGATCAACACAATCTGTTTTTCTCACTCTATATCTTTGGTTCATTATTTTTAACTCGTCAAATATCTGTTAGATAATTTAAATTTAGTTTATTTTAAATTTTATTTCGTTAAATTACGTCCAAAAATATCTTCTCACTGTTTTTTTTGTAAATTTATATTTGCTTAACGAACCAATGTTCAACGTAGACATTTACCCTTTAGTCTTTCCATTTTCTCAAACTATCCTGATAGTTTATTCATCTTTGATGAATCTCTAACCCTCGACAACATGAAATACAAATCAACTAATTTATACAAATATCGGTTACTTGTTGACCAATAACTATTATTGCAAATTGTAATTTATTGAAAAATCTTTTAGAGTAAAGATTTAATTTTTCAACTTGTTAAATTACAAGGAAAAACGCGAAAAACTGTAATATCAATGTTATACGATGATATTGTATTTTTGTTTGCTTACCCGTTAATTGATCTAAATGTCATATTTATACGTTTTATTGAACGCTTAAATCATTGATTTCTGTTTTTCCTATTATAATTATTGTGATTAATATCTTATTCTAATAATAATTGCTCATTTTTTCTCGCAAAAACTTGCTTCAACGTGAAGCAACCGACCTTTATTGAGATCATACTTTGATCAATAAAACAGTAACGCTGAAATCTCTTCTTTTATCTTAATTATGACCAGGTAAACCAGAATTGTCTGTCAAGTTTTACACCTCGGAATTGTAAACAAACAAACACTGATACCAACAATCAACTAAATAACGAATAAGAGAAAGACTAAAATCAATAAGATTTGAAAGGGTTGACAACAGCACAACAACAAAATTAAAGATACCTCAATGTTGGGGAAAAGGCACTCATGATTGTCAGTGTAACTTATTAATTTGGCAATAAAGATAAATAAAATGAAGCAAGCGTTAACAATTAAATTCACTCAAATTACATCTGACTAATGTTAGCCATTATTATTGGTGAGATAGATATTTTTTATGGTAACTCAATTACTCTATTAACAAGAAAAGATTTAAGGTTAGATTCAAGAAAAGAGCGGCTTTCTATTTCCAGTTAATTAAACTAATAAAACACATTCAAGTTTATCAATTGATCTTGTCATCAAAATTTTTCATCTGAATAACAGCGTCATTAGTTTTACTTCGCATTAGTGACAGCAAAATTTTATTAACTATATAAGTTTGAGCAAAACTTGTAGACCATTAATTGACAAGTTGATTTCAAGTGAAGTGTAAGAAGTTAAATAATATTGTTTTAAGTCAACTTGATTAAGAACCAAAATGAGTCTAAAGTTGATTTGTGTTGCTCTACTTTTAGTAGCACTTACATCGGAATCGTATGGAGCTAGTTTGGCCAATGTCCATATTTCAGGTAAGAAACATGAGGAATCTTCTTCCGACTCAGAGACCCGTTCCAAGTTTAGACACTGGAATGCTTCTCGCTCGACTCAGTTAGTGGGTGCAGTTAAGTCGCACTCATCCAAAGTATTAGACTCTGCGAATAGTGTAGCCGTTTCTGGTTTGAATCCTTTTGTGTTACCAGAACTTAGTTCTAGAGATTCGTATTTATCATTTTTGACTTCCTCTGCTAGACTTAACCAATTGTTGAGTTTATTGAAAGCAGACTCAGAAAATTCAGATAGTGATTCTTCAGCTAGCGAATCGTCGGACAGTTCAGATAGTGAATCTTCAGAAGATGAATCTAGCGAGGAATCGTCCGATTTGTCTGCTTCTGAACCATCAGCATATGAATCTTCTGGCTCTAAATCATCTGAGTCTCCTGAATCAATTGCAGCTCTAAGTGGCTCCTCCTCGTCATCATCGTCCTCGTCTTCTTCGTCTTCATCTGCCTCGTCTGGTTCTAATGCATCAGCATCTTCTGGATCGTCGGCTAGAGCAAAGGCCAACTCCCAAGCTGCTGCCTCTTCATCAGCTTCAGCAGCAAGTGCAGAGAAGCCCAATACTGAGAATACAGATGCACAACCAGCTGTAACCGCTGCTCCATCAACTCAATCGCCAACGACAGAAGCATCAGACGAGATTCCAGCAGAAAACTCAGGATCTCAAGGAGAAGAAGTTTCAGAGTCATCAGGATCTGATGATTCAGCTTCAGAATCTGCTGCCTCAGAGGCTTCAGCTTCAGACTCAGAAACTTCAGAAAGTTCGGCTTCAGAATCATCAGCATCGGAATCCGCCGCCTCAGAATCATCAGCATCCGAAAGTTCAGCTTCAGAAGCTTCAGCTTCCGAGTCTTCAGCATCAGAGTCTTCAGCATCTGAAAGTTCAGCTTCTGAATCCTCTGCAACTGAGTCAGCAGCATCGGAATCCTCCGCCTCAGAGGCTTCAGCTTCAGAGTCATCAGTCTCAGAATCAGAAGTTTCAGAAAGTTCAGCTTCTGAATCTTCAGCATCAGAATCTTCCGCCTCAGAGTCAGCAGCTTCAGAATCATCTGCATCTGAAAGTTCTGCTTCTGAGTCAGCTGCATCAGAATCTTCCGCTTCAGAATCATCAGCATCCGAATCCGCTGCTTCAGAGGCTTCAGCTTCCGAGTCCTCAGCCTCAGAATCTTCAGCATCAGAATCCTCAGCAACAGAATCCGCCGCCTCAGAGGCTTCAGCTTCCGAGTCAGAAACATCAGAAGCTTCAGCCTCAGAATCATCAGCCTCAGAATCATCAGCATCCGAATCTTCCGCCTCAGAATCGTCAGCTTCTGAAAGTTCAGCCTCAGAATCATCAGCATCTGAATCCGCCGCTTCAGAGGCTTCAGCATCAGAATCAGCATCATCCGAAAGCTCAGCCACAGAAAGCTCAGCATCAGAATCCTTCGCCTCAGAGTCTTCAGCTTCAGAGTCCTCTGCTTCAGAATCAGCAGCATCTGAATCCGCCGCTTCAGAGGCTTCAGCATCCGAAAGCTCTGCATCAGAATCTTCCGCCTCAGAATCGTCAGCTTCTGAATCATCAGCATCTGAATCCGCCGCTTCAGAGGCTTCAGCATCCGAAAGCTCTGCATCAGAATCCTCTGCTTCTGAAAGTTCAGCCTCCGAAAGCTCAGCTTCTGAATCTTCAGCATCAGAATCTTCCGCCTCAGAGTCCTCTGCTTCAGAATCAGCAGCATCTGAATCCGCCGCTTCAGAGGCTTCAGTATCCGAAAGTTCAGCTTCAGAATCCTCTACCTCAGAAGCCACTGAACCTGCCACTGAGCCTGCCACCACTGAACCTGCCGCCACCGAGCCAGCTACATCAGACTCTTCTTCTGACGCCCCTCAAACCATAATCATTATTATTCCTACAACAACAACCGTCGCTCCAACAACTACTCAAGCTCCAATCGTATGCCCACAAGTTTCCGAAGAAGAATTGGTGACCTACGATGGTTTATATGCCGACAAAGCTAATTGTTCAATGTTCTGGCAATGTTCAAATGGTGTCCCCTTCCACAAATCCTGTCCACCAAACACAGTCTTTGACACCGCTACAAACGTCTGTAATCATCCTTGGTTAACCGATAAGTCTAAATGTGAATATTACCCATAAAGAAATGTATTGTAAAACAATCGTTTTAAGCAAAATGTTTTTATTGAATCACAAGTAATAATGTAATCCGCGAGAAAAATTATCTTAGTAAAACTAGATTTGTTTTGATCCTATCCCACAAAGTCTGTTATTAAAAAAATGATATTTTCAATGAATCCGAAAGTTTTCACCAGTAGAAGGTAAATATTAAAATAAAGGTTATTCATGAAGAGTATATCACTGGTTTGGCTAGTGAAATAATCAGTCAACATTTGATGTGAATTGAAAGTTAGAATGAACATTCTTTTGATGCATTTTACTAAATTAATTTCAAATTGGACTAAATCATGAAAATAAGATCTCATTATCAATCATCTTGGTGAAAGCTCATGATAGATGGAACATTTGATCATAAAGTTGTATCTATCAATCAAGTTGATCGTGAAAATTCATTCGATACTAAAATTAAATAAAATTGCATTTATTTTGGTACAGCGCGAAAGTTCAAGAATAATCGAATGCAATTTTCATTTTTGAATTAATGAAATGTTTTGGTAACAATCAAGATTAATAATCAGCTTGAGCACCTAAAAAATTTATATAATTATTAACAAATTTTTAATTAGACTGAATTATTTAACGAAATTATCATTGAAATATGCTTATTGCATTATTTTAGTCCATCAGTGTAGTAGTAATGAGTAAATAAGCTAAATTGAATCACCAAAATAAATAATCATAGACTAGGCGAGATTAATGAAGATGTAGAGGGAGATGATGATGATAATGAAGGTGGAAAAGAGTCTGAGAAACGTGTAAATATTAGAAAAGCTGATGAGCAACGCAATCAAAATATATAAATTCAAGTGTCGTACTCAAACTCAACTTTTGCTTCTGAATAATCAATCTCACGAGATGGAGAGAGTCGTCAAAGACACATGAAAAATAAACAAGTCGGGTAAACAATTATCTGGATCGATTCCAGTCACAAAAGCTTTACCACCATCACCAAATGAATCAGATGAACCAATATTCATTTCATCAACAATTGTGTTAACAGATAATATGTTTATCAAAACAAATTTGTTTTCAATAATCCTTTGCCATCCTCTTTCTCAGGTGGGAATAATGAACAATTGATTGAAATGATTGCGTCAGTTTACCAAGTAGTCCAGTTTCTCCAGATGAAACACAAGTTCTAACTTAATTTTCAAAAAGTAGAAATTAATGTTATCAATCACATCAACTGATGAAACTAAGTCAGTTATGGTAAAATGATCAAAGTTAATCTCAAGTATTAACAACTTAGTCTGTTGAAGTTGATAGAACAAAGCTATACAAATGAAGACAAAATTGAAACTAAAAAGCCAATTAATGATTCAAAAAATGATCTTATTTAAACTGAGCATTTTGAATCAAACTGGAGAGAGGTTACAGATCAAATTATTGGTACTTGGATTGATTCGCAAGATAGTGAAACAGGTAATTCGTAGAGATAGTCGGATAAAATTGATGAAAAAAGTTTGCTGATCATAAATTACCGAAATTCAATAAGTAAACTTGGTTCCCAATGAAGCAGTCGAGGCAATTTGAGGTTGTGTTTGATCAAAAATCGGCCATTTAAGAGGATCAACGATTGTCCGCAGTTTTGTTCCATCTTCATTAAATTCGACTTTATCTGATCCTCTCAGAGCATCCAAGACCAATGCTACCTCAGTGGTTAATGCTTTGACTCGATGAAATGATGCGATTAGAGAAATAGGAAGGTAGCCTTCTTCATCCATTTTACGTCGAAGGAAAAAATCACGTTGCAAGTTTTCTTCACTAAAATAATATTCAATTTGCGATTTTATCAACTTCTTTAACACATTAGGGTCCTGTAAAGCAGTAGTGGTTACTGCGGCGGCATATGGAGAAAAGAAAGCTGCTGTAGGCACAAAAGTAGTTGTAGTTGGAACAATAGCTGGTGAGACAAAAGCAGCAGCAACTGCTGCTGGTGTTGGTGGACCTAAAGTAGGTGATATTAAACCAATATCAATCTCTGGCTCATTAGAAATAGCTGCATCAGAGATTGGTGAATAATCAACATAATAGGCGATATCGGCAGGAAAATCTTCATGATTTGGAGTAATGCGACCTGGATCATAGCCACGATTTGAGCGTCCACCGCCACCACGGTGTGTTGGTCCACTAGATCCAGGACCAATGTTACCTCCCCCACTGTTACTTGGATTTGATTGTGAAGATAGACCACCTCTACCCCTACCACGTCCTCGACGACCTCCACGAAATCCTTTGTCCGACGAAGAAGGCGCTGAAGAAACTGTATTAATCCTATTATTGTTTAAAGCTTGAAGCATGTTATCACCATATTTTTTGCTGCTGGTAGCTCCGCCATTTGGAACTTCTGATGATTGTGAGTTATCTAAGTTGATAGAATCTTTTCTGTGGTTCCTCGAAGGTCGTGGTCGTCTTTCAGGCTTACTGGTTGGTACTTCTAATTCCAAAGGTCTCCATTTGTTTTTGGAACCTTTCTTAGCTCCTTGAGTTGTTGTCGTAGTGTTTGTTACAGATGAATCGATCTCTCCCCCCTTATTGATAATACTGGCTTGCAATGAAGGTTTAGCACTTGCACATTCAACACTTGTTTCGTCATTAGTTGTTACGACGGCTTCACCCGGTGTTGGCCAATCTTTATCATTAAAGTTGTACTTTATTAAATTATCCTTTAACTCCATAGCTGCATTGCACTATTGACGAATCAAAAACCAGCAAGTGCCATTCTTCTTTACCTAACCATTACCACGACCAGTTGCCACCGCAACCATTTCCATTTCCGATTGGTTGCTAAGGGCTGCTTTCAACCATTGAAGTTCAACCGCTCATTTTGAAAACTTGTTTTGATAACAACATTTTAAAATGCTTTTAACACGCGATTCAAAATAATCATTTAATCTTCTTAAACTCCTCTATCCATTCTAGTTAATTCTCAAGCCCAATGTTGAAACTTTACTTACCCTTAATATACTCTACGAGAAAACCTGATTCAGATTATATTTTCACGTTTCTTCAGGTCAACACTTGATCTCAGTAAATATGGATAAAGCATTTCTCTTAAAGCCATTTTCCATTCATCTTACAATACAGCTAAAATATGCATAGAGATAGTCTGTTAATTGAGCATTTCTTTTGTTTCTTTGTTTACACAGCATTCTAATTTTTGGACGCTAAGATAAGTTTGAAATAATGTTTGTTAGATAAATGGATTTGCTGAAACGAAATTTGCATTAGACTTTAATAAAAGACGAAATGGCGCGAAACCTTGTGTAGTTGAAGAATTTAAGAAATGAAGTAAAATTTTGAAACATGAAATTTATTACGAACACTTATTTCTTTTTATCTTGGATCTTTCCAGTTCCAGTTCCAGTTCCTATAGAGGGTGATTTTTCTGCCTCTCCTGATTCATCTTTATTCTCATTTTTGATATCCTCAGAAGCTTGGGTTGAGCTGCCTCGGGCTAAAGTGTACTCAACAGGATTGTACTTCTTAAGCTGGTTAAAATTTGAAAGAATGGAAAAACAACAAAACTTATTTACTATATTAACCACAATGGTCAATTTAGCATTATCAAAGTCAGGAGTCCATTTTTCCCTCTTCTCAGCAACTGCATCCCCAATAGCCTGTATAATTTCCTCTCGGGTAATACCGTCATGGGCGCGTACTTTTGGTATAATATAATAACTTGCTTCCTCTGGTTGGTTTTCCAGCAAATTCATGCATGTTTTCTTGATTGTTTCAATATGAGCACTGCATGTAGTAATAACTGGAAGCATCTTTAGACAAAATTTTACATTTGTAGTCGAATTGTTTTTTATATCATCAAACATGCGGCTAACAATGGCATTTGGATCTAATGAATTTTCCTTTGCTTCTATAAAGATGACATTATGAGTTTTAGTAGTGAGTTGGTTGAAGCGTCTTCGGACTTCTTTCAATTTATCAACTTCCTTTGCAAGCTCCTTATCCAGCTCGATGTCCTCAACCTTGACTGCTTTATTTTCACCCGTTTCTTTCTTAATCGAAACATCTTCATTGGATCCGCTGTTTTTGGCCGCTAATTCCAGATCCTCCAATTCTTCAGTATACTTATTCAAAAGTTGGTATGCTTCTCTCACAGCATGATTCTCACTTTTATTGCAGCTAACTAAAAAACCTTTGACACCTTCCTTGAATGGAGTAAACTTTGTCCGTTTATTTGTAAATGATTTGTAATAATTTTTTTTACGTTTTTGACCTTTACCACCATGGGTATCAGATTTGGATGCACCAGACATATTAAAATCACAAAATTTAAAATAAATATACAAGAGAACGAGATGTTTATTTGAGTGTATTAAGCATGCCATACAAATGACTGAACAGTTTTACAGATTGATAACCTGTACTGCCCCCTGGTGTGGTCATATTGGCGTCTCAAGCCTTATTTTTATATTAATTTAGCTTAATGTTATATTTACTGTCATCTACCAGATAAGGTCACTACCTGGGAATAGCTTATGTGCACAGCAAGTCTATTAATCGAGCAAATTAATTTCAATTAAAACTTTCCTTATAGGACATGTAAACAAAAAGGTTTTGTGGGCTATTGATTAATCTAGTGACATTATTTGGTAGATGACAGTACATGAAATATTCAATTAGGAAAAAAAAGGATGACAAATAATTCAATTAGTGGAGTTCATCTCTCGCAAATTTATTAATTTCAAATCATAATGTTCACGGGAAGTTCCAAAGATGCTGTAGAAATTAAGTTAATGTTGTTCAAGTGGTAATTGAGATGGAGCATTGTCAGGGGTTTTCATTACGTCAGGTAGCTCAGGAGGAGTAGATAAAGGGGTTATTTCGTGTTTCTCAAATTTGTTTGAGTCACTTGAGTTGAATTCTCTGAAAGCAAGGCCAATCGTTGCTGGCGATTGAGCCTTAGCCGTAGCATCATTTATGTAATATTCGCTGAGGCATCTATTGTCTTCCAAAATTTCATCATTGTAGTAAAGTCGTTGATCCTCGACATCGACTTTGGTAATACCTGCGATCATCTTCTTGATCTCCAATACTGTAGTATTCTCTTTACAATCCAAGAAAATAGTTGTCTTTCTACGACGAACCATGAGGAAAACGGACATCTTGATGGTTAGCACTGAACTCGTTGGCGACTGATTTTAAATAAACAATAGAAAAATGAAATGAACAAAAAAAGGTAACTGCAGAGAGAAACAAAATGATGATTGTTTTTAACTCTAGTATAGTTTAAAGATCTGGTAACCATAGAAGAAAGAGTAACAATAAATTCTCTTGAAGAGACTGCACGAGGATCAAAGAGGAGGCTCCTCTTTGGTCTACACGTTAGTCAGCGGCATCTAATGATGATTAGAATAACAACTAACCGGTTACTCGGTCTAAAAACGATGTAACCGGTTACTTTTCCTCCTTCACTAAACAAATCATCGGTTACCCGTAACCGTCTCAGCTCTACTGTTATGGTTATTGTCTTTTAGTACGACCCTCGTTAATTAAATAGTTGAGGATGGACCAAACTTTTGAAATGGAGTGTTCTAATTTTTGCTTTCCTTTGTTTACTCCGGTGCATCCTATCGTTAAAGCAGCTATTCATCGCAAGTCTTGATTTTGTATTATAATTTCATAGAAATGAATAACGAACAACTTGATTTGGCAAATGGAACCTTCGTTTATCTTGATGTTGCCATCTCTGATGAAAAGGGTAGGTCAACTGAAAATTAGCTTCATACTTGATAATTTATCTACTCATATAGTTTTAATTCTGCAACTCATATTTTATATTTTATTCTTCATGCAGTTGGAAGGATTGTGATTGAGCTATTTGACAAGATACTGCCACGGACTTGCGAAAATTTTCGAGCATTGTGTACAGGTGAACGTGGAACCTCAAAAAGTGGTTATAATTTGTGTTACAAAGGAGTAGAGTTTCATAGAGGTAAAAATGCACATTTATTTTATTCATATTGTTGTTACTTTAAAGAGGTGAAAATAGATGAGAATTGGCGTCTCAATCGGTGGCAAGTGCACAGTTCTCACAGCGAAACTTGCACATGGTTGATTGGGAACAGTTGCAGGAACAGCCTCGATAAGAACTGACTAAACTTGCGACTTAATACCGAAACTCGGATCATCACAATATTAAGATTTTATTTTCTATTTTTTCCATACATCATTCAGTTGTCAAAAATTTCATGGTCCAAGGTGGAGACTTTGAGAATAATGATGGAACTGGCGGTGAAAGTATTTATGGACCTAAATTCGATGATGAAGGATTCACAATCGCGGTAATCATAGCAGTTTTAATTTTGAGAGTTGATAATTTATCTAAATGCTATCTAAGATGACTCTCATTTTTTTATTTTTCAATCGACAGCATGACAAGCCTGGAATTGTCAGCATGGCGAATAGTGGACCTAACACAAATGGATCTCAATTTTTTATCACCACTGTACCTGCAGATCATTTAGATAATAAACATGTTGCTTTTGGCCAAGTTCGCAAAGGAATAAAAATCGTACACATGATTGAAGATCTTCATACTAATCCAGATACAGAAAAACCTATTGAGGTGAGTTTTTAACCAGCTTATTCCTTCAACCTTAATATAATTTCTCAATTTTTATCAATAGCGTGTCTTGATCATTGATTGTGGTCAATTGAAACCTGGTCAAGATTTAGGATTGGGGCCAGATGATGGAACTGAAGATGTTTATCCTCCGTTTCCAGAGGACTCGGATTTAGATCCCAACAATGTAAGTTTGATTAAGAGCAGTTAGTCAAATGAAGTTATTTGTCTAATAACTTTGATTATTGTCAATTGACAGATTGATTCATTCATCCGAGCTGCGGAAAAAATGAAAGCTGCAGGAAACAAGTTTTATATGAAAGAGGCTTTCACCACGGCTTGTTCAAAATACGCAAAAGCTTTAAGATACTTGAATAAATTACACGACGAAGACAAGATGAATAAAGAAGATGAAAAAAGAGTTACAGAACTCCAATTTCAATGTCTCCTCAACAGGTAATTTAATATTAAGCTTGATAATTCTATTTAAAAGACTTGCAATTCAATTTCATTTTTTGCTTTTTACTAGCACTGCTTGTAAAATCAAACTGAAGCGCTATAACGAAGCCTTGATTGATTGTGATGAAGCTCTTGATTTGGAACCAGAAAATATTAAGGCACTTTTCAGAAAAGGACAAGCATTACATGGTATTCGTGATTATGAAGCTGCCCTCAAATCGTTGAAGCGAGCTCAAAAATTATCTCCAAATGAAAAGGCAATCCAAGCAGAGTTAGCAGCCGTTCTTGGTGAAATGGAATCTTACCGAGCAAGGGAGAGGCAAGCTTATGCAAAACTTTTTGCATAATTCAATCGAACAACTTTCACAATAACTTATTTCATGTCATAAAATCTTTTCATTTTTTGTTCATTGTTTTGTCGTTTCTCCTGCAATTATTTATTATACAAGTTAAACATTTATTTTGAACCGATCATTTTTTGAATAAATTAATGCCAGAAGTTTCGAAAATCCTGAACTGAATTGATGAGCAAAATAATCATTGAAATCTTCGGGACAATAAATTTTTCTTTGAATTACTTTATTATAAACTGGGTGACCAGGAATAACCGCCGTACTTTCTTACTAATCAAGGGCCATTTCTGTATCTTCTTTCTTTTCCTCTTTTTTATCACCTTGATTTTTTTTCTCTTCTTCTTCCAGCACTTTAACAAAAGCTTCCAGATCTATAAAAGAAAAGGTAAGGGTTAATATATATTTAAACATTAAGACAGAGTTGAACAAAATGCAGATACACAATTCATAAAACATTTCAATTTTTTCGTGAGAAATTATCAAACAAAATTGATACGTAAACTAAGAGGTATCGTTGAAATGTTAGAATCGGCAATCTAATTACTGCATGAAATTCTTGAAGCCACTCATACGAGTACTCTCATTACAAATGAATATGTAGAATAATTTACCTCCTTTATTGGCGGCTTCAATACAAGCCGGGCTAAGACCAAATTGATGTAAAAGGGGTCCAAGTTGACCGGATTGCAAGGCCATTCCGAATTTATTCAATGCTTGTTGAAATTGTGGAGACTGAAGCGTTGAGGATACTTGTTCATTTAATGTTATGGACGTTGATGCAGACTCTGCAGTCTCTGTGGGGGGAAGTCGTTCTTTAACTCCTTTCATAAACTCTTCGTTTGCAAGAAGAGTTTGTAAAGCTTCAGATTTGATTATGGAGGATAATGCTGTTTAGGAAAGATAATAAAAATTTTATTAGAATAAGCTTTGATTATAAAATTGATTAAACAAATTCACCTTTAATTTCCCCTTTATCCTGTTGATCTCCTTTAGGTACGGATAAACCAGAAATAATTGATTGTAGGTCACCCAATTGAATACGAGGCTGAGAACTTCCAGAAGAACTAGTATTTGTCGCAGTAGCTTCAGATGCAGTCCTAGATGCTGATTGCTCTACGTCCCCTACACGATTAAGACTGGATGAATTAGCACCAGTCCCACTGAGCACGGAGCTAATTCCTGATCTGTGTGGCCTAGATGAAAGGCCAGACGAATTTTGCATGCCTATCATTTGCATCAACTGCTGTGGGTTTATATTATTAAGTAAATTCTGGAACTCAGACTCTCGAAGAGATCCTAGTTCAGCTAAACTACCAAGACTACCAAGGCCTCCAGATAATGATGGACCTCCAGAAGAACTTCCTCTTGATCCTGGAGTGGGTGGATTGTTTAGATATTCATTTATCTTTTTACAGAAGTCATCATCTTTGTCTGAGCTAGGCTCTTGCATCCAGTAAAAACATCTTTTCGATGTTTTAAATTTTAAAACAAAAACTCGACCTGTTGTACATTGTGGAACCTTTTTAAACTCCGCATCGTCTGTAGAAAAATAAAATAAACATTAACATGAAATATTTCACGTCATCTACAAAATATTCATTTGTTAAACTTGCCTGGAAACAGAATGAGATCATCTTCAGTAACACCAGTTTGACGATCTTTCCAACAGAAATGCATCAAATTATCATCACTTTGATGCAGATAAACCAATCCTTTCCTTTTAATTGGAGTGACAGTTGAACCATTCATAGTCATTTTACCAGCTTTGAATTCAACAAGATATTTTGACTGTTGTTGGCTATTACCATTACCGAATAAAAACGGTTGAGACATTGTGGGTATAAAGTAAAAACAAATTAGCTACTAAACACAATTAACTATTGATTATTCAAAATGATTGTTCAAAAAAGCTTATAAAAGATTGTTTGGGAATTTTGCGTTGTTGAGAAAAATGAAGAATCATCGGCTGTATGGATGGATTTAACTACGAGGGGTTTTATTCTAATTACAAGCCGCTAACAAAAGCCAATGAATTTTTTAATCCAGTAAAGGCTGAGATAATGAGACTCGATTTATAAACTCAATTTCATTGCGATTTCTTTAATTATTAATTAAACCACTCTTCGCTCGAAAAATATCAATCATTTAACTCTAGAAATCATATTAAAAAAACAATTCAGGTTGATTTTGATTAACAGATCAGTATCAATGAAAATTGGAAAATACGCTGTCCGTTGAATAGTGTGAATAAGCTAATCCAAGAGAGTCCATAATCTCTTACTGTAGCATCTTTATTAAATTGTAAATGTCATTTGAGATTTTTAATTTGTTATTTTAGGGCATTTATAATCTCACTGGTTTAAATTTCCATGAAAGAGTCGACTTAGAAAATTTTAATTGTCTGATAATGGATGATTGGAATACATGATAATGTTTCTGAATAAAGTATAGTTGGACAATATTCTCTGATGAATTGAAAGTATAAAAAATTGATTAGGATTAACAAGGTAAATATTTGAAATATTAGATGAAATTGAAGTATTTAAATTTAGTGGAAAAAGTTCATGAGAATAACAGCACTTTTGTACCAACGTCTTCGCAACTTATGATTAACTAAACTTGATGATTTCGTTTATAATCATCTGAGCTAACTCTTTATTAGTTGGATGGTCAAGGTTCTGTCGAGTATCAGTATGACCAATATCATTAAATTCAAATCTTGGAGTACATAAATTGAAATCCATTGGAGGCTTATCACCAAAATAATCACACATCTTTGGACTTTCCAAATCATCATCTAATAAGGTTACTTTATCACTCTGTTGGTCCGAAACAGATTTGATTTCACTCAAGTATCTGTCCATGATGAAATTTTTGTCAGTTCTTGGGGTTTGTGGACATTCATGAACCAATCTATCATTTCTATGAGCACGGCGATCATGTCGATCACCAATTTTGCTGGAAGTATTAGCGCGGTTAATTAAATCCTTGATATCTTTTTTTACTTGATACGATAGATTACTTTTTTTGGGTCTGCGATGATGTTTACTATTAATCAAACCAAATTGATGGGACATGTTGATAATTTAACAACGAAAAAATACTGTAAAAAAGATGAAAAATTAATTAATTAACGTAACAAAATTATCTTTAAGTTTAGCTTTTTTAGTAATTTGAACTTTTGATTCGCAAGCGATTTCATTGAGGGGCTTTTTTAAAATTACAAACTGTTGATAAACTCATTTTTTACCATCTATTGGTAATTATCCCTTGATGATGAAGCGATCAGTAAATAAAAGTTGTAGACATTGAATTTCATGTACAGCTTTAATTGTTTGTATGAAATTTATTTTCATTGAGAATGGTCTAATTACAAATGAACATTTGTTAAAATGGAGTAGATTGCAATTTACATTATGTTTAGTAGAATTACAGAGAAAATTTAAATAGGCGATCATCTAATTATTCACACTTTTTGTTCTATTCCAATCTTAATTTGTTTCTCATTAAGATTAGATTTTTTAACATAAGAAGTTTCTATTGTCCCAACTGAATTGATTGTGGATGTTGATGATGATAATTTATTGATATTAACTGGATCACACTCATTGTTTTCATAAGTATCCAATTGTTTTAATTTAAGATGATTAAATTTGAAATGATTAGGACTTGAATTTAAAATGTTTATGCTTATTGGACGTTGATTATTACAATCATCATCCAATTGATTTAAGTTGTTGTTATTTGATTGCTTTACAAGGTTTAAATCGTTGATCGTCTCAGGTTGAACTGCATTGGTTTGATTTTCGGCGATAAACTTGGCAATCCGAGATCTAAATTGTCGAATATATTGTTTACTTCGATTGTGTATGGATTTAGATGAAAAACATATAAATAAGAATATACAAAATAATGTTAAAACTAGTAAAAATTGTATTTGTCTATTGTCAGCATCCAGTTCTTGTTTATTTTTGATAATTTGCTTGATCCGAAAAGAGTTGCGTGAATTTAATAAAATATCACCAATTTTAAGGACATTTTCTGAGTTGTCCAATGAATAAAAAACAAGTGAATTAATGTCTTGCCGATGACAGACGGTTGACATTTGTTTAGAGTCTAGAGTGTCTTGGTAGAGAATCAGGATTGCTTTCAAAGCTTCGCAAATAATTTGAGTTTGATTGTTAGTTAAAATCTTTTCAAAAACCAAAACAAGAGAATTGAAAGCATCAGGTTCAGTTAAGGATTGATGATCAACAGTAATTGAAGGTAAATCCCGACCAACACAGATACAGAAAGGTCCTTTATCGTGGGAACATTTGCACCATTTCATCGGACAAGATGAAGCTCGGGTAGTAATTTCCCAATAATTATCCGATCCACCAAGTGAGCAAACATTTTCATCCACTTGTTGACAATGAGCACCTTTGAAGCCCTTTTGACAAACACATTGATATGCGTTAACCAGATCGATACAGGAACCATCATTAGCACAAGGATTTGGCTCACAGTCGTTTACATTTGATTCACAATGTTGCCCTTCAAATCCTTTGATACATTTACATTTATAAGATCCTTTTATATTCTGACACGATTCTGTTGTTGACGGTATACAGGGAGACAAAGATGCTTCCAGGTTGCATTCATTAATGTCTGTAATAAAAGATAAAATTACATGAAATTAGTAAATATGAATAAAAAATTATGAAAATAAGCAATAATTATCAATATATGGTGTTAAGAAAACCTGAGCTTTTAATAATGTAAATACATGACAAGGAAAGTCTTTAAAATGGTTACAGTGGAGAATCACCAATTTTAATTAGTAAGGACAAGTTTCAATTTCATCAACAATGTTGTACCTATTCTATCACTTTCTAAATCAGAGATTTAGCTAATCTGAGCAGGAGGAAATTTGGACTTCCTGAAAATCAAGAGGATCAAATTTCTTAGCTTCATAGTAGAAACAATTACTCGAGAAAGAAGATTTAGAAACAAAATTCAAGATCAAGATGCTAATGATGATGATTAACTGTTGAAACAAGTTTCACTTACCATCTTGACAACGATCTCCAGTGAATCCAGGAGGACAAACGCATTGATATCCATTGATTAGATCTATGCATTTACCATCATTTTGACATGGATTAGATGAACATTCATTGATATTAATCTGACAACGATTACCAGTCCATCCAGCAGGACAGTTACAAATGAAAGATGAATTATTTACTTCAGAGCAGGTTCCTCCATGAAGACAGGGACTTGTAACACATGGGTTAACAACTGTTGACAAAAGAGTATAAAATGTTCATTAGTTTTAAATTTCTTAAATTACTAAATTGTAATCTTCAAAGGAATCAATATAATCAGAGTTCACCATCAAATAGTCATTAATAAACCACCAAAATTTACAACAAAATTTGCTTTAGAGAATGATGAAAAGCAGGAAAAGTTGAATGTAAAAAATGAGCGACTAATCTAAAAGAGTTGTAAAAGACTAATTTACACAGTAAATTAAACGTTTCAAATCACGAAAAATCAGAATCATGAAGCTTTCAATTAAAACAGTTAGTAATCAAATCATCATTGAAAATACCATTAGATGCAGATTTAAATTGAACCAAGGTTTAAATTTTGAGTTACATTGAAATATGATTCAAGTGTCGACAGAAGCAAACCTTGTGAAGTAAATCATCAGCAAGTAAAATATGATAATTGTTGGCTACTTTTAAAATTATAGTCAACAATTTAATGATGATTGTTATTTTCATTTTTATTGGTAAACTTACTTTCATTTTGCCTATTAATAAAATGTTTTCCTGTTAATCTTGAAAAATAAATTCCAAGTGTTTCATAGGCGTTTCAGTTAAAGTCACGCTAATGGTAACAAAAGAAAGCTCAATTTGAATATGCAAAAGTAAAAAGGTAATATTGATCAACGATTGAAAACGGATTTAAAAATAAAAAATCAAGATGAAACGAAAGTTATGATCATAAATGATTGACTTTACACGACTAATAATAATGGAAGACGAAGAAAACAATAAAATATCGTAAATATGGGTTACAGATTATTTTCATCCTCTTCACCGTCAAGTACATATCTTGATGATACACTTGGCCTTAGGCCTTGTGGTCATAATAGAGAAGACTTTTAGCCTGATCCGCCTTAAATCGTGATGGATCAACCAAATTACTGTTCTGGTAGCCATAATAACAACAAGAATCCATATGTAAATACATGGATCAATTCAATAGATAAGATTGACCTGGCTCCTGACAATTTACCTGATTGTTTACCAGCTACTCTATTGATAATTTAATGATAAAGTATATTTTTAACTTTACCGTAAAAATGGCCTTTTATGATGTTAAACGAGCAAAATCAAATCCCGTTCAGTATCATTTTCAGCTTCATTATTGGCAATAGTCTTTGAAACATTTTCTGATTTCCGTTTCAAGAGTTTCAAGTTTGGATCAATGTTAATCTGATTTGTTAGTCAAGTTTCATATGATATTTAGATCTGACAATCTGCTCATTTAATCTTAATTAAATGAACTATTTAGCGTAAAAAGTCGCATAACATCCGTTTGATTTGACGAAATGTTATAACAATTTGTTAGCATGATGATGGTTTAATCTTCATAAAGATCTTGATTGGTTGAAAAGGACAAATTTAAATTAGTTGTCATCTCGTATTCAACACAAACTAAAGATATTATAACTTAACAATCAGTAAAGTAATCATTCCTTTAAAATAAATATCAAATTACTTTGTTCAACAGTAGCCAAATAGTGAGACTGATCATCACTAGGCATCCATAGCTTCCGTTAAATTGAACAACAATCATCAAGTTACGGTTTAGACTATCTGATCAAGCAATCATAATATAACATTTCAAACGGTAGTACAATGACAAAAAAACATATCATATTGTCGTTAATAAGTGGTTGAGTTCAATCAACAAAAAAGTCATCTCGAATCTGCATTTAAATTGGATTGTTAAGTCGAGGGTTCCAAGGCACGTGTTATATTATCCAACAAATATCGATATTTATCATTGAAATTGATCAAAATAATCATCACATCTGTTAATCTTGTCAATATTGGATGACATAATTGGGTCCAATGAAACAGTTACAACTCCTACAAAATTATCCATGAAAAATTGTCGATGTTGAATGAACAATTAGTGATTAATCAGTTGAATTATTGGTTAGATAAGGAAGCAAAAATGACATTTGTGTCCTCGTTTGAACTACTAAATGATGACTATTTAATGATTAATTGATGGTGATGCCGATAATCATTGTGAATTCATTGTAAAATAAAATGCACAATTAGTTGGTAACTCACCAATTTGACAATTGTTACCATCGTACCCGGGTTTACAGTGACATTTGTACTGATTAGGAGCAATGTTATCGCACAAGCCACCATTTAGACAAGGTTGATGAGTACCACAGAAATTTAAATCTTGATCACATAAGATTCCACCCCAATTACGGTGGCAAATACACTGCCAGGGTTTAAGACAATAACCATTGATACAGCCAGGATAAAGAAGACACTGGTTACATAAAGGTCCAGAATAACCAGGTCGACATTGACATTGGTCAGGTTCAGAGCAGTAACCATGTTCAGAGTTACATCCCGGTCTGCATTTAGGTTTATCACAATTGTCACCGATCCAGCCTGTTAAGCATGACTTTTGTCCATTTTCTCGGCATCCATAATGTCCAAATACATCATTTCGTTCACGGCAAAACTCTGAACATTCATCACCATGATAATATAGTGAACAATAAACCCTAGTAAAAAAGTGGTCAAAGAAAAGGATTGATTAATTGAATGTTGAACAAAAAGAAAAGTAAAAATTGATTCTTCAAACTTTACGGATCATTAATAGTTTTTTAACAATCAAAATGTAGCCCAAAAATTGACTCATCATTATTTGATTGTTTGCTGTTTTCAGTTTGTTTTTTATTATGTCAAACTGTATCTCGCTATGTCTATTCATTTTGATACAATAGACTATAAAAAGTGTCTGTTAAACCTCTTAGGAAACAAATTGAGTTTATATTATCAAGGGAACTTTTCATCTAATGTTTATCCTTTTATTTAAGAGATGCAATGGGATTAAACAAGTAGGAGGATGATCAGAGTGAAGATGAAAGAGAAGAGAAAGAGAGAGGAGAAGGAGGAGGGAAAAGATGGTCAATATGTCCTACTGATTGTTATTTGGCTATTCGGTCAGAAAGTTACCCTAAAACTGGGACAATTTTACTCGTGTTTTCCTTTAACCCTTACTGACTGTGTTACACAATGATGGACACAGTTGACAGTGTTAATATTGACACAATCAGCTAACCCTTTGTTAACATTATCATTGTTAACCTAAATCAGTTGATAAAAGTGCTACAGTTAGCTAATCAAGCAAAAATCATCAACTCCTAGGTCAATATAAGTCACACATCTATTCAATCTCATAAATTATGTCAACTCTTTCAACTTTCTCTGTTGTTGTATTTTTTTCATTCAATCTTTGCAATTCAGATTGACTAATTTAATTACTCTTGCTAATGATATAATGACCAAGATTTGAGAATTGTAAAATTCTGATCAAGATAGTAGACAAGGTAATGAATAGAGAAGTGATTACAATTACATGTTAACTCAGGCTGAGGTCATGGTTGATAAAATATAACAATCTCATGATGATCCAATTTGTGTCTCCACACAATTATAATAAAGAATCTGAATAAGTCTTTTTATCATCTGTTTCTTCCTCACCAGCATCATGTTTTCCTCTCAAGAAACTAACGCTTCTCCTCTTGAAAAGGTTGATAAATTGCAGTCAGTTGGTTTAAAAAAGTTACTTTACATGTGTTAAAAAAGTTGAAAACACGAGTCAATTAAAGATGCTTCAAAGTTACGCTAATCTAAATTACTGAGAGTAATCATGATTAAACTTTAGCCATTTTTCTCTCTAACTTCGTCTCCTAAATCAACGTCTTAATTTCCAACAAAAAAATTCTTTATGTTGTTCACAATTATCAAAAAGATTACTTGTATTAAACCATTCAGCCTGAAACAATGAATTCAGTACATAGCCTTGCAGGAAAAACAAGCAAACTGCTTCAAAATGACTGCAACTTTGATTGTATGCAACCATTTTAATGGTCCACCTTGATTGCGATAATAAATATTAACCAACCTGTATCGATATACAAGGTGCGAATTAGTGGATTTAAATGTTTTATACAGCCATGGTCTGAGTCCATTTGAAGATCGATTGGTCGGTAAAACATTGTCATCGAAATGAATTTGCTTCTCCAATTGAACAGAATTATTTGTTGAACCGTTATTTGCCATAATGGTTACAATTAAAGTGAATGATTTCTGGAAAAGAGGAATGGATAAAATTATTAATACATTTATATGATTAAAATCAACATGAAGTGGTTAGTTAAAAGTGTAAACAATCCAATTGAGTCAATAGTAAAGTCCAAGTAAAGATTAAACAAAATAAAAACACCAGAATAGAGTGATGTTTTGAGTCCAAAAATAGATCACCTATTAAGTTAATTGTCAATGTTAAGGTTAAATAATATAAATTGACCTGAATAATATGGTAACACAGAGAAGCCTCTTTTTTACACAGTTAAACAATTAAGTTATATAAGAGCCAAAATAATAGGCAAGGACAAATCTCGCAGGATGTAGTATATTTTTAACCGGAACTTATCTATTTTTTTGAAGCTAAATAACATTCTCTGTTTCATTCTTTATGCTCTTCATGTTTGCCTTCATTTTTTATGCAAATATTTCAAATAATTATCTTCATCTTTCGCCATCTTCATCTCATCTTTTACGCGTGCTGCAAATACATCTCAATAAAGTATTCACCAGTAAAGCAGCACATAGAAGCAAAAAACAGCAAACACTCACAAAAAAATAAATAAGCATTTTGGTTAAAAAAATATGTTTCCTTTGAGCTTTTGTTGAGGCCCATGTTGACTTTGAAGGAAACCTACCACACAAATAACGCAAAGAGATGATCAAAAAGTAAAAAACTAGCCGCATCTTGATATAAATATTATGTTTTCACGATCTTCTCAACACTAATCTCGTTCTTGATTTATTTGGATGGATTAATGTAAGTTTGGATTTGGCTTGAAGAAAGACACAAAGTAGGCAGATAATCTTGAACCATAAAGATTGATTGAGCTGTTCGCCTGTTCGCTTGCTTTCTTTGGTTGCCCCATCCATTGGTTTGTGTCGTGCTTGCTTGCTGACTTGTAGACAACTGTATTAAACACATTGGCATGGTAAGGATACACAACAGTAACAACTGATTAACGATAAACAGATTTGTTTATGTTTCTAAAATTGTTCAGTTGAATGAACATATCACCATACTTACCTGACCTTTTCATAAGGCAAAGCAGTAACCAAACGGCTTCCATATGTCACATTGTGTAGATATGCATCAACATCATTACAACACATAAGATAAAGTGAAAAAAATGACGCAAACAGATTTAACTCAAGGCCAGTAGATACTCCATTGATTATTACAATCAACAAAACTCATTACGTTAAACGTTAACATTTAATTAAAAACAAAAAGACAATTAGGAAAATGGTTAAAATTAAAAAAGGTTAACAGAAGATAAAACAAAAGATAAAAGCGCGCCTAGTAATTGGCTTAGCTAATTTGACCAATCAAATGGGGAGCCCCGCGTAAATACAATTTGCTAAAACAAATGAGACTAAATTTTAAAAATAAAAAAATTCAATTTTCATGAAAAATATTATCCCATCATAGGAATCAAATATAATTTCAAGAGGACAATTTTGATTTTATTTTTACCCGAAATTGACTTTTGTCAAATAAACGGACAAAAAAGCTCTTAAAGCCAATTGAAGCTTCCAACACTTACGCGTTATTATAAATGGCAGATACTAGACTACATTTAAAACTAGTCGAATTGTTGAAATTGAAAAAGTAAATAAAACAAAAATTGAACATCTCGGTGAACCTGTTTAATTGCTGTTGATTTATGTGTTGAAGGAAAAATATACCAACAAAAAAGTCTGTCCCTTTTGATCAATAGTACACTATTAAAATAGGAATCATAGGAATGTTAACAGATGGATCAATGATGATGATGCTCAGTTAATTCCCAATTGGCTTCTCCAAATAGCCTTTGATCAACATTTGATTATCCCAGGAGAGAATTGGTTTACATCCTTTAATTCCCTTTCGAGTTCTTTAATATTTAATGTTATTATCATCGGCTTCACTTTTTTTTCACTTTTTTCACTTTTTTAAACACCAACAAAAGTGAAAAGCCAAAGATGCTGTTTTGATGGTGATGGTGAAGACGATCAAGAGGGTGATGTAGATGATGATGTATCCCTATTTAGGACAGAGTCTCTCCCTTTCCTCCTCCGCTCAGGCCCAAACCGAAACTCAATGAGCCGAAACGTTGGAGGTGAGAGGAAACCTTATGGAGTATTGATTGTATCAATGTTGTTGTCTTGTTTTTATTTGTTACTTTATTTAGCGATTTGGCAAAACAGTAAAAAAAGACTTCATTGTTGGACCAAAGGAGATGATTGCAATTCAATTGTTAATTTTTTAATCAACTGTTCACTGATACCTTCAATGTTGAATGTTTAACCGTCTATTCATGTTTCTGTCTCAATCAATTTTGTGAGTTTACATTGAACTGGTCATTTTCATCATTGGTGGACAGTTCACCTCTTGATTACAGATGAATTAACTTGAAGACAAAATGATATTCAAAGTTAGAAACCTTATTTTTTTTGATCAAACCTTAAATTTGTCAATATGTTAATCTTCCCATGCATTTAATGCTTCACTTAATAGAAACATTTTACAAGTTAATTTAAGTCAAGAATGAAAAGACTCAACAAAAAAAAGTGAAACTCAAATGACAAGCTGACAAAAGCTGATCCACTTTTGGCTTTTAATAGATTCAATGTCATCTGTTTACACTCTCAGTATTTCAGGACATTTTCAGCCCCTTTTCACCACCCACAATCATCCTTTTCATCACACAGATCAACATCAAAGTCAAAATCAAAATCAACTTCAATATTAGTAAATGTTTTGAATGCGATTGCAACTTAAAAAAAACATCGACTAAAAGTGAAAGTCTATTGAAATAATAAGCATCTTTGAATATTTTAATAGTTGCTATAAAGTTGATCTGATCAATTGTTGAAAGAGTTAACCACAAAATGTTACAGATGATTGTTATTGACAATGTTATCTGTAATGGTTATTGATATCATTTTTGTAACCATTTTGTCACATATTTAATATGGTTTAAGGGTTTGAGTTAACTGGTTATTATTGACGGATACAGTAATAGATGACCTTAAGGCTTATAAGGTCAACAATTGACCAATGTCTATGACAGGTTAGTTGACAATAATAATGTATTATAACTGTAACCCTTCTCAATGTTATGTCCACTCTTTTTGTTCACAATTAGATTGATTGAGTCTCAAGAGTGGATCAAATCAGACCAAACATCAAAACTAAAACAGTTAAATGTAAAGGATAAACTTGATTCCCTCAAGATTGTGTTAACATTGATTATCAATTGTTATTACAATTATTATTTAACCCATCATAATAAAATGGTTAAACCTCATTCATGTCTGACTTGGAGACTTGAAATAATGTTTATTCAGGCTTGATGTTAAGGTATTGACTAAACTGACCAATATCCAGCTCATTTAGATGGTTAGTTAAAGGACAATAAAAATATTGTAAAAAGAGGAAAAAATATAATATGAAAAAGCTTTTGATAATTTGTCTCAAATAAATTAAGATTTTAAACTTTACTCACAATTTAATTCGTCTACATTAACTGATTGTTACAGAGTTTGAAGACAATTCAGCAATCTCTTGTAAGAGATTGTAAGTTGAGTGTTTTTTAAGCGCAAGAAACGGATTTTGCCATCAATTAGCTGATACTGACTGACCTTTGATTCGTCTTTTAAACGCTGACACTGAAAATGGTCAAGAAGAAGGGAAAGGTTTGGCTTGAATCGGTAGGAAATATATTAAAATGTTTAGTCCTGAGAAAATGAAGAAAGGTAATTTTCAAAGGTGAACTCATTAAGGACTGATAGGAAGCTGCAAAAAACGGATAATAAACACTGAAATGATACCTTTGATACCTGATATATTGTTAAACTTGGTTTAACCTAAGTTGATAATTTGTCAACTCAAATGGCTGTAAACAAAAACAACATGGTAACTGTGAGAATCTTTGCTTCCACCTTTGTCATGCTACAGATGATAATACACTATACAGATGTAGATTCACTCTGATTCAAAATAACAGATTAACATTAAAATTGGTGTGTTTTTGGCCCTTTTGACCTTTCTCCTTTCGTTTGTGTCCATTACATAAATTTTCTGCCTTTTAATAATTTGCTGGACCAACATTTGAAACAATTTAGATAGCACAAGGAAAACAAGGTTTGGTTGTTGTCTGGTTGCTTTTGCTTGTTTCATCGATATTCGGGATTCTTTCAATTTTACTAGATTAATTGAATGCACAAGAAAGAGATATCAATCAATTGCATGTGATTAATTCCATATTGATTAGAAGCTGCTAAAAAAATAAATAAAAGTGTCATCTGAATGATGTTCAAATGTGATTTTATCATTAAATTTTCTTCTTCTTATTTTCCTTAAGAAACCAAGTTATACAATCTTTCAAATTCCAAGAATTAATACAATTATCATGAACCACAATCAAATATCATTAATTGTAATCCTTAATGATGAAACTGTTGATGATTATTTCCATCTTTAACCTGAGGTTTCATTTCTTTGGTTAAATTTTTCAAGGCAAAAATGGCGAGTAAAATACGGTCAAAATAGCGATTTAATGATAGATATCAGAACATAGCTCAATCAGGATTAACCGTACGTCTTTTCTTGATAGATGGCAATTTTATAAAAATTGAGATTGGTTTGATTAGGTTAATTTCATTGATTGTAAACATGACAATCTTAAGGTAAGATGAAGAAGAAAAGTTGAGATGTTTCTGTGAGAAAAACTCAGTCAAGGGTAGAGTTCACATAATTAAGACACCAACAAGCAAAAAATGATCAAGAAGCTGATGGAGATTAGAGTTATGAGAATGAAAAGAGAAGAGTAAATGAGTAAATAAGGATTAGACGATGCGAGACCAATTAGATTAACATTGAATTGAATGAGAATCTGCATCACAAAATAAAACAGTCAATTCAAAATTGAGAGGAACATCCAAAACTAACTTGTGAAAATCCAATGGCAAAAATAAAACAAGTAAAATCACTTTTTAACACAGTGAAGTGTTACAATTAAACAATGTACACAGATTTTGACAATTTAATCAACAGATAATCAAAGCTAAAATAGATGAAAATTAAGCATTAACCACGAAATTTAAAAAAGTAAAACTAGACTTAAGACGACATATGTAATGTCAGTTAGTAAGCGGTCATTTGGTTAGGTAGAGACAACATGGAGTCGTCTTATAATCATGCTATTGTCTTATGATCTTATTTTTAGGCGCAAATTTCAATTAATTTTCAACTTTACCTATTTTTTGGATTGTTTAACACTTATAAGTATTTTTGATTGTTATTTTTTGTGATTTAAATTTATAAATTAACAGATAAACTCACCATCCATCTAAATGTGAAAGGTAATCTCAGTGAAACTGGAGCAGAAGGTGGTGAAGGTTGTGATGTTACAATTCCATAGGTACATGGAGGCCCATAAACAAGAGTATTTGATTCTTTAAGACATAAATTGTAAACTAATTTGGTATCATCAGCTGATGAATAGAGGTATTTATGTTCAAATTCAACAACTTCAACTTGAAATATTCCAGATGAATGATAACCATGTATAACAATGGTTAAATACAAGATTATCCATTTGTTGAGTTTATAAAATGGATTGCTAATCCACCGAGTTACATCCATTTCAACTGTAACCCAGGGAAGGACCAGTTTAATCGATGACGGTAACTCAATAGATCAACTTTAAACTATCACTTTGGTATTAAATCAGTTGATTACTAAATTTGATTAAAATAAATCAAAACAAATTACAACAAAATTACAAGGTAAGTCGTTATTGTCGATGTCACTTTTGTTTTCATGGAGACACAAAATAGGATCCACAAAATGTTGATTGGTAACCAGTTAACTGCACGCGCAAACAATTAAATGATATAAAGGTTGACAAAAAAAAGTGTGAACGCGTGTTTCTTTGGTGGGCGCGTGTTTTTCAATGTCACCAAGATGGGAGTCTGTTGTTTACCGGGTCACAAGTTGAAAGGAGACACAAGAGGAGAGAGTAATGGAAGAGGAAAAAGAGTGATGAGGATAAAAAAGAGGAGGAGGATGACAAGAAGGAGGAGAGACTGAGGACCAAGAGATCGCCTGGGACACATTCAGGGCTTTTCCAAGCAACAGACTAATGTTCATATTTTTCACTTTACCTCCATCATCCAGATTTAAACAATTGGCCAAAATTAACGGACAAAGATAATATTGGTTAATGAAGGAGCACAAATTAAAATTGAAAAAGGGTAAATATTTAAATGTTGTTACAAATTTTGCAAAATTAACGTTTTCTTTCCCATTTGCTTTCAGGACCAGAGTCAAGTTTAGTGCAACAATCACAGAGGTAAAGTGGCCTAAGTTAAGCTTCTGTTGAACGCAACAGCAATCACCAGAGCGTCAACTGTACAGCAACAAAGAAGATAAAAAGACTGCTTTGAGGATGATGAAGATGATGAAGGTAACCGTGAAAATCGTGAGGTAAAAAAGTAATTGAGGATTGGAGGTATAATCAAGGTAGAAACATGGGAACTACAAGTTGTTTTATACACTAGACAAAAAGCAACTGTTACCTTTTCAAGAAGAAACAGCAACAGCAAGGAAATGTCTAATTTCTTCGAGTTTTTTTCCTTAAAAATAACGATTTTCAATGTTAATTGCAAACCTAAATACTGTCCATTCAACTTGTCCAGCCAGATAAATGAAGCAGCACAACTCAACAAGTCAATAGCCAAGTGTTTCAACAGAAGCAAGTTGACCGAGCAAGCCAATTGATCCCATTGTTTCAATTATGATAATTCAACTCAACCCTCACCTAAACACATGCTAAGCTTAAACCAATCTACCTTTTACCAATGACTTTCCAATCACCTAAATTGTTAGCTTTTGGTGGGTTAAATTGTGATAGGAAAGTACTTGTTGATTGAAGTAGATGAAAGTGTGTTCATAATTTTTCAATTGTTGTATTATTTGTTTATTAACTTTGGATAATATTATATTTTCAATGGTTAAATATACTATTAGATGAAATGAAATTAAATGATGAAAGGAAATGTCCCAAGATAGGAACTTGCTTCTTCACTCTTTTGTCATCCTCCTCCATCCTCCTCCTCTTCATCTTGTCCTTCCCCTTGTTGATCACCATCCTCATCATCCTAAGCATCTCTCCATCTGGCTATCTTCTTGCATCTTTCCCTGAATGGGATGCAAAGTTAACATTAAACCACATCGAAAGCCATTTTTGTGGTTTACTCTTCTTAGATTCATAAACATTTGCGAGTTTATCTGATAATAAATAAATCATTGAAACCTTTAGGGATCAAATGACAGCTAAAAAATTTTTTTATTTATATTTTTTAACTTTCAATGACAAATCATCATCTCTCTTCAACTGCAAACCATTATCAAGTGAATTGTAATCTCCAAGTGAGATGTTAACTTTATTCACTTTGTTCAATCACTAATCTCAATTAATTGTTTACATTTAAATACCTTTAAGCTGTTTACCATTTCATTTGATCAATCAATTGATCAAGTATCAGATTTAACCAAATAAAACTTCAACATTCAAATCAGCCGAAAATTATCCTTCACCGTAACATTCAACAAAAATAATTCAATATTACCATTTATACCAACCGATTCACCTTTATCAAACCAAATGACCAACTGATATGATATTTGCTTGTCCAATTACACTGTACAGTATCGGTCAAAGAAACTGTCAGTTAAATTTTCAATGCTTCAAAATAATTACAGAATTTTTTACTTGGCTATTTTTCAGAGACCGATAAATTTAAATTAAAGATTAGTGTAAGGAAAAGATGAAAATATTGTCTTCTTCGAGTCTCTCAGACCATTCAAAGCCAAGTACCGGTCGATCAAAAGTCAAGTTGAATTATTGAAGGGTTAAGATGGGGAAAATCCATCATCTGCATTCAATGATCCTTGTAGTTTATTATTCTTAAAGTCATGGAAAAATTCATATAAAAGTTCTGAAAATTATGAAACAAAAGCGAAACAAAAAGAGCGCTCGGTTAGGAGCGCCATCTGTTGGATAAACTAAAATTTGGATAATTTTCATTCTTAAGAATCATTGCAATTGAATGTGAGATAATTAATATTTTAGATTTCGAGTGAATTCAATAAATGTTCAGATTTATTTTTGCTCCGAAACTCTATCAATGGTAACTTCAACTTTGAATGAGTGTGTAATAACAGTTTTTTTGACCGATACTGTTCTTGTTTCAAACTTGAGGTTTTGATGATTTGAAAGTTATAAGTAAACTTGATTAAGGGAAACATTTTAACAATTTATTTGATTATTGAGCACGTTTATAGCTATTAATGCGAACCAATGTTCACAGGAAGAAGCCAAGATAAATTGAATTCATTCAATGGTGATATTTTTCTGTGTTCCTGCAATTCATTTTACATCTTCTCAAAATTGCTGTTTAAAGATCAAGGTTAATAATATTGTAACTGTTTATTATTGTGTGTAAATGTATCAATAGTTGACAGGTTTCATGCATTGATTTGTGAAGTGATCAGCAATCTTTACTAAAAACATTGAATAACTATACTCAAAAATATCGCCCTGTATCTTGAGTTTGAATTTTGTGTTCCCATGAACATTTTACCATTAACTCTGATTTCATAAGTTGGATGTTATTATATAAACCAAGACTAGTCTCAATCTAATATTTTGTAGTTTATTTACAGTCTATAGTCATCACCAGTCATCTAATCTCATCAAACTGTTTGTCCAGATAATCATCATCGTTTGACCATGATCTTCATTGATTTTTGACAAATAATTAAGTAAACACTTAATTTTCCCATTTCTCTTATTAATTGGTATTTTGTTTGATTTTCAAATTGTTTATTTTCATCTCATTCTTGAATTACATTGACAGACTTCAACAGCATTTAACAACTTTGTCAGGTTAGTATCATATGAAAACACATATCAACTTGCTTTACATTCAAGTGTTACTTTCCTTTATTTAATGTTTCATTTTATATGTAAAGCAAAACTGATATTTAGTCAAATCTGTTGATAGCTGACTGATTATTGGGTGTTAAGATTCTTAATTGCTTCTAATACATTGCTAGCTGATTAATGCTGTTAACTCTGTCAAAATAGATTATCAATATACGAACCATTAAGTTGCCCATATCTCCATAATTATCATCTATTATCAAGCTAACTTAATAAGCTTTAAGTAAAATCTTGAGTGTCTTCGATTGTTTCACTTGGCAATCTATTTTTACAGCCAAGTAATATTGATAGTAGTCTTAATTTTACAGTTGATTTGACCAAATCAAGTCTATAACACTTTTTACTTTAATTGTTTCTAGCTCCAAGTTGAATTAAGTTAACAAAAATGGATTCATACATTAAAGGCTATTTCTGTGAAAAGGACATTGCTGATGACTGTGACAAGATAATTAGTGCTGTTAAATGTGACAAATTGATTCACGCCGAGAAAACCAAATACCAAGATTTGGTTGTTTTTGAAAGGTAAGATTTGCAATTAACGTTTTAATGTCTAATCTAACACCGATTTTGCTAATTGCATTGCTACAGTGATGTTCTTGGACGTTGTCTTGCCCTGGATGGAGCCATGCAGTTAACAGAAAAGGATGAATTCTCATACCAAGAAATGATTTCCTTTCTTCCTCTCAACAGTCACCCCAATCCTAAGAAGGTGTTGATTGTAGGTGGTGGTGACGGTGGTGTTATCCGTGAATGTCTGAAACATCCAAGTGTAGAGTCAATCACTCTATGTGAAATTGATGAAAGAGTGGTTGAAGTTTCCAAGAAATATCTTCCCTTTATGGCCTCATCATTCAACGATCCTAAAGTAAAGGTTTTAATCGGTGATGGATATGCTTATATACGGGAAAATAAGGACGCCTTTGATGTAATTATAACTGATTCATCAGATCCAAAAGGACCAGCTGTGTCTCTTTTCCAGAAGGAATATTATCAATCATTAAAGGAATGCCTTCGAAGTGGTGGAATCATTGCCTGTCAAGCTGAAACCATTTGGTTTCATTTGCACTTGATTAAGTTTCTTTATGCAACTGCTTCCGAGTTATTTGCATCGGTTGCTTATGCCTTAACACTGGTTCCGACGTATCCTTCAGGCCAGATTGGATTTCTTTTAGCTTGTAAAGATAAAAAGATCAATTTCGGTGAGCCTATCCATAAGTTAACCGATGAACAAGTTGCTGAAATGAAATTGAAATATTATTCAACTGAAATACACCGAGCTTCATTTGTATTACCAAATTTCGTACGAAATGTAAGTTTCAAACATTGATAATTTAACATATTAACCATTATTGTTGTACAATCAAACATGACTAATTGACATTCTTTTGTTTTCAATTCTTTCATCCACAGGAGCTGAAAACTGAAACTCAGTCTAAATAAGATTCCATTTGTAACTATTAACAAGCGGTAATATAAGTTACAAGTATGATAGTGGCACTGTTTTTATCTTCCTTTTCCTTCTGTTTTCATTTCATGATATCACCCCCAGTCTCTTTTATCTCCAATGCAGCATCCATACAGCCATTAATCAGCTATCGGTTCATCTGTCAATATGTATTAATTGTCACAATTTATCCAAGGAATCTGATACAAAACATGATAATTTATAGTTAAAGGTGTGCAAATACATAATTGAATTGTAGGGAAAGATTAAAACTAACATTTTTATAATCAGATTGAAAAATTTACAGAAATCGAAATGTGAGCTCCATGACTTTTTTTGCAAACCCATTATCAATGATTAAAAACATTGTGCAACTTGAAACTTGACTCAATTTATTTTACTAGCATTTTATAATTCTGAATAAAATGACTTATTGATGTGATGATATATTGAATGTTTTATTTGAAAATAAATAATTCTTAAAGAAATCAAACGAGTTATGGTAAAAACAATGATATGAAATACATAGATTGACATATGTATAGATTGAAAGCTGATATTTACAAAAACGAATTCGGAAATTTTACATGAGTTGTGAAAAACATTGTCCTTGTGCAAATCTCAAAAAGCTTTCAGTTTTTTTTAAAAAATATGAACAAATTACACAGAGATCTGTAGAGTCTGGAGGAAAAGTTTACCGCGATGACAATGTTGTCGGTAGCGTGCAATATCTTTACGGGTAACAATACCAACAACTTCATTATAATCATTGACAATTACTAAATGCCTCAATCCTAAAGCACGGAATAATTGGAAGATACGATTCAATGAAGCAGTGTGAGACATTGAATATGGACTAGGATTCATCACAGGTCTTAAATCAATAGAATACTGTCTCTCTTGATCTGTAATTAGATTGATGATTTTTTCAATTGGTGGATATCTTGGATAAGCATCTCGAAAAGTTCCAGCTGTAATCTTATGATATTCATCATTTTCATTGAAAATTTTCTCTTGAAGAAGAACAATCAATTGCCATCTTAAAATAAGTCCACGGAAACGACCATAATGAGCTGGAGATGAATAAGATGGCTCAAGGGACGAGCCTGATTCAGTGAAATCAAATTCTTCCGTGTCAACAACAGGAAAACCATTGTGAGTTTCATTTTCCAGAACTTGAATAATACGATCAACTTTTTCGACACTTCTTAATGCAACAACTGGCGCTGACATGATTTCCGAGGCATAAACGGTGGTAGACAAAGACGGAGGTTCCCAATAAAGGAATGGTATGGCAGCTAGACGAATGTGAATATCATAAATACTTTCATGGTTAAAATAGTCACCAACCCATTTAGATACAATTAGGGTTATCATTATTGGTGGACCGAACGTTATATTTCCAGTTGTTTCAATCATAATGACGGTTAAACTTATAGTCATACGAACAACTCCTCCTAACATAGCGGCGGCACCGATAAGAGCAAATTTACAACCATCAGCCCAATCACTCTCATCAGGAAGAGTATGTTTGACTAGAAGATAAAATAGTCGACCACCAGTAGCACCAACAATTAAAGAAGGAATGAAAAGACCAGAAGAAACGCTAATTCCATAAGTCCAAGTGGCAAGAAAGAAATAACATACAAAGAAAATAAGAAGAGTTTTCCAAGTCCACATATCATCATCGCTATGAAATAATCTGGAAATAGTTGCTTCAGGAGTTGCTAACCAAAGATAAGACATAACTGAAAATTCGCTTTCTTTACAGCCAGCCCTAATGGTTTCATTTAGAGACAATAATTCCTTTTTATGGCAATCTTCATCAAGGTATATAAGAGAATAAGCTATAGAACAGGTAAAAATGGAAATGAAAACCGATTCAGCTACTTTGCTCCAGTTTCTGTTAATGTATTTCAGTCGTATCATAGATAGACGAAGATTAATACTGTTGTGTAGAGCTCCAAGGATTCCGCCAATAGCTCCAAGAAAGGCATAAATGGGTATTTCATAGATAGCATAATTGATTTCACCAAATTTACCAAAGTTAATTAAACCTGGATAAGATAGTTGGCCAGCATGATTATGGTAAATTGAAAGAACTATGTTGAGAGTAAAAGTGGTTATCATTGAGCAGAAAAATATTCTCCATGTTAATGCTTGGTTCCAGAACGAAGCTCCTTCTTCTAAACTGAATAAGACACCGCCAATTGGAGCACCAAAAGCAGCAGCAACTCCAGCAGCAGCCCCTGAACAGATGAAAAAATAAATTTATGAATTATTTGAGACTAGAAAATACAAAACATTATGCATGAAATTTAATGAGCGCAAAAGAAGCAGAAAATTGAGAATCCCTCGAAGTTTGTGCACCAAATTTAGCATAAGTTCTGAAGAAAATGGTAATTCAAGTGTAAAAATACAATATGAAACAATAAAACAAATTGCGATTTGTGTCATCGTGATTATTCTACCAGATTATACTCTATCGGATATCTTTTGTGTCGTAATGATTACTTAACAGAAATTATATTTAGGTTTATCTTAGCTAAAAATATTGATAATTAGCCAGTTGACTATAGCTAGTTGATTTTACTAGTCGAACAGTGTTATTATCAAAGAGTAATTCTTTCGTTATTATTGATAAATTTAAAATCTATTTGTCCTAAATACGATAAAAGTGAAATTTGTATGCATTTGTGAATCACTCATAATTTCAAAGATTTTCTCATTGAGCAATTTGTAATTTGAAGGTTCAAAGCTCAATACAGATAAAGTAAACAAAACCATTTTTCTAGAATAGCGCTAAGATAAGATGAAGTTATATGAGTGAATTATATTTGCAGAAAAATAAACAAACCTGCAGAAACAAAGTCTCTTTTTTCTCTATCATCCTTAAATTCATCTAAGAGATGTGTATCTTTTTTAAAAGTGGTACTTTTTCCTTGAGAGACTCCAGCCGCAATAACAGCACCACAATGGATCATAGGCCCTTCTTTTCCTGTCGCCAATCCACCAACAACAGAAAAAATAACACCAACAGCCTTACTAACGAATGTCTTGAATCTAACGACTTCAGGAACTTTTACACCATTAAGATAACATTTAACGACTGGAATACCTGAGCCAGCAGCAACCGGAGCCCAATATGTAACCATAATAGAGCCAATAGCAACCAGCGTGGCGTTTATTCCCATCCAATAAAACAAGGGTGTGTAACAAAAACTCGAGTTGTCACATTGGTTCATTTTGGTCATGAGAAAATGGAATTTGTATGAAGCAAGTTTGTCTGTAGCGATGACGATACCACATGCTGTCAAAGCTGTTAAAATACCAATGAATAAAATGACAATCCATCTTTTGAATCCTTTGTTTCGCAAAATGTTCAAATTGCGTTGTTGTTGACGCTGTTCCAGAAGGAAATAATAATTTTCACACTGGTCATAATCAAGGCTTTCATATTTTTGGGACAGAAAATCAAGAGACATGATGAATAGAGTGGAGCACAAAACTAAATAAAACTAGAAAAAACATTGAACAAATGTTATAGCGATTGATAATGAGAGATTAATTAATGACTAATATCACTCGCTTTTGTATATTTACATTTTAAGTGGGTTTGACTTCGATACCAAACTGGTGTTACCAAACATGTAACACATGATAGTCTAAAACTTTAGTGTGAATAGCTTTCGCGTTATTTTCACATCATATTGACAGTTTCAACTTTTGTACTTTTGTAGCGTTTAATAAAATATTAACAATTACTATAATAATGGTCGAGAATTAAAAATATTAATAACGACTAGCAATTAATAAGATTGAAACAAGTTTAAGAAAAAGAAGTAAGCATCTAAGAAATTTGCATTATTGATTGGATTACAAATTTACACTTCCATTTCATTGATCTGTCGGATTTTTCATACATTAAATTATTTGCTATAAATTGCAATTGTTGCACTGATATACTGCAATGGCTGTCTGTCATTTATCTGATGACGACAGAAACAATTTGCTTCTGAATTTAGCAATTTCAACGAAATTTGGTTACCGTCAAGCTGTTAAATGTTGACTAATAACCATGATTAATGGTTAATTTTTATAAAAATTTCATTTTTTAATTTTTTAAAGAATATTTAATTGATGATTTTATTTGTTCAAATATGATAACTAATGCGTTGCTCCTCTTGAGATTTGCTCTTTTAACAATTGAATACTTTGCCTTTGTTCAGCTGGTAACATGGCGATTTGTTGATCAGATAATTGTAAGACTTGCATAATGAGAGCAGCCTTTTCTTGCTCTTGATTAGGTAAATTAGGAATATTGACAGAGGATGAAGGAGCATTCATTCGAGAAGATGAAGTAGTAGGTGGCGGTCCACCGGGTCGATTATTACCAGAGGCAGGAGATTGAGCTGCCAGTCTAGGATCGAATGGTGGTTGAGAACCTGATCCTTGAGGCCGCGCTCGAGGATCTAAAGATGTACTCTCACGTGATCTCGGGTCTAGCGATCTAGGATCGAATTGAACTCCAGAAGCCACTGGAGGTGCAACTGGAGGTGGTGCAACAGGCTGCCCTGCTGGAGGAATCACACCTCTAACATAATTATCGGGTAAAACTGGCCCTGGTTGAGGCCATGATGCTACTCCAGGAGTAGGTACTGGTGCAACTCCCATCATTGGCGGAACAACCACTGGCTCTGGTATTACATTGGCAACTGGCGTACTACGATGAAGTATGCTTAAAGCAACATTGGGATCCACTATTTTCATGACAACTATAGCTTGAAGTAGAGCATATGACAGCTGAGGATTCTGTAGCAGCATATTTCTTGCCTCGTTGGGATTAGTTTGAATACATTGTTTCATCTGTTTAGCCAGTTCAAACATTTGTTCAGGTGGAAGACTTGCTACTGCTTTACTTATTGCTTCCGGTGCTCTTTCTGGGTCGACTTCAGGACCATATGGACTTTCGAATGTACCACCAAGTGATGATTGAAGGTTACGTATTTCTTCCTTGGTTCTCTCATTTGCAGCATTATCAACTCTGAGGGTGCGTCCATTTAATTCATGTCCATTTAGATTTCTCATAGCGCTTAAAGCGGTCTCTTGATCTTTATATTCGCAAAAACCATAGCCCTTTGGTTTGCCTGTTTCTCTGTCATATACAAGTCTGTTCAAAGATGAAAACAAGGTGAGTGAATCATCAATACTGAATCTTTTGCATCTGTCTATATACATTTGAATGGTTTGGAGATAAGCCAAAATGTTTAGATATACATAATAATGAAAACAAATGAAAACGCTTACCTAAAGCTTAAAACCGGTCCAGCTTGAGAAAACAATTCTTTCAATTTCTCCTCAGTGGCATCGTATGGAATATTACCAACAAACACGGACCTTAAAGATCTTTCATTAGAATTCAAAATTGCTGCCATTTTAATAATGTTAATCAATAAGAATCAGCTATTGAAAATGTAAAAATTTTGAAAAAAGAGTTAAACTTTACAAGTCCATCACACAGAACATATGTTGTCATAAACTCCGTTTTTTTTGTTTTGTTATATCCTTCAACAGATGGCAATGCTAAACTCGAACTGATTTTTAATTCCGTTCATAAATTACAAATTTAACGATTTAATAATTTTTAAAGAAAACTTTACCCTTTATTGTCATAAATTACCAACAATTGTAAGATCTTCAAATCAGCTTAGGTATCACTTGCAAATTATAAATACAGCGCAGATTCATGTTTGAAGAAAAGGCAGATAATAAATAATAAAATCTCTTTCGATTTTGATCAAGCAATTTAATTGTTGAACAGATAATGTTTAAATTAATCGAGGCACAAAGATTTCAGTCAGAACGCTGTAACATAGCCAAAAAATTAATTAATAATTCATCAGACAAGTAGCTCAGTCATTAACGATCTAGATAGCTATTCATGTGTTTAAATAATTTGATTCTTGATAGTCAGAAATTTATAGATGTAGCTAACTAATTATCATTTGAATGGTTTTTGATTGTCCATTTTATAATTTTGCTCATAAAATTTCCTAAATTGAATTTTTTTATTTAGGGTAGCTTGTCATGTGACTTTGTATCAGCTGACTACAAGTAAAGATTTACACTCTTAACAGATTGTAAGATTATCTGTCAATTTATTTAAACCTTTACATGCATCGAGTATCAATTTAAGTTGATCATAAATTAACGTGATCTTCCTTGTTTATGATTCTGTCCTTTAGTAGACCTACTTTCAAAAAAAGCTTTGGACGTTTAGTGCCCAATCAGTTTAAATTACTGCATATCCCGGTGACTACGAGTAAGTTTATTCAACTCTATCTTATGTTCATCGTTTTGATTAATTTGTGCAATTTTTTTTGTCTTCTTTCCGTTATGATTCACCTGCAACTTATATTGTTTAAGTGGAGAGTATCAAGTGCCTAAGGTAATTAATGTCATTTACTCATTTAAAATAATTCGATAAACTAACCATCACTACTTTTTTGTACTACAGTCAAGAAGAAGCTATCAAACTCGATCAAGATCTGTTCAATGAGTGCCAATTTAGTGTTGACCAGCTGATGGAATTGGCCGGACTTGCCATTGCTAATGCCATATATAAAACTTATCCAGCTCGATCTTACAAGACGGTCTCAATTTGTTGTGGACCAGGCAATAATGGTGGAGATGGTTTAGTTGCTGCCAGACATCTTTCTGCTTTTGTACGTCGTTATTTAAACATGTCATTCGATTTTTTAATCTGTTCGTTAAACTTGAATATTGACGTGTTTAAATTGTCATATTATAAGTTATCAATTTTAAAATTGCAATTTGCCAATCGTATCTTCAACTAATGAATTTTCTATTTTAATCTCATCATATTTTATTCTAGGGTTACCGTCCATCAGTGTTTTACCCCAAACCAGGAAAATCAGAGCTATACTCACGTTTAGTACGCCAATGTGAAAAGGATGAAATCCCTTTTTTGACTGATCCAGAAGCTATTGAAAGGAGCTCACTTGTGGTTGATGCTGTTTTCGGTTTCAGTTACAAACCACCTTGTCGAGACGAGTTCAAAGATCTTTTAGCAATTTTATCTAGATGTTCAAACAGATTGATAAGCATAGATATACCATCTGGTTGGGATGTTGAACAAGGACCTCCAACTGATGACACACCGATACTTCAACCAGACTGTCTAGTATCGTTAACTGCACCTAAGCTCTGTTCTCGATTTTTCCGTGGAAAACATCACTGGCTGGGTGGCCGTTTCGTTCCTAAAACAATAATCCAAAGATATGAATTGAGATTGCCAGATTACCCAGGATCTGAGCAGTGCGTCAAGATTGTTTGATATATGAAATAACTTGTTGGCTGATGATTGCCTCAGCAATAAATGCGACAAACAATTTTGATCAGTTCAAACGATATTTACAGTTTACGCCTCGTTTTAAAAATTGTTGCACAGATTTAAAATGAGAAGGAAGCTGCAATTTGCCATGGGATTGTGATTTCTCTTCTCTGTTAGATAATTTTGTTTCATATTATTTAACAATTATACAAAAAATTTGTTCTATTCGATTGTTAAATTTCTCAAACTATTCCTTCCTATTATACTCTAAAAATTTAAATAACCTTAAATTTTGATGTGCTAATTCTGTTAATTCTTTTATTCTGAATAACATTCATTGTAAAAATTCAATGTACTGTTATTATGTTCTTCCATTGAGTCATAACTTGATAAACAGAAGTGATTGACTATTGATTATTGAATTTTCGGTTATGCTTTATAAAAAACTGACAGCCAAAACATAATCGATTCTAATTAGCTCATCATAAATTTTGTGAAACCCAATCAAGGTTTTTTGATTCAAACTAATTCAATGTCAAGTCACCAATACCAATTAATACTAATCTCAATAAAAACCAATCATATGCGTTAATTTATTCGTTTATCTTCAACTCTTCTATCCAAAATAACGAACGATCCAATCAAATTTTAATTTTGATTGTAAATAAAGTACTTCAGAAGCACTCGCTTCTCTCTAAACCATTTTTATGATTTACTTTTTCCCCTTGTACATCGTTATACAAACGCACTAATCAGTAAAGTACATAAAAATTTCGCTATGAATTTCACGAATAAAAATTATTGCTTTCAAAAAATCTCTAATAAAATAGCAATTTACAGCTCAGTTCCATGTCCATTTACAGTAGCTTTATCTCTCCATCTCCAGAATACATAGAGTTCACATAAAATAATGAAAATTTCAAGTAATGTGTGAAATCACTAGATTCTCGAAGCATTTTAATTCTAGTAAATTAATGAAAGCAAAATAATTAGTAAACTATCACCAATTAAATTTCACCAATACACAATAAAGTCTTTTGCCATAAGCATTGCTTATTAAGCAGGCAGCTTTTTTCAAAATATGACTACATTAACACCATCTAGTAGTCTTTGAAATTAACTTTAGTAATGCTCAGGAAGCAGTAAATAAAGTTCGAACTTGGCAAACTACAGTTAAACACTGCAAAAATTAATGTTTTCATGTTAACCAAGTGTTTGTGTACCAGCCTATTAATCAGTTTAATAATTCGTCTGAGAAAATTTAAAGTGCTTCTCTCGTGAAACAATCGTATTTAACAATCAAAGGTTTGTAATTTTTCCTAGTTTCTTTGTGAATTAACTTTTTATAAACTTGTTTTCCTCTTACCTGAATAAAACGATTCTGTTGATTCTAACAAATGTGTGTATTTCATTGGATTGAAATTTTCTAATTTACTTCTCCAGTCTGATCCTTGATTTGTGACTAAATAAATTTTAAAACTTCCAAAGATAGTTGAAGTTAAAATGGGTAAAAATCTGAACAACAGGTTCAACATGACTTGCCTATTGAAAGATGATACCAATCAAAAGATCCGTACAGTTGCCATTGCCTAGTCTAAGATTATATTGTTAGTGTTATAAATCATTATTGGTATGGCTACAAATAATGTGATTAACCATCATTGGACGAACCCTTTCATGTGGATATGAGAGTTTAAATAATCAATTACAAGGATTGCCTCTTGTCGGATTAGTCTATATCTCGGTGTTGTTTGTTAAGTGTAATGTTAAGACGTTGTTGCTTCCTTGGCGACTCAAAGATGAATCTCGATTTAGCATCATCCCTATTTGGTTAAGTGGGAAGATCAGAATAGCTTTCGATTCTGTCTCCAAACTCATTTTTTGACAATTTTCACTCTCATTATCTTTCCTGCTCTCTTACACCATCATCTTTGTTTCTCTTTTTACATCAACAACCTCACCACCACCATCCTCTGTCTATTTATCTGTCTTGATTTTTTATTTCCCTTAATTTTTCTGTTTCTTCATCATCTCCATCTCATCATAAAAACGCTCTTCTCATCTTTACCTCTTTATCCCTAACAAAAACCTCCCTTGACTCCCTGAACCAAACCTAATCACAAGTTTAAGTCTTATCCATTGTTATTAAAATTTACCTTTAATTTTTTGTGATTATCCAATTGTTCACCCAATTAGATTTATAAAGACTAAGGTAAGAAGCCATTATCTTCAACTAATCAACACGACTAACTGTTGAATGAAACCGACTCTAGTAACGAAAATCTCTGCTTGAATCATCAGTGAATATCCTTTGGTTGTTTTTACTTCCTTGTTGTGACAAATTTATGGATACGTTAAACATTGTCAATTGATGTAATTACTTTAAATGATCAGCTTTGTTCAACTCTTTACACTCAACTTAAAATGTGATTTACCTGAAATTGACCGGTTTAGTCTAGTGTTTAATCATCTTAGACATTAGCAAACTAATGTTATAATAAGATTGCTTGAATTAAGACATTAATCAACTGATCATGTGTTTACATTTCACACCTAGTTAACTCTCAGCTATTTATACATTTTGTCTCAAAGCATAATACCAAATCATTTATAATTTACTGTCAATTTTTAGTCAAAAATGTTGACAATAATTTAGATGAATTATAATCAAAATTATTAACCAGAAAACCAGAAAACCAAAACAGCTTTACATTGAAAGCAGACTTGAATTGTAACCAACATTTGCTTTAAATTGCGTCTTTGTGAAATCAATACCACTTTTACAATAGTAATTTCACTTGATTTATGTTCAAGTGTGCAAAATTAGAAAGCAATTTGTAAACAAACAGAAAAATTAAATTTCCCTGTTGAACTGAAATCTATTCATTTCTCAACAGGAAACTTCTACAACCATATCTGTAATTCATGTCATTAACCAACATTGAAATTGTGATACAAATAATTAACTAATAAACAGCCATAAAGCAAATAAACACCTTTAAAAGGTTTTATTAGCAGTTATTGATGTTAACTAGAAAGATGTTCAATCTAATGAGCAAAACAACTTGAAATAACACTGATCATTTAATCTACTGATTGCTGATATTTAAACTTGGTTAATGATTCAAGAGATACATCAAGATTGATCAAGATTGAAGCTCAACATTATCGGACAATATCAATAGTTTTACAGCAATTGTTTAAATTTAACATCAACTGTTTGAGTTTAAACATATGTTTTTGGGTTGCTCTATTTGGGTTAACCATAGGATTGTCAGGAACCAGAAAAAAATAAGATGCAAATCAACTCGCTGGTGTCTTTAAATAATCACACCAGCAAGTTAAACTTAAACATTGCCTTTTGTCAAATGTGCAATCCTCAGCAATACATCTTTCACTTTACATTTTACCAAACAATTGACAATATTAGCAAAAATTTACTCAAATCTTTTAACAATCCATTCCAAAAGCTAATTATCTTCTCATCATTTTCATCTCTTAAAACTAATTCACCAGTTTTATCGTAAACATTTCAATGATTTCATGAGTTAAGTCAATCAAAAAGGTGATTTCATCAGCTAATCAATTCCTTTTCAAATCTTAAGCAAAATATTTTACTTTGAAAATCAGTCTCATAGTTGGAATGAAAACATTACTTGCATCCAGTAAAAGCTAATCAACTTTCTCCTGTAAACAAGATTATCTCATTTAATTGTATTAATTTTTATATTTCTATTGTATTTTGCAGGTCAATCGTTGCGTGTCCAAGCACCGAAAAAGCAGGAGACATCAAAATGGGTGTAACTGACGATAGAAGAGGAAATCCGGATGAAGAGGACATTATGGAGAGGGAACTTGCTGAGGATGCTGTTTGGAAGCGAATCCAGAAAAATACCTTTACAAGGTAGGCAATTAACTTGATTAAAAGTTTAACATTGATCTCTGTATCTCCTTAAATGGATTCCTTGAGAGTTTGTTTATCTTGTTAATCCATAAATGTAAATCCGATTTTTAATTTGTTTTTCTTCCTCTTCCCTGTTTGTTATGATATTAAGATGGGCCAACGAACATCTGAAAACTGTTAACTCTCACATTGAAAACCTGGAAACTGATTTCGAAGATGGAACTCGTTTGGTTGCTCTAGTTGAAGTATTATCTGGTAAAAGGTTACCTCGACACAATAAAAAGCCCAAACTTCGAGCCCAGAAACTAGAAAATGTTAATATTGCTCTCAATTTTTTAACTCAACAAGAAGGAATCAAAATTGTCAACATTGGTGAGTTTACATTTTTTCAGCTAATAATAAATCTTAACTAGCTTCAGTTTTCACATGTCAAGTTATGAGATTATCAGCTATTGATCTTGGTGTTGATTGTGTTTTGGATTTAAAAATTATTTCAAGTTAATCAAGTTTGTTCATTGCACCAGGTTAAGCGATTTTTGTCTGAAAATCGACAGCCAATGTGATGGTTCATCCGATCGTTGATTATGCGAGCAAAATTTATGATTCTCTTAAATTGTTGTCAGATCTGTCTTCATTGATATCTCAGTATAACCCAAATAATCAGTTGGCTGTAAAAAAGAGTTAAAATCAATTTAGTTTTTGTTGATGGTTACTAAATTTAGATTAGTTAGCCTTGAAAATATTTCAGAGCAAACCTTTTGATTTTCAGTTTCAAGCAATAAATTTCAATTCTGAAGAATCGTTTGAGATTAATTAGTGTTCTATTCCAACAATAATCAAATCCTTAAACTGATCAAGTCTCAAGTAGCAAAGAAGATGATTTAACTTTCAAATGATTTGCTTTAAAACTGCGGAGGTGGTTAGATTTGGTTAATCTGAGAATCAAATTGATCTGACTAAATCGATTACGTCTAAATTCAAATAGACTCTGTGTGGTTTATAGTAATAATCATGCAAATTCAGTCCTTTTAATTCAAGCGAAATGACAACTCTGTCACTTTGATGTCTCTTATCAAGTCTGTCGTTGAATAGTTAGTCTAGATGTAAACAAGATTGTATTTTTGCTTAGCAGACAACACATTCATGTAATTTCTTGAATCTGTTTGAATTTTACAATGAAATTTAGCTGGTTGGGACTCGATTCAGTTATATTTGTAACAAGTTCATGATTATCTTGTCAAGTTTAGCGTATTTCAGCTTGTATTACAAATTCAGCCTTCAAGCTCAATCAAATTGAGTAATCTCATGCTGTGAAAACTGAAAATAGTTTAATGCTGAATCACATCACTTGGAAACTTATTTGACTAAAACTCTGTTAACCACTGTTTTGATTCTCAATTAAACAGACAGTACTGATGTTGTCGATGGTCATCTCAAATTGATTCTTGGATTAATATGGACTTTAATTCTTCACTATTCAATTTCAATGCCCATGTGGGAGGGTGAAGATGATTCAATGTACCGAGGAAGAGGTGAACCAACACCTAAGCAACGTCTTCTTGGATGGATCAAAAATAAAATACCAGAAGTACCAGTTAATAATTTCACAACCGATTGGAATAGTGGTAAAGCTTTAGGTGCATTAGTTGATGCCGTTGCACCAGGTTTATGCCCTGATTGGCCTGACTGGAAACCAGAAGATGCTCTTAAAAATACAAAGGAAGCTATGAAGCTGGCTGACGACTGGCTTAATGTTCCTCAACTGATTAAACCCGATGATGTGGTTGATCCAAAGGTTGATGATCTCTCCATGATGACCTATTTATCACAATATCCAAATGCCAAACTGAAGGAAGGAGCACCACTTAGACCAAGAAATAATCCAAATCGTGTTCGATGTTATGGACCTGGAATACAGCCTGATGGTGTTGTCAAAGGAGCTCAAACCAACTTCACCGTTGAAACCTTTTCCGCTGGAAAAGGAAAAGTTGAAGTTTTCATAGCTGACCCAACAGGTAAAATGGAACCTGTAGCAGCCAAATTCAATGATGACCCCAGTAAGACCTACACTTGTTCATATACACCAAAAGTCGAAGGACAACACAAGGTGAGTTGGTCCCAAGAAAAATTATTATCCAAATAAGCAACCAGAGTTAGGCCCGAAGAGTAAGATTTTTGGTTAGGTCATACAAATATCTTTATGTGCAAAATTAATGCAAAGTACATATTACATAGAATAGCATTTCCCTTACGGTCACTGAGTAATTTGAAGACAATTAAATGAGAAAATCAACTTGATTTGGATTTAGATCGTCAAAAGCCTCGATCCTACAAGTTATCAATCTCATAACGCCATCTTTTATCTTTTAAACTGAGCTACTAGTTCAAATATTGAAAGCATAACTGTTTTAAACCTACGATCTATTAATAAGTTTTATTATATCAATTTATCATGATAATTAATGTACTTATGAATGATAAATTGTGTTAAAGTGACTATGGAATTGCAATCAGCCATAATTCACATTTTTAACTCATTTTCTTGATGATTTAAACATTCCACCGGTTATCACTCTTATTGCAAAGAAATGATTGATTATGAGAAAAAATATGTTTACTTTTTACATTGTTATTCCGCAAGTGAATATTGATTTATTATCCATTGTTTTAGGTTATTGTTAAGTTTAATGGTGTTGAAGTACCAAAAAGTCCTTTCTCCGTGAATGTTGAGGGTGTGGCTGGTGATGCTTCTAAAGTAACTGCATCTGGACCTGGTCTTCAACCCACCGGTGTTCAAGTTGGAAAACCTACTTACTTCGATGTTTTCACTAAAGGTAAATTATATTTAATCTGAATTTTTGCGAGAAATTTATTTAAAAATCATATTGTTTTTCTTTCTAGGTGCTGGTAAAGGTCAATTAGAGGTTGTTATCCTCGACCCAAGTGGAAAACCAAATACTGTGCCTTTACGAGTTCGTCCTATAGGCGATGACGTTTATCGATGTGAATATGTTGCTCAGGCTACCGGCGTTCATTCCGTCAATGTTTTCTTTGCTGGTAAACAGGTACCTAAGAGTCCATTTGGAGTTAGAGTCTCTCCAATCTGTGATCCACGAAAAGTTCGTGCTTCTGGTCGAGGTCTTCAACCCACTGGTGTCCGAGTAGGAGACGTAGCTGATTTCAAAGTTACAACAGATGGTGCTGGTGAAGGCAATCTTGATATCAAAGTAATCGGGCCTGATGGAAAACCTGAGAAGGTTAATATTCGCAAAGTTGATGGTACAACATTCGACTGCGACTACAAACCCACTAAGACGGGTAAATATGTCGTTATCGTTTCCTTTGGTAATCAAGAGATATTTAGATCACCATTTGAAGTTAACGTGGGACCTCCTAAACAGTCTAAAATTAGAGCTTTTGGTCCAGGATTAAAAGGTGGTGTTGTCGGTTATCCTGCTAAATTTACCGTAGACACAAATGGTGAAACTGGAACTCTTGGTTTTACTATCGAAGGTCCATCCGAAGCTAAAATCCAATGCATGGACAATGGTGATGGCTCAGCAGAGGTAATTTATTATCCAACCGCGCCAGGAGAATATGCTATTCATGTTCTCAACAATGGTGAAGATATTCCACAATCTCCTTGGGTTGCTCAAATAACGTCCAAACCAGGACCTGATTTTGCTCCAGATAAAGTTGTAACTGCTGGTAAAGGTATTGGACCTACTGTTGTTCAAGGAAAGCCAACTGATTTCACAGTTGATACAAGGAAAGCTGGTAAAGCCCCTCTTGATGTATCTGTCATCGATAAAGCTTGCGAACCGTTACCGATGAAAATTGCTAATGCTAAAGACGGAACCGTCAAATGTGAATACAAACCTGAAAACCCTGATAAGCATGTTGTTCAAGTTAATTACGGAGGAGTTGCAGTCCCTGGAAGTCCATTCAAAGTCCAAGTTGCTCCACCAACGGATGCAGCTAAAGTTAAAATATTTGGACCCGGAGTTGAACCTGGTGTTAAACCCGGTGTGCCTACGTTTTTCAACATTGACGCTGAAGCAGCTGGCCCAGGACAACTAAAGGTTTCACTTAAAGATGATAAAGGAAAAGATGTTCCTATTCAGCTCCAAGATAATGAAAACAATACATATTCAGTTGATTACACTGTACCTAAAGCTGGTATTTACACGGTGAATGCGACATATTCTGGTCAACCTATTCCTGGATGTCCAATAACTGTTCCAGTAACACCAGCAGCTGATTTGAGTAAAGTAAAGGTTGAAGGATTAGAACCAAGTAAGTGTAAAAGTAGTAATTCTTGCTCAGAGGTTTACATTCAAGTTTTTTTAATAATTATTAGTTTGCCGATGTTTGTTTATAACAAATAATTTCTGCTAGCTTTTTATCATCCAATTCTCATTAATTAAAATTAATTGGCTAACAGCTTATCACATTTGATTTACACAAAATTGTTTCTTGCATGTACAACGATACAGTCAAAAATAATTTTATTTTATCATTTGCCAGTTGCTGTGATGAACAATTTATATCAATTTCGAGTTATTATTGATGATTCCCTGTCAGAAATACCTTTTATTCATGATTATATCACCATTTGTATAACAAGTCCTTCAGGACAATCAATCAGACCACATATAATTAATACTTCGGAAGGTTGTTTAGTCAATTTTGTTCCAATTGAGATGGGCCAATATCTTTTATCAGTTTATCTTGCTGGAAGTGGTTATGATGATGTTAAACCAAAACACATTTATTGTCTTCCTGAGCACAAATTATCCGTGGTTAATCGTTCATCACCCATTCCTGGTCACAATCAAGTCAAAGTTCATTCTCAGGCTCCAATTGATTTACCAATTTATGGTCGAGCCTTTGCTGATGGTTCGTACCAACCTAATCTTTGCATTCTAATAATTTAGCTTAATTGTTCTTGCTTCTTAATATCCTTCAGCAATTTAGTTCCGTATTAATGTTATACATGTTTGAATTAGTTTATAACTCAATTGCTAGTTTCTAACAAACAAACAATTTTGTCTCGTTTTGTTTCTAAGGTTGAACTGTCGTTCCTTAAAATTAGTCTTATTTCTCAGGTTATTCCTTGTCATTCACAATCATATTTCATGTATCTGTTCAGATATTCAAAACTAAAAAATTATTGTTTATTCTTACAGCTGTCTTTGTGGACTCACCGACGGAGTTTACTGTTGATACTCGAGCTTTGCCTAAAAAGTCTGAAGCTACAGTAACATGTAAAATCACCAATCCTTCTGGCGCTCAAACAGCCACAGCCGTTACCAAAGCCAAAGATGGAACCCATAAAGTTGCCTTCACTCCATTCGAAGAAGGTTAATTGATTACTTTCCTTGATAGCGGTGTCAATCAAAATTTAATATATTGTTATTCAGCTTGTTGACTGAATCAAAATCTATCATTTGAAATTTTGACTAAATTAAATTCTTTTACCTACACCATTTAGGCCCACACAAAGTTGATGTCATGGTTGATGGGCAACCTGTCAAAGGAAGTCCATTTGCGGTTAATGCTACTAGAGGATGTAACCCAGGAAAGGTTAAAGCTTATGGACCTGGTTTAGAGCAAGGAATTGTTAATCAAAAGAATACATTTACCGTTGAAACAAAAGGAGCTGGTATCGGTGCTCTTGGTTTATCTATTGAAGGGCCTTCAGAAGCAAAGATGAATTGTCGAGATAACCGCGATGGAACCTGCACAGTCGATTATGTTCCGATTGAGACTGGTGATTATGACATAGGAATAAAATTTGCCAACAAACAAATTCCTGGTTAGTATTGTCAATACTCTATCTGATATTAAATTGGTTTTACAATCATCAACTTATTAATAGCTTGAATTTCAATATAATCAACACTTGATTCATTCAGAGTATCCTTTTCACAGTTTGTCATTTCTTTTGTATTAAATAGTTTTTTTGTTAAACAATTTTCTATTCCTCTTTGTTGTGTACAGGAAGTCCATTCAGAGTACCCGTTGATCACCCTGTTGATGTCTCTAAAGTAACAGCTTTTGGACCTGGCTTAGACCCAGCAAATTGTCGAGCTGGACCTCCTCTTCCGTTTACTGTTGATGCATCCAAAACTGGTAAAGCGCCATTGACCGTTGAAGTTTCATCAGAGAAAGGACCAGTTCCTTACTCTCCTGAAATTAATGATAGCGGTGATGGAATCTATGATGTTTCTTACTTGCCTCCACCAGAAGGCAGTAAATGTAATGTTAACGTTAAATATGGAGGACAGCCAATTCCTGGAAGGTACAAATCATCGAAATATCTTCCCTTAGTTAAAATCCAAATCTAAAGTTTAAAACAGCAATTACAAACTAATCAGACTCCCCTTTTATTAATCTATAATTGAGTATTAGATTGAGAATGATTAATGCGAAAGACAATGCTAGTTCAAAGCTCATATTTACTGATGAAGTAATATAAATTGAAGATTCTAGTTGATAGACAATTTAGTTCAATACAATCTAATATTAATGATCGGTGTTTAATATTTCGCTCATTGATTTTCTTTTATAATTCGCTCCACAGTCCATTCCAGATGAAAGTCAAACCAATGACTGAACCACAAAATGTTAAGTTATCTGGACCCGGTATTGCTAAAACAATTCCAGCAAGTTTTCCAGCTGAATTTACCATTGATGCCAAGAATGCAGGTTACGGTCGACCAGAAGTGAAGATACAGGTAAAAACAGATTTTAATGCAGAAGCATGAATCTTCTACATTGTCATTCATCTACATATATATTAACTATTATAAAACAATATTTTAATTTAATAAGAAAGGCTAAATTATCTTTATTAACAAATTCAAATTTGTCGACGATAAAGACGATTTAACAATGTCTCTTAAATCAACTTTATCAAGATATAAAATATCCTTAGAGCTGTGGTCTTGGTTCAGGTTAAATCTCTTCCCTTCGTTACAGGTTCGGGCCTGAGTCACGGCTTATTTCAAACAAATTGTCAGTAATTAATAACCTTTCAGAGTTAATTTGCTATGATGAGTAAATATCTGCAGGGACGTAATCCTGAACATTAATGATTTAATTCTAGCAGATCTGAGCATAGTAACTCTGAGAAAAATCAGAAAAAAATTTCAATTTTGTCAACATTCATTGAACTTGGTTAATTGAACCTGATTTATTGCCAGTGAAATCAATTCATCAACCATATCTTGAATATTACTATTAATTTTAGATGATAATCAAAAAATGGAAATGATATTTTAGCTCATTCATTCCCAATTTCAGCAATTTGACAAGATTTTGCAGTTTAACCCTAACTCGTCTACTCAACTTACAAATACAATGTACAAATAGCTTATCAACATCTCAATCTTGTTCATCTATTTAACCATGTTTTAATAATGATACAATAAATAGCTGCTCATCAAAAAGCATTATCATCAGCTTGATCATCATCCTCCTCCTCATCGTCATTAACCAATGATACTTGCCAATCTGGTTTAAACTTGTGCATAATATTTCAAACAAATTCACAAACTTGCACCTAAATTAGTTTACAGTTACATTTTGGCTTATACTTAATTTCACAAGATAATCAAAGTTTGCAATTTTTTTCAGACTCTGAACTTTTCTTTTTCCCTCACCGAGTGTGACATTTTCTTTCATCAATGACACTTTCAATTTTTCCTAACAGATTTCGTTGAATGACACTGAATTTTTATTCCTTTTTATTCCAATCTAAATAATTGAAATTCTTTTCATCTCATTACATCTTTTGATTTCAGGCTCCTGATGGATCCAAATGTAAAGCTTCAATAATTGATAATCAAGACGGAACCTACAAAGTAAATTATACTCCAGACGATGTTGGCAATTATAAAATTGGAGTTACCTTTGGAGGTAAACCAGTTCCAGGAGCACCAATCACAGTCAAAACAACAGCCACAGGTCAAGCAGATAAATGTAAAATTGCCCGTAAGTTTCCCAAATGGATGTTTTCAAATCTAAAGACACCTACAAGTCAATACTTGACCCTTGACATAATCAAGAAAAAGGTTGATTTTTTGGGTTAAAGGTTTTGAAGGTTTAATTATTGAAAAATAACCAAAATGAAGGCAAATGTAATATTTTTGAATATGGATTGAATCCAAAGATTTAATATTTAAAGTCAACTTTGAGGCCAACTATTTGCTCAGGTAATGATGTTGATTGTTCATCTTTGATTTAAAGTAACACTTTGTCTGCCTTTACATCATGAGATTGTTTAGATGCTATCAATTGAAATTTTTATCTGTATTCATCATCAGTAGTTGAACATTTTACGATTCACTCTTTGCTCAACATTTCATCTGTTCATCATCTTTTCAGCATTAATTGTTGAGATTGTTGGAATGAGCTAAAATGTTAAGAAATTTTAAACTTGAGAATCTTAAAACTGTGAAACTCTAATTGGTGATTTATTTTAGTTAAGGATGGTCGCAATTTTCAGGGTAACTTCTGTGCAAAATTATCCACATTCAATGGGAATCTCTCCAAAAATAAAATCTCTCTTTGCCTTTCATCTTTACGATATCTTGTTAGTTATCATGTAAAAAGCAGATTTATTTTTTATTTTTAAGGTGCGATTTATCAAGAAAATTTTGCTTCTTTTTTTACTTGTTTCCTTGCCTCAAACATTTTGTCTCAACTTCAAACTCTAATCATTATCATTATTGAAATTCATATTTCACTTTTCCATGAGCTTCATGCGTCCATCTTTTGTTAATGTTTCCCTCTGTACTTCAACCGATTAGTTTACCTTGTAAATATTGTTAAATATACTTATAATAATATTGATTGTGTTACATATTTTTCTGGTTAGATTATGATGGATGTTGGTTTTGAAGACGTATTTTTGGAGTCACTTCTTATATACTTTTCAATACCATTTTCGGTTGATACTAAAATTTAAGGAATGGAAGACGATGAAGATGATAGTGATGCAGTGAAGATGAGAGTCAAGAGCCAAGGCTTAGCTAAAGTTAAGGGTGATAACGGTTTTTTGGTTCCTTGAAATTGTTTCAAATCAACGAGATGAGTTAGCCTTCAGATGAATGTGAATATCTTTTTGGCAAATTTTTTGCATTTACTAAATTATAATTCCCAGCTTTTTAATTTGGTTAGCTCATTATTTGATTACTTTTCTCACACAAAATTCATTTCTTTTTTTTCTTGCATTCATATTTTGCACTTTGCTCTATTAATAAAATTGTTGCTAGTGTACCTCAGATGATTAGTGTTTAAAGGATTTTTTCATCTTTTGTTCAAATCCAATCTAATTTCAATTGAAGTCACAATTGGCTTCATTTTTCAAAAAAATTTGAAATGAATAAAACGTAAAATAACAAAAGCAAATCAAAGATAAAACTTCTGGTTTGATTTAACCCAAAAAACATGATTCACACCAATTTGCAAGCTAATTATTGCAAGGGATAAAACCATTAATATTTAATTTGACATAAATTAGTTTATGACAAAATTGTGATTAGCAATTAGTTTTATATTAACCTTTGCGATTCATTAATCATCTTCGGAATCATTTATTAACTAAAATTTGTTTCCTTCATATGAATCAGTGTTTGATTCAATTACTCTTTTCCCTAAGCAACATTAATATTCATTGTCAAATGAAATTGTCTGTTAAATATATTTTCATGATTAAATTGCTCGATTTTTCAATGATATCAATCACAATTCGCTGTGAACGCTGAGATGATTTACTATGAAATGTATTACAAAATTTCACCAAGTGTTAGACAGAAATGTAGTGAATTTGAACAATCAGTTTCATTGTTTAAATTGGTAACTTTCTTTCAATTTTAACAGCCTTGTTGATAGATTTTGATTATTTTGATGGTAATTTGAAGCTTTTTGGTTATGAAAATGTCAACCTTAATGATGTTGATGATGTGAATTGTGAAAATATTTCACCTTCATTCTGAATACTCCTACAAAATAACTAATTATTTTCATATTTATTTTTGGAATTTCAGAGAAAATCAAAGAAACAGTTGCAGCCGGTGAAGAACAATGTCTTCAAGTTGATGCTCGTCAAGCAGGTAAAGGTGCAGTTACCTGTAAAGTGAACAAAGTAAAAGAGGAAACTCGAACCGAAAAACAGTCGACCACAACAACCAAAAGTCAAGTGAAAAAAGTAATCAAACAAACGACTACAGAAGAAGAAGAAATTGAAGAAGAAGAAGAGATAATTGAATACAGAGTTATCGATAACAAAGATGGAACTTATAATGTCTATTATAAAGCAATTGAACAGGGCGATTACAAGGTTGACCTTAAATTTGGTGGTCAACCGATTCCAAATGGAAGCTTCAGTATCAAGGTAACATTGAAACTTTTACTAATTACTTTCATTTTTATCCTTTTACCGCTGTTTTGTCACAGAAAGTTAAAGTACAATCAATTTCACGGTTAACTAAATCAGGGTTGTTCCAATGATTGAAATCTAATTTAATTAAACTGTTAGGAATGAAAGTTGAAACAATATAATGAAAATAGATTTGAAACTAAGGATTTTTACAGAAAATTAGATTAGGAGAGAGAAGAGAGAGAAGTAAGAGTTAGGTGGTGATGGAATCACCAGGGAATATGAATTTTGAACTGATTCTGAGGCTCAGTAATATCGTTTATTAAGCTTGCGTAGGTGGCTTTACAAGTTTGTCAAATTAACTTTAAGAAATCATTTCAAGTCTTGTTTGTGTCTCTTCAATTCTGTCAACGTTTACCTATTTATTTATTTATTTTTTAAAGTTATTTGTTTCATTTGTTTGTTTCACTCCCTCAATCGCCATTAACCTTATCATTTTCATGAACATCATCATTGGCTCATCAATAGAAATCTTTTTTTCAATCAATTTCTGATTAGTATTAATTTGATTAACTGTTAATCATTGTGCGTTTCTCTTTCATTCTGTGTGATTGATCACCTTCTAATGGAAATTACACTCAATCACATCGCTATTAACTCCATCCATTGATTAATAATTTAAAGTAAGATTTGCGCCAAACGATTTCCAATTTTCCTTTTCGTTGATTTATCTCTCATTTAACTTTCATGCCATTCGAATGCAATTGATTACAATCGCAATTAAACTCTTGTTTAAAATACCTTTGCTTACAAATGTATCGATGCAATGTTCAACAATAATTGATCAACCTGAATTTACACAAAACTTAACAATTAGTTATTTTATTTCAATTGCAATTCTAAGTTTGCATGATTTTGCATTTAGTTTTTTCATTGAATTCCTAATCTGTTGACATTTGCCATTAAAAAATCTCATATTTTGAAAGTTGATCAAAAATATTAACACTTGATTAGACTATTGATTGTCCTAAACTTTTGCATTCAAATCTTTAGTCAAAATTGTATTTTAAATTCAAACCGTGACTCGGTCAATAAGTTACAATGCAAATTGAATGTTTTTAGATCTAGACTTTAATTAACTGATCTAAATGTCTTAAAATACATTATTTCACCCCAAATGCTGATCTAGATCTTTGCATTATCAATATTTCAAATTGCAAATAACTTATAAACGTGAATAAGCCTTGAAAAGCTGTTGACATTGAAATTTAATTGCAAAGTCTACTCATATCAATCAATATATAATTGTTTGATTTTAAAAACCCATTTCATTCCAAATGGATAGTATTTTCTCATTATTTATGGCCGGTGACTAAATTGTTTTAATTTATTAGTTAATTGGTTAGGATGCTTCGATTCGCTTCTCGTTGATTTAAAAGTTGAGTTCGATTAGTGTTTGTTTAAATTTATATGGACAATTACCGATTTGATAGAACAGCTTACCTATCACATTCGCAGATTGTTAATGTTCCAGCATTATTAAAGGGAAGCCAAGGTAAATTAATGTTGGATGCGTTGAGTCTTTTTTTGCTCTGCTTCTCAAATCTCAATCTAAATCATGGTTACTGGTTATGCATGGGATACTCTCCTGCTTTGGCTCTGATAATCTCAGTAAAGAAGTGTATTTAACTGCAAAAAAAGCATAAAAGTGAAGATAGAAGGAGGATAAAAACTGTCAAACAACCTAACTGTGAATATCTTGTTGGTTTATTTCATTTTTTGTCGCAAAAATTTTAGTCTAAGAGACAAGATATTTTTAGTTAACATGAGACAATCTTTTCAATTCTGTCTTTGCTCCAATTTTTTTCTCTCTTTCATCATTTCTGAACTTTTTCACTTCATTTTTGATATTTTTCGTTGAATGATTATTGCTTATTTATTGCATGATGATATGATGATTCTAAGATGTTATATAAATTTCAACTGACATTTACAAAATGATGAACAAAATATTTTTGTCACTTTTAACAAATATTTCAGACTTTATGCTTTTCAGGCTTTTTTATAAAATTTGCAATAAAATTGAAATTAATTTCATAAATGCAATACCAGCAATGAGTAATATATTTCAAGGTTTATCAAAATTTGATTTCAAATATTTCAGTATTTGAGTAGATGAAGGATTTTTACTTTAATTTCTGCTATTTGTTTCTTATTTTCATTCATAGACTACATCGACAACTGAAGAGATCAAAACTCGGCGGACTGTCATTAAAAAATCGGAATCATCATATTCGGAGGTTAGAGAGTTTCGTCAAATTCAATTATACAACGTACCGGTTCCACCGTCATCAGTTGAACCCAAACGCCGTGCATTTATTAAAATGCCTTCAGGTGCCACTGATAAGCCTACAATAATTGACAATCATGATGGAACAATCAGTGTTAAATATGATCCTAAAGAAGAGGGTCTCCATGAACTTCACATAATTTACAATGAAGATCCAATTGCTGGTTCACCATTCAAATTTTTTGTTGACCGATTGTCTAGTGGAGCTGTAACGGCTGCTGGACCTGGTTTAACCCATGGAATTGCTGGTGAGCCCAGTGACTTTACCATTTATACAAAGGGTGCTGGCAATGGTGGACTTCAAGTTGCTGTTGAGGGTCCATCTAAAGCTGACATTCAATACGTTGACAATTCAGATTCAACTGTTTCGGTTTCTTATTTACCAATACTTCCCGGTGAATACAAGATTGTTGTTAAATTTGCTGGCAGACATATCAAGGGAAGTCCATTTACGGCCAAAATAACTGGAGAAGGAAGGAAACGGGCTCAACTGTCTGTTGGCCATTCATCTGAAGTTAGCTTGAAATGCTCTGAGAAAGATATCCGTAATTTGGCTGCAACAATTGTTGCTCCTTCTGGCTTAGAGGAACCATGTTTTGTTAAAAAGCTACCCAATGGTCATCTGGGAATATCTTTCACTCCAAGAGAGTGTGGTGAACATTGTATTCATGTCAAGAGGATGGGTAAACACATTAGTGGATCACCATTCAAAATCAATGTCTTAGAACGAGAAATCGGTGACGCTTCTAAAGTAATGGTCTCTGGAAACGCATTGAAGGAAGGCCATACTCATGTTGACAATGAATTTGTTATCGACACGAAAGAAGCTGGTTTTGGTGGGCTCAGTTTATCAATTGAGGGTCCATCTAAAGCTGAAATAAACTGTAAGGATAATGAAGATGGAACCTTGAATGTCGCTTACAAACCAACTGAACCTGGTTATTACATAATTAATCTGAAATTTGCTGATCACCATGTTCCTGGAAGTCCATTTACTGTTAAAGTTACTGGTCAAGGATCAAATATTCAACGAGAAAACATCAAAAAGCAAAGAGATGCACTACCCATTACTGATGTTGGATCAGAATGCAAATTAACCTTCAAAATGCCAGGTAAGTTTTAGATGAATGATATTTGCCCATTTCGAGCATAAATTAAATTAAACCCTTTTTTATTGTTTGATTGATTAGGAACTGCTGCTATGGACATGAATGCAACGGTAACATCACCTTCTGGGAAAACTGAAGATGCCGAAATTTTGGATCTTGACGATTGCTTGTATGCTGTTAACTTTATTCCCAAAGAAGTTGGTGTCCATACTGTTAGTGTTAAATACAAAGATGCTCATATTCCTGGTTCACCTTTCCAATTCACTGTTGGTCCTCTCAGAGAGTATGGTGCTCATAGAGTTCACGCTGGTGGACCTGGTTTAGAGCGTGGTGTTGTTAATGAGCTTTGTAAGATTATAAGTCAAACAAACCTAAATTAAATTTATTGATTATTTTATTTGCTATTTTTTCGTTACTAAAGGTGAATTCAATGTGTGGACTCGAGAGGCTGGAGCTGGAAGCTTATCGCTTTCAGTTGAAGGTCCATCCAAGGCTGATATTGATTTTAAAGATCGTAAAGACGGCTCTTGTTTAGTGGCTTATAAAGTTACGGAACCTGGTGAATATAGAGTTGGAATAAAGTTTAATGATCAACATATACCTGACAGTCCATTCAAAGTATGGGTTATGCCACAAATTAACGAGGCTAAACGAGTTGAACTTCGTGCTTTGCCCAATGAAAATTCACTTAAAGTAGGCTCACCCGTTACAATTATAATCAATTTGAATGGAGCTCGTGGTGTTCTTGATGCTAAAATTATATCACCCACTGGTTTGGAAGATGATTGTTTCATCACTATGATTGATGCTGATGAACATGCTCTTCGATTTATACCCAAAGAAAATGGCGTTCATACACTTCACATACGCTTCAATGGAGTCCATATTAAGGAAAGTCCATATCGATTGAGAGTAGGCAAAGATACAGCTGATCCAGCAGCGGTAACCGCTTTCGGGCCAGGACTGAAGGATATTAAAAGTGGTGTTAAAACTGAATTTATCGTTGATACCTGTTCAGCCGGACATGGAAGACTTTCTGTTTCTGTTGATGGACCTTCAAAGGTTTCAATGGATTGTACCGAATGTGAAGAAGGTTATAAAGTCAGATATACGCCACTTTGTCCCGGAGAGTATTATATCACTGTTAAATACAATGGATATCATATTGTGGGCAGTCCATTTAGAGTTAGATGCACAGGTAAGATTACTTTTTTAATAAATCTTCTTTAGTTAAATCATTCATCATTGTTTATCTTTTGTAGGTGACAAGGTTATCCCAATAAGTGAAGCTGAATCAGCTTCCCTTGCTGTTGAAACACAAGATAAAGCCCTTGGAAGAGTTGGTGGCTTACCTAGATTTAAATCGGATGCGGCTAAGGTTACTGTTAGAGGAAACGGAACTAAAAAAGCCTTGGTTGGCCGTCCAACTAGTCTTACTGTTGATGGTCAGAGAGCTGGTTAGTATTGAAGGTTGATTTAGCAATGAATCAGCCAATTTAGTCTGAAATTTAAATTTCCAATTTGAGTATCTTTACTAATTGCATCTTCATTTGCATTTCTGATTAAATAGGAAGTAACATCTTATTTGCCGCCGTTTATGGACCTAAAGGACCTTGCGATGATGTTACAATTAAACATTTAGGATTAAATGTTTACAATGTAACCTACAATTTAAAAGACAAAGGCGATTATGTATTGATTGTTAAATGGGGAGATGATCACATACCTGGAAGTCCATTTAAAGTTGAAGCTACTCCTTAATTTTGAACTGAGCAGTTCTATCACTTTTAATGACGAAGTCGGTGTTATTGGTTGTTGAAATTTATTTTACTCAATCTTCATCAGAATTACATTGAACGAAAAAAAAATTAAATAAAAACCAAAAAGGAAAAAATAAATAAAAGAGAATCGCACCTTTTTAGAGTTAACTTTTAATGGTTTACCAAAGCCAATTCACAGATTCACCTTGGAAATATTTACAAAAATGGATCCCAAATGTTGCTTGACTCTTCCTTAATTAAACCCTTTACTCCTCGATTTAATTGTTTACCCATCATCCTATTAGAGTTACCAATCATTATTATGTTATTATGTTCGTTATAAACAAAACATTGTATCTCTACTGCCAATAACCATGATTACTCAAATCCTTTCTACTTAATATCAATTCTCAACCTTTTTAGGTTAATCTTGGTGCAATTATGATTTTCCCATTAAATTTCATTGTCTACTGGTTCCTAAAATACTTCAATTTCAATTTTACTATCTAATCATCGTTTAATTGTGGGCATCTTTTAGATTTACAACATTTCAGCAGAAAGAGTTACTTACATTAGACTTTCGTTGATTCATTGTTAACTGTTCCTTCCTTTTTCCGTTGATCAAGTTGATTTAGTTACTGTATTTAATTAGATTGATGCTAAATATTTCAATGCCGTAAATTAGTAGCTATTCGTGTTAATTGGTTTTTTTCATTCTAAATCAAGTCTTATTTTAACTCTGACTATGTTACTACAACTGATCAGGTTTTGGTTGATCTCGGCCATTTTTCAAAATTGTTATACTCAACGTTTCTATCATTATTATCCAAATCGATATCGTTTTGTTTACCCAATGATTGATTATCAAAAGTATCGAAGACCTGTTAATTATCATGATTATCATCAAGATCAATTTCATCCAGTTTATTTAAATGATGACCAAGAAAGTTTCAAAAATGATTATTATCCTATTCTTAAAAACTACAAGGGCAATCGTTATAAGAAACCGCCTCATTACTTGGATGAAAATGTTAATTATGGATATGATTATGAAGCCAATCAACCCAATTATGATAATCACCAGGAACCGATTGAGCCTCATGTACGATTCTTTGGTCAACCAGCGCCATTCGCTCACTCTCATGACAATTTTGATAAAGAGACAACAGCTGATGAAGTAATTTCCAGAAGGATTAATCCTCTTCCACACTCTTTTAACCCAGCTTTACGTTCAAGCATAACCAGATTACAACACATTGAAGCTAATCAACAAAAATCTGGTCAACCTCAATAATCAACCCTCATCAGTGATCAACTCTTTTAACAACAATCAAAATGACAATCAGGTGATTGATTGAAACTTTCAACAAATCTATTTTTGTGAATATTCCCTAAATTTAGGTAAGTGTTTTGTCAAAACCTACGCAGTTAAATTATTTTGGTGACAATAACATTTATACTGCTTGAATTTAACCTTAAGTCTCATCCATATTGTTCAATATGATGATTTCTTGAATTGTTTACTTTTTCAGTTCATCATTTTCATTCATTCTGGACAGTTGATTATGCATCTGTTTTTATGTGAAAATAATGGGAGATTCAGTCTGTTGCTGCTAACTTTACCATTGATTCACCTAACAGGTCTACAAGTGGCCTGGAAAGTAGACAATTGTCACCAACTCGTTTGTAAAATCAAAAAATTTTTCCATTCAGATGTGCTGATATCAACTACAGCATGAATCTTGTTGCTGTCATCATCTTTATCACCAACTCTATGTTGATAGTTTCCTCTTACTCTCACCCAAGTAACCAGATATTTTTGTTACCCTATGACACAGCTAACCAGCTTGGTTCATCAATCTTGAATCATGATTTTTCTGTAATGCCACTAATTAATACAACTCCTAATCAGCTGCCTTACGAATTGTTGATCAACAACAAAATATATTTGATGCCAACTCAGTCAAAAGAAAATCCTTATGTTATCATCAAACCAACGTCTGACCTTTCAACTTTAACCAGCGTCATCAATGAAATTCGTGCAAAGGATTTATCCATAAACTTACAACCATTTCAATCTTATTCATTTAGCGATTCAAAAATGAACACTTTATCAACTAAGGATAGGATGAAAGTTGACTTAATACAATCAAAGGAAAGCTCGTTTTTTGGTTTACCTGTTGATGGGGTGATGACAAATGACAATTTTGACAAGGAGAAGACAATCGACGAAATACGAGCTGAATCGATGAATCCTTTAATCAAGATTAACCTTTTAATTCGCCATTCTGTTGGCAAGTTGAAAAAATTGGAGGCAGCTTATGCCAAGCAATTATTCCCAAACCAAGTGTTGACAAAATTCATACTCCGGGCTTTGCTCCATCCTCTCAAAAGGTAATTACAATGAAAGTCATTAATCATGGATTCCATGACTGCTGCAAAGGATATTCACATCTCTATATTGAAATGTGAGTTTGATAAAAATTGAAACATAATTTCAACATTCTTACTGTCTCGACTCGCTGTAGGTTCAATACAATATTTGTGATCCGTTAATTGTGATTGCAATACTCAAATTTTGACAATTTTGATATAATTAATGACCAATACTCAAAACCAAAAGGATTAATGCGATTACTTGATAAATAAGACCATTAATTTGACCTTTTATAAAAAAACACTTTTTTGATGCGATCCTGATTAAAAGCTTATTCAAGCTTCAATAAGATGATAATTTAACTGGAACATTTGAATTGGTTGTGTCATTGTTAACCTAATGATCTAATATAACAATGTAACCACAATCTAATTAAATTAAAATAATCGGATTAATGAAACACTTACCTTGGGTCAATTCATTTAAGACTGATTAACTGAAACAAATTCAGATCTAGTATTAAACTTGTCATTTTGTTACAAGTCTCATACAGTATTGCTATTAAATTACATTTCAACATTGGGTTCACTTCAACTCGAAAATTAATTGCAAATCTAACGATCACGATTTCAAATGCAGTCCAGACTTTATCAATCTATTAACACATGTAATTGCATGTCTCAAGAAACACTGCTGATAATTATTACAAAAAAAACTGATTTGATAACTTTTTTATCCTTAGGCCTTTTGATGATTAACTTGATGTGAAAGATTTAATTTTTTAACTTGAAAGCAGCATCCATTTGCTGCCCACAATCGCTAAGTCTCATTGTATAAAAACCAATAGTGTAACTTGTTGGGTGAGTTAATGTGACTCGACTGTAGCTAGTAAATGAGCTGCTCATAATTGATTGTACAGTGTAAACATTAACACCTTTAACTATATTTATATGAAAAATAATTGATGTTCAGAAGTTTCTTCATTATAATTGTTGTCAACATGGATACACTTTCAGATGATGGTTTCATCTTTACACCGTCAACCTCATGGCAGTATCGAAATAACAAATTGACTGAATCTTATAGAACAAGGTGATTTTCTAGTATTGAGTTGCCTTTTGATTCTCAGTGAATTAATATAATTTATTTTTAAATAATCATGAATTTCTGTTTTACCAAAGAGTTTCTAACAGTACTGCTGCGTGGATTAGGAAACAGTCCCCATTGGAGCGCTTTTTTTATGTTATTGTTTTACTCGTTCTTGTTTGTCTCTTCATTTTAATCTATTTCTCATATCTTCATGTTAATGGTGAGTTAATACTGTGACGAATTAACAGTTCATAGTTTTAATGTCAATATGGTTTTTTATTTGTGTAGAGGATTCCAACCCGTTAGAGGCTGCTTTAATTCATGATCAAAATATTACAAATGAATGGTAAGGTTTGTGGGATTTGAGTGAGTCTATTGTTTATTGTCTATTGTCATGCTGTGAACTGGAAACAACTTATACAAATCTATGTGTAATACTTTGATTACTGATCCATCTTTTCTCACCATTGATTGTACATCTTAAAACCTGATTCAGTCACAAAAAATGTGATATATCAAACTATCCTAAGCAAGGTGTAAAGAAAATTACTACAACGTAAGTATAACTTTCAATCGTAATAACGATTTGTATTGATCTGTTTTCGTTATTTTGTTTTAGGAATATTTCTATCGAAAAGTCAACTATAAAGACATCACTATGTTCACTCATAGGCAAGTAGAGATCTTTTATTTGGAGTATCAGTTTGGCCTGAAAACTTGATGTTTGAGACGTTTTCGGGACAATGTTTTAATCAAGTTCACCATTTTTCATCGGTTAACAAAATCAAACTAAGTTTCTTGTTCTTATTATTTACCTTTGCTCATTTTATTTTATTTTTTACCCAGGTTTAAATCATCTAGTGACCACAAAACCTCTATTCAACAATACAAGAGACTATTATTGGTTCAGACCAGAACCAAAATTACCTGAAAATGTCAACCACAATAGCAACTTTGACTTAAAAGGTTTTTAATATTCAAATTAAATGGTATAAACATTAACTTTTAATTTTTTACTTTCAGATACGTTTTCTTTTCAAGATTTGACGAAAAATTGGTCCATGGAATGTGCTATTAAAAAAGGTTCCTTTTGGTGTAAAATCAAATTTTTTTGGGAATCATGTTTAAAACGTAGTATCCATGAATCACTATTGACTTGTCCATTGATACTTATAATTTGATTTTTTATCGTATTGGTGCTTTGCAGATGTCAATGAAAATTCAATGGGCAGTTATGATAAGCTGCTACAAAAATTGGAACTTAAAAATGCTGTCAATAATTTGAATATTGATAAATTGCTAAAAGCTCTTGAAGAAAATGGACAATCAAACGGCCTTTACTATTACAAACCATTGTTTGTTTACCCTAACAATGAGAAAATATTTCTTGTAAGTAAAATTTCTAAATCATATTTTCTGAATAAATTCACAGTCAACTGTTTTTTCAGGTTGGAAGAGACAATTATCCTCATTATTCTGAAGAATCATTGCTAAACAACAATTCCAAACTGTTTGCTTCAAAATTGAACCGATTGATTTCGAGTAACAATGTAACGCATCAGGAGATGAATGAAATTCTTGCATTGGATAATAAATTGACTAAAGTAATTATCTTCATTTGCTAAATACACTGATATTTAATTTTGATACTCTGTTGCAATTTTCTTAATTTCTTAATAGTTGAAAAGTCTGAGGAAACCCAATTGCTCTGCTGAAAATGAATGTTATCAATATGGCTATTACCAGTTGCATGAATATCGGAATCAGGTTGGTTGTAATTGACTTGAATTGCTTTTCTCTGACTAATGTAATTGATATATTTCTTTGATTCTTCTAGTTTGAAAGAGCTAATAAACCTGATTATATTATTGAATATCCAAATGGTTACATAAAATACCTGCAGAAGCATTTGCTTAAATTTAATCTTAAATTTTATTTTCTTTGGATAAATTACAAGACAAATATGGTTCATATCAATTCCTCTAGTCTAAAGAGTTTCACTGAATTTTTTGGATCACCCAACGATAATAGTTTAACCTCAAGTTGCCGTGATATGCTTAAATTACCCTTTGGATTGGTTTTACTGAGAAGGATGATAGAAATGAATTCAAATGATAAATTAAGTGATTTAAATTTATCTTCTATCATCTTGAATGAAATAACGAATTCATTTGATGTTTCACGGCTTGGTGGATACAAATTTAACAATGGCAAACTTACTCAACTAATTAGTAAATTAAAAGAAAATATTAAACATCTGATAACCAAGGAAAGGATTCAATTTGATGAATATTTAACCGCTCTTTATGACCAGGTAAGTGCTAACAAATTTTATAAGAAATTAAAATTAATGCTATAATTTACGTATTTCTGTATTTTAGTTGGAGTTGACTGATAACTATTTCGACAATGTACAAGCAATTCGGAAATGGCTCAGGAAAGGTTATCGAGAAGGATGTATACTAAATCTTGCTACGGTCTAACAATTTGGTTTATCTTAACCTGTTTTTGATTTTCAATCCTAATTTTTTATCAAATTAAATTAATTATTTTACATTTTATATTTTATTCATATATTTTTATAAGCTTCTAACCTTTGTGTGATAAGCTGTATCTTTCATCTTGGGTCTAGCATTTGAGTCATGGCTCAAGACCCAAATTTCACGACTAGAACTGACTTGGAGATGATTTGTAAAGGATTAAAGCCATATTCAGTTCATACTGAAAATTCATGTTTATGTTCCTCTGATGTCTTTAGACCTGCTAGAAAAAATGGCTTGGCGAGGTTGCCACGGTAAAGTCAAAAGTGACTTGACTTGTCTCCTCAAATGGCCATCCATGGCACCAAAATAGACATAAAATATTTGAAGGTTCATTTCCAGTTCCAATAATTAAGAAACCAATAACTTAGTTAATTTACAAATCGTATAAAAGATTGAAAGCAATAGACATTTAACAAAAATGGGATTCACCCTTTGGATGAATCCCTGCAACCGAGGTCGCTTTACAACTGAAGTTGTTTTTTTGTTTGTGGCGATGTCTAGAGTATTTCAATACTCGGTTTAGCCTTTGGCTTTGCAGATTAGGTTACGATTATGTTAATAGTCCGAGTTCACGCATTTAGATGCGATGGGATAGCTTTCGTAGCTCTTCCCTGACCGGGTTCGATCCGCAGACCTTGGGATTACCGATCCCAGCCTTTGCTCACCTCACCACTGGTCAGGGTGAAAGGTTAAGATCAAGGGTCGCTAGTGATTTAACTTCAATCAGTCAATTGAAGTAAACGTGCGCGTAAACAATTTCTTTAATAGCGAAAAATAATTCCAGATTGTTGGATAATTTGATGTGATAAATAAAGAGTAAAATACTTCATAATAAATAATAAATAAATAATTAATAATAATTTGAGATGAATGAAGCGAACATAAAACTTTTGTTAAACCATTGCCTTTTCTCAAGTAAAAGGAATTAAAGATTCTAAGATTTGCTTGTGGAATAATTGTGAGCCTAATACTGAGTGATTAATTATTAATTTGATAGATTTTTAAAAATGGCTATTAAAGATGGACTAAATTGTAATGTGTTCATATAAAGATTCAATAAAGATAAATTGTTATAAACTTTGCTATTTTGAATAATATTTGAATTAACCGCGTAAACTAGTGACATAAAGTCACGATATTTCTACAAAATTCTACATCTGTAAAGGTTCATTTCCTTGTCAATCTTATTTGTTGGTTTCTATTAAATTGTTATTCACTTTGCACTTATCGTTGAATTTAATTTTGATTAGTTTTTTGTTTCCTCTGTTTGTTTGTCAATATGATTGATTACAGCAAGTGGAATAATATCGAGATAAGTGATGATGAAGACGATACCCATCCTAACATCGACAAGCAGTCGTTATTCAAATGGAGACACGAGGCTCGCATTCAAAGGATGCATGAATTTAACGAGAGAAAACAAAAGATCTTTGATGCTGTGGAAGAAGCCCGAAAAAACCTGGAGGAGACTAAATCAAAGGTATCTCTTACGCCAGATGATCAGAAGTTGAAGGATGAAATGGTTAAATTGGAGGAAAAATTTAAGAAGCTTCAAAATGATGCTGAAAATATCAAAAAAGAGGAGAGATTAATGCCCTGGAATGTGGATACTATTAGTAAAGAAGGCTGGAGTCGAACGAAGATTAATAAACCGGCCGTCAAACAGGACAAATCAAAGCTCAGGTGAATGTCACACAGCTATTAATGTATTTAAGAATTACAGAATTATAATCCTTATATCATTTACATTTTTGTTTAATTTCAGTGAAGAGGAGAAGGAAAAACTTTATCTTGAGTTTATCAAAGCCAACGAAAAGAAGATTAAACATTTTGGTATGCTTTCCAAATATGATGATTGTCGTACCTACCTACTAGAAGAGCCACAATTAGTATGTGAAGAAACCGCTAACTATCTAACTCTTTGGTGTTTAAATCTTGAAATCGAGGACAAGCATGATCTTATGAATCACGTCTCTAAGCAAGTAATTTCAATGCAATACATTCTTGAACTTGCAAAACAATTGGAATGTGATCCTAGATCTTGTGTATCCAGCTTCTTTAAAAGGTGCGTTTTTCTCTTGGTATTTATCTCTTTGTCAACTAAAATTTATCATTAAATGTTTTTAACGCTGTTATACTTTTATTTTGTAGAATCCAAACAGCTGAGAAAGAATACTTGGACGCATATGAAGACGAATTAAAAGCTTTCAGGCATAGAATAAAAGAACGAGCTAAGGAGAAATTAGAAAAGGCTATGGCTGAATTAGAAGAAGAGGAAAAAGCTAAGAGGTTAGGTCCTGGAGGATTGGACCCTGCGGATGTTTTCGAGACCCTTCCAGAAAAATTGAAAAAGTGTTTTGAATCTCGTGATATTAATATGCTGAAGGAGGTAAATCTCAGTTCTAGTTGATTATATAAGTCAATAGTAATTTTATTTTTATTTTCTTTCTAAATTTAAAGGCTATCGCTGAAATGGATGAAGATGAAGCAAAATATCATATGAAAAGATGTGTTGATTCCGGACTATGGGTTCCAGATGCAAAAGCTGCTGAAAGTGAGGACCAAGAAGAGGATAAGAACGATTCCGCAAAAGAAGAAATTTATTCGAAGATTAAGGAAAATGATTCATTTCAAAAATGAGGTAATCGGAAGAATCGGCATTTTCCAGTAGTTTCTCTAGCTTCAACTCTATTTTCAAAGATAACATTGAACAATTTGTTTACAATGAATTTCATTGAGAGTTTTATTTGTGTGGAAACAACATTTCATCAATTCCTTTGTTTTGTATTTCGCATCCAATCGCAAAACCATGCAAACCTAACATTTTTGTAGATTTTAAGTTTTGGGACAAAATTTCGTTAATATCGAGAGTCTATGTTGCTTGACTAGAGCTAGTTATGTTTTTATGAGCCAATAATAGAGAGAAGGGATAGTGAATTCTTATTTTCTTTAAAATGTGGGTTAAAGTAGATTCTTTTCTCTCATATTTTGAATTAATTTTATAAAATTGACCAGTGAAGTTAGCTCATAAGTTTCTTTTTCTTAATACTGTTTCCATTGATACAAAATATTGACTAATCAAACCTCTCATTTCAATTTAACTTTGAATGTATCTTTAACCTAATTTGGTTCATTGTTTTCCTTTTTTACAGAGTTTATTAATCCTTTTGCCTTGGATACTGAATTGCCGTCAATTGCTTTACTGCGGAATAACTAAGGAACATTATAAATTTGATCAAAATAGTGGAATCCGTGTTGTTCAATTAAACTTTGGAGACAGTCGAAAAGCTCCTGGCAATACCTTTTAAATCTATCCCTTTTTCATCAAGAACTCTCTACGAATATCCTTGAGATAAAAAAACAACATACTAACTCATCAAACAAAAACCAAACATGAAAGCACACCAAGGCTATCAACTCTGGTAACGGAATTTTTTATTTGATATGTTCAACTATTGTTATCCCATATATATATATTTACTAGCTTAAACCACTCACCTACAAATGTCAAAATTCCTTCCGGATACTGCGATTCAACCTAAGTTTAAACAACTTATTCGATTTTTTTCATGCATGAAGTTCCGAATACTTTTTTTCTTTATCTGATCCCTTTCATTGAAGAAAAGACGTAGTTTTTATGTCATCAAATAAAAAATCATCGCAATGATTCCTTGAACATATAATAGATTTTTTAATATATGTACTTTGAGCTCAGACCATTATCACAAATCCATCTGATTTAATGATACGTTTTTTGTCTCGCCGATCTTAGATCAAGGGTCGCTAGTAATTTAACTTGAATCAGTCAATTGAAGTAAACGTGCGCGTAAACAATTTCTTTAATAGCGAAAAATAATTCCAGATTGTTGGATAATTTGTTGACGTGATAAATAAAGAGTAAAATACTTCACTGAAAGTTTAACTGGCAACAATACATTAATGACATTGATTTTCATCATAATTAACAATCCTTTTCATGACATGAATATTTAAGATTGCCGTTGCTTTTGCAGATATTTGCTTTTATATTGTTGCTGTTAAATAGGTCAAATCACGATAAAACATTTTGTTTTTTTTTCTGGTTGCACTTTTGGTGCAATAACTTGAATTTCTTCATCGAGCTTACTTAAAGATACTTTTTACATTATGATTTCCGACATGAAATGTACAAGAAGAAAGCAAAGTTAATCCTGATAAAGTACTTATTTGTTAGCAATATAAATCTCTCAAAGTTGCTTGATAATAAACTCTTGGTTTTTGTCCTCTTCAAATTACTGTCCAAAGGTTGCTTTGTTATTAGATTATTATTTTAGTTGTGATTATTCAAGGCTGTATTTCAATTTCTAGTTGTGTCCATCATTTGTATCTTCATCACTTTAATTACCTTGATATAATTACATCAAGCTATAATAATTCTGTTTTTGGGAAATACTCAGTGATAGACATAATTTGGAAAAGCTAATGGTGGTAGCCTTGATTGCTTGAGGAAACTTAAATTAGCCGATTGAATTGAATAGCTTTTAATTTATTTCTTGCTTGATCGGATTTTGATTGAAATCAAAATACCTTGTGACTTTTGAGATAAATTTAACCATTCAAAATCAACAATCAAACCATTTCAACTTAAATCCATTAAGTATACTCGCTAAAGCTGCAAGTGAAGTGTCCATTTTTCAACTGATCAGGTTTCAGGTTTTATATAAACCTTGATTATCATGATAGCTTGAAATGTCGTTGGTAAAAATAACTTTAATCTTCAATTTTAGTTATTATACATTTATTTGGCTATTTTCAATGATAAAAAACTAGAATCATAATTTCAACGAGAGTTTCTTTCACATCAATTAATAAACCCGATTAATATTAATAGATTTTCTAACAACCTTTTCTTAATCAAAGTTAAATTTTGTTCAGCAATATTGTTTTATAATCAAATATATTTAAGCAATTTATAAGGGAGGAAATGGATACAAAATATAAAATAAAAGGCTCTTTTTAAGCTCGAGATAAATGTTGAATATTTATACTTTTATTTACATTAACTTTTCACCTTCTTGTAACAATCTTTGAACAATCAATAAATATTCACAATTGTTAGTTTCATTTTGTTCTTGTTGAATTAAACCAATTCAATTTTGTCATTAGAGGAAATATTATCTATGATAGACTGATAAACATTTTTTTTTATCACTAAACAAAAAGATTACACAAAATAACGCAATCGAAGTAAAAAGACGATCGAGTTCAAAGAAATCTGACCTTTCAATTAAAAGTAATACAAACTTGATAATAGCTTAGTTCAACGTAAAAATACGAAGTGAGGAACTTCATCAGCAGGCAGTAAAAGTTTCTGTTGTTCCCTTTCTTCAAAGTTGTTTTCAGTAAAAGAAAACTTTGACCTTAATTGATAAAAAAGCTTTTACTTGAAAATCATATTCTTCAATTTTAGTTGGTCCCATCGATAAATAATCATCTTTAAACTCATCATTCAAAAATCTCCAAGAAGGTGAAAACAGGCTGCCTTTTTGAATTATTAACTGGCAATTGAATAACATTTTTCTAACTGTTGGGAAAAAGGTAAAATTATTGGGTGTTGAAATCAATTTGTATCTATAAATGTATAAAGATAATGATATGGAAAATCTGACCAATTTGATGAAATAGAAGTGACTTTTGGTGCCTAAGATCCAATAAATATCAATAAAGGCACTGTTTGTTCGTACTTTTAAAATTGTTCCGAATTGTAGATAACAGAAGGACTGAGGAACCAATTACAGCTCTTATTTTTCTTGTAATGTAGTCTCCAAAATAATTGATTACTGAAAATTAAGTGGCGTATATTGAACCTTCCATTGTCCCCACCTTTATATTGATCTTGATCTTTTGTTCACGTTTGAATGGTATGAAAGTGTTGATTTAAATTAATGAAGTTCAAGTCTGAAAAAGGGCTAACTTGCAACTGTTAGGAGTTCTCTCATGTCGTTCAAAGAACGCATGATGTTTTTCGCAAATCTCAGTGAATCTGTGGCATTTGAGCTCTTCTTCGAACTAATATGGAAAAAGATCTTATCTTCACCAGCAATAATGTAACTAACACCATAACCATCATCAGCAACTGGACCGAAACCACCTCCAGCAGATACATGCTTAGGATACTTTTTAAGATCTAAAAGACCAGCTTGACCATGTGGGGTTTGACTTGTAGAGAGTTTCCATGGTTCAGATAAAACCTGAAAAACAAAGAATTTAAAAATAATTAGAGAAATTAAAATTTTACTCGATTTTAAAACTACTTTTACAAACTTACTTCTTTAAGAAATGGTGAATCAATTTCCAGATATTTACTAATAACATACAAACAAAATAGATGTCTGTCAATTCCTTTGCCACACATAGCATTTTGATAGCCAACTTGGTGTTTATTGCATGCATGCTTGAGTAGAGCGATCCTTTCCTCTTTAGTTTTGGTCTGATCATGCATTGATTGAACCCATGCAGCGGATTCTATAGTTACTGGTCTTACAGTTTCAGTTCTACCTTCACGGAATAATCTGGTCATTGAAGCTTCATATGTGAGTGAGAACTTTCCTGAATCCTGATGAATGGAAAAAAGAAAATACTCAGTCAGTTGGGAGACAAAGGATTGAAAGAAAAAGCAAAATAAATGAAATTTTGTCTGTTCAACAAACCCTGAAATAAGCTAATTGTAATGCCATTTGGATGTAAGCATCAGGTGAAACTCTATTTTTTTTCATAAATCCTTTACCATATTCTTGAAACATTATCAATTTCAAATCAACATCAACAACCAACTCTTGAGCTAAGAAATCATTGGAAAAAGAAAAGAAAAGATAGTTAACAATTGCGGTAATTAAAGAATAAAATAAAAATTAAGGCTCGTTAACTGTGAAAATTTACCCATGATAACGTATTTATCAATAGTTTGACATAATTCCTCAGGAAATTCCCATTTTAAACGAGTCGCTGCCGGAGGCTGAAATCCATTTCCAACTCTACAACGACCATTTTCATCGTACCCTGTCATGATAGATGCAAATTTAATAAAAATACATAACAGCTATTGAAGCAAAAACTATTGAAAAATTGAGTTTGCTGGCTGAACCAACGAGTTAATTTTTCAATATATCTTACCTAGATTGGCGAAATCATAGGCTAAAATAAATTCCCAAAGATGAGCCATGATAGGAGCATCTGCCCAGGAATGTTCAGCATTAAAACCTGCACGGCCGTTTCGTCCAACAATTAAGTCGAAAGACTTATCGTACCATCTGTCATAACCACTTCCATGAAGTAATGTTTGACCATAGTTGTCCAGTTTTGTTGGATCTTTTTCATCAAATTCAAAATCTACATCGTCCAAAACGAGGACAAAGGCAGACTTTTCTATTGCATCAAGTGAAGTTTTGTTGATACCTCTTGAAAAATATCGTTCTCGAGTTTGAGACCAGGAAACTCGATCAACAGCAGTGACAACACTAAGGTGTTCTTCACCTCTTAAAGCTTGGCTCTCATCAGCAACAATCTTATCGAGAATACTTTCAATCTCTCGAGGTAAAAGTAAACGTCCTTTAAAATAGATATTAACTTTATAATATTTGTTCTTACACAGAACAACAATGTGTTGTGAATCTGAATAGTGAACCAACTTATCAGTCTCAATACCAGGGATCCGTGTAGTGTTGAATAATCTTTCATATTGCCATGAACACAGAGGAACTAAACCTTGAATCATGATTGGCTTTAATTCTTGACGATCGATGAGCCTGCGGAAAATGAGACAAGAATAAACAAGGTTTGCAGCTCGTGATGTTTGACTTGAAGTTGGAACCACAAATAATGTATCAATACCATAAAAGTTTGAATTAATCATAAGAGGTGATCTGCTTCTAAGGTAGACATATTCTTCCCACCAATCAGATACCTTAAATAATAAAAAATTGATGAAAAAATGACAAATTAGACGATGTTTTAAATAGAAGCACAACAATAACTTACATAATTACTAGCCCACCAAGATTTGAAGATAAGATATTTTTGTAATCGTTTGGCAACACCATCACGGAATTCATGAGCTAATTTAGTTTTTCTTTGGTAATCTTCTTCGTTTTCACATAAAGCTCGGATGGACATGAGGTATCTATCAATAGTATCGCTAACAGAGGGCAAAGGTAGTCTAGGTAAAGCTCCTTGGTAGGAATATAATAATGGCTTTTTTATCGTCAGCATTTTCATAAAGAAAACCCATATTTGAGATAAAAGAGATGGACCTAAATGAAAAATATGAAAACAAAGTTAGTTTATGAAAGAAAAGAAAGAAAGGAAAAGAAAACTGACCCGATCCATGAGATTCATACATCCATCCTTTATAAATAAGTAGACATCTGAGAGTATACTTCATAACCATTGCTTTTGCAACCCAAACACAAATCCCGTAAATGAAACATGCTATGATACTACGAGCAGAATCAGCCAAATCGAAAAGTTTCACAATTGACCTAAAAGTGATTAAGAAGGGAAAGAAGGCGGTGAGTGATTTTGTGATGGTTTTTCGCTGAAAAGATAATGAAAAGTCAAAATGTTTTTTACGTAATAGGAAAGTGAGAGCTGGCAAAGCTGATGAAACCAAAGCTTGGGTCGATTTCAAATACAAAATGACATGCTGTTACCAGTACGAGAATAGCAGCTAAAAACTCAAGTGATGATGGGAAGACACCATTTTTGATGTTATTCTAATAGAGAGGGAGAGAGAGAAAAGGAATAACAGATCAAAGGTGAGTGAAAGTTGAAAATAAGTGGTTTCAATGATTGGTTTATTTGTTTATGAGCACATATTCAAGCTAGGGACCATCTTTTAGATTGGGGCACATATTTTATAAAACAATGGAAATATGTTTTCCTCTTAATTATTAGACTATTAATATAAATAGCATGGTAACTCTGATAAAATGATGAACGGCAACGAGTTTCAAACCTACTTCCAATCGTCAGTCTGTTTTAGCGGATGGTTAAATGTTGATCATCAAACATAAACTAAATAAATTTACCAATCTATTGAAAAGTGGAGAAAATAAAATCATGATTACTTACCAATGAACGAGTGAACCTTTTACGGTAAGATCGTACTCCACTAGTCCAAACAATATTAAGAATTTCTGTATCATAATTAATATGAACACCTTCATGAGTTATTTGAAAACTGAAAGCCACAGCTTGATGGGCTTCAGCCATGTTTAAATAAAAGTGTTATCAGAAAGCAGAGGAGAAAATACTTTTGGATCAATCACAATTAAATAAGACACCAATTAATAAGGCTTGGAAAGAAGACAAACACTAAAAACAATAAACCAGAATCAACTTTTCATAAAACAGATCTGTTGTTGTGATTTCTTGTTACAGTAACACAATTTAGTTGTGAAACAAGACAAGACGCAATCTCACTTGAGTGTTGAATGACTGAAGCTTATAAGGCGCCTTGCTTGAAGCTCTTTTATGATTTAAAGGATAATTGAAAGGGAAAGTTGATCAAAATTTTCAATTAGTTTAATTGTTAAATTTTAATTGGACAATTTTAGAAGTGTCCAACAATAATTTTAAAAATTGACAATATTAAACTAGACTAGACTCGGATCACAGTAGTTATGAAGTAATTTATTTTCGAGACTTGAGGTTGTACATTTAACTCTCTCATTTATTACTCTCTCATTCAAAGTCATTCACAACTGGTTAATCTGGTTCATTAAAATCACATGTTGTTTACAAACACAAATACAGCATCGAAAGTAAAGTTAGAGCTGGTTACGTTATCTTTTGCACATTGTTTGGTAACCAAGCATATTTTGGTAGTCAATTTTTAGAGATAAATTAAGCACAATCAACATCAACCCGAGGCTCATTGGTTAAGGCATTGAATCGTTGTTGATTGTGTGATTAATCTCAAAAATTGCTA